ATAGCTTAGAAGCAACCCCGTTTCTGAGACTACCGGGCAATTGGGTCAAACGTATGGCAAACCTCTCTCTTTAAACTAACAATTTGATTTGTTTCCGTATTATAAATTGTAAATTATTGTTATATGAGAAAGTGTGATTCACTTCTAAAGATGATTAAGTTTTCAAAACTCAGAGAAGGTAGGTTTTTTTATGTTAAGCATAAATACGGTTTTGCAGGTTGCCCCTTATTTCGGACACTTTGACAGGCTCTAATGATTTGTTTGCTATAAGAGCGCACTTAGGTTCACCGTTTCATAACAAAATACCTCATTTAGCGAAAATTTTAATTTTACGAATCTCGTAACCTTTGCGTGACAGAATTTGACGAATTGACCTATAGTCAAATGCAAAAGTGAACACTTTTCAAATCTACGGACTGATTTTATTCAAATGATATTTTATGTTATATCCAAGTGGGCGGAGACCCCAAAATAATTCATTGAAAATCGTGTAAACTAACTTGAGAGGTTCACTTAGATTGTATTTTGGAGGATTGGATCATGAATAATTGTGTAAGTCTGCAACCAGAATATTGAGAAATGATTATGCATAAAGCATAATATAGGTTTAGCGTGTGAGGCGCATGTTTATTTGTCGATATGATACCTTTGGATAAGGAATGCAGGACGCTAAACACAAATTCACTTCGACTGAGGAATGTATATTGTGAATTCAATTTCAAGTGTAACCAGAAACGTCACTTTCTAATATCGGGTGGGAGAGTGAGGAGAGCTGTCCTAAATTTCATCATTTTATTATGAATAATATTTACTCTGATAAAACACTGTTTCAGAAAGGATGAGGCCTACCTCTGGTCAGCATCTTCATCTCTTCGCATCTTCGTTTTAATATTTACGTAATGGCCGCAACCATCCTCCATACCTATTGCACAATCTGTTGATTGAAGATTTCCAAATCAACCACTTTAAGGCTGGAAGTTGATAATTAGTATCCTTTAAAAGCGAGTAGAACGTAGCCGCGATATTCCTAATTAGTACAATATACGTGACTAATGAATTGTTCGACCGAATACCAATTGAGTCTATAACGTGAACTAATTCAATTATTTTATCTCTTGAATAATTCTTAAAACAAAATACACTAAAAGTACATTTCTAATTACAGACCATCCTTCAACCCCCCCCCCCCCCCACACCCCCCCCCCCCCACCCCATTCCCAAAATCTTAAAATAATAAAGCCCCCTCCCTATTCAGTCCACATCAAGGAAGCACAGATTTTTATTACGATCACTCAGATCAACAACCTAATTTCCCAAAAACAAAGGCAACCAGAAAGTTGATGGAAATTTGTGACAGCTGGCAACATCTGCGATTTTACGGTCGTTAGTCAGTTAATTTGATGCAGCAATAGATCAGATTCTATTACATTGTAGATGCAGTCAGTTGCCAGCAGTCGTTTCCAGCTTTCTATTCTCAACTCTCTTAACTGGTTCGCCATTCCATCTAGTTTCGCAGTTTACCAGAGCCCATCTCATTAATTTTCTAACATCTTTCTTTCAGTCTTTTGTGCAATGTGCTTTGTAATTCTTACATTATACATGGTGAAGATAAACTATTCACCAAATAAAGTCTGCTTGTGTGTTCGCTTTCATTGCCGTCTGGGCAATCATCTCTATATATTCGCGTCCGCATATAGTATTGCTAAAAGCAAAGGAATGGATCTGTGCATTTCTGGAAGCGCAGAAAGTATAACGTCCGTATTTCAAGTTCCTGGAATCTTTGATTCAAGAAGCAGTCTTTGTGACGGTTTTAACATCACTGTGAAAGAAGCTGGTTGCTGCACAATATCTCAAGAGATACTAAACCTTCCTTCAGACAAACCTGTTTTTGTATTCGGATATTTTCAAAATTATCGATATTTTGAGAAATACAAAAATGATATCAAAAGGTTATTATCATTTCGTGGTCATATCTTACTCGCTGCAAAGAATAAACTGAAAATGTTGTTTACAGGACGATTTGCTGGTAGAACGGGAAGCGATTTATTGGATCATACGCTGGTGGGTGTTCACATCAGAAGGGGCGACTACTTGGAAGATGCCATCAAAGCCTCTGGCTACACAGTAGCACCTAAAGAATATTTATATAGGGCAATGAATTACATGCGAATTCGTTACCATAAAATATTATTCATTGTATGTTCACAAGATATCAACTGGAGTAACGAAATTTTCAGAAATAAGTCGGATGTTATCGTCGCTCCTGTAGGATCAGCGGCTGTCGATATGGCTTTATTGACTCTTATGAACCATACAATTATTACGGTAGGAACGTACGGGTTTTGGTCTGCGTGGCTCAATCCGCAGAATGGAACTGTTATATACTATAAAGACTTCGTTCGACCTAATAGTAAACATAGTCGTTCATTTGATAAGCCATATACAGATATATACTATCCTTATTGGATTGGTATGTAACACTGCTGTAACCATCAAAGGACATGAAGGGGATATCCACAACATTATCAGAAATAAAGCCCAAGATAAACTGTCTTTCCCTATATGTCAATTATCTAGGTATTTTTTGTATCCTTCTCTATTTTAAGGAGACGGATCGTCCACTCCCCCCCCCCCCCCCTCGCCTATTCTGCCAATGCTTGTTTGGAATACTACCGTGTGCCTTGTCTTTACCATATCTTTATTACTAATAGTATATGTTTACAATATATTTACACAAAGTATATCTAAACTTTGTATGGGCATCGCAGACACTGGTAGTATCGATTTGGACCATTCCAATTTACAATCAGACGCCTATGACTTTTGTTATTCAAATAAAAGTATGAGTTTTATGGCACAGGGACATTTTCAAGTACCAGAGACATCTAACGGAAAGTTAAAATGATGCAAATGGATGGCCCTGGCACACATAAAAATCTATAGAAAAATGTCGAGGTGGGTGTAACTGAAAGTAATGTTTATTTAGAGTTCTGTCAGTCTTTCATTTTAAATATTCACATTAAAGCATCAATATTTCTTTTTATGTTTTTGTGTTCTACAGATTACTTTACTCATTGCAAGATCGGCATAAATTCCCCTTTAAATAGTGTTCATGTTCTAAGGGTTCACGAGCCATTTCGACATCCAACCCGTGAAAGAAAGCACAAATTCTTTGATTTGTGTTCAGAAACCCACAATTTTGTGCTGAGAAACTCAAATTTGTGTTTAAAAGCCCAATATTGTTGTGGAGAAGCTCCAAAAGTTGCTTTGCATAGCCCAAAATTTGTGTTGAGAAGGCCAAATATATGTGTTGAGAAGCCCAATATTTTTGTTGAGAAACCCCCAAATTGCGTTTAGAGCCTTAAATTTGCATTTTTAAGCCCCAAACATTTGAGTTGGCATGTTAAAAATATGTGCAAAAATTTGCATCGAAGAGACCAGTACATGCATTGAGCAGGATCAAGGGTTAGATGTCAAATTAACTCGCTCTCTCTTAAAACATCATGAGTAAGTCGTTTTGAAATCAAGTCTACTTCTTTTTCTTCTTTTTCTTGCCGCCTTTCTTCTTTCCTGATTTTTTGCCTGATTTCTTGGAACCCTTTTTGGAACTTTTTGAAGATTTTCCTTTGTCAGTACTTTTACTTCTACTGCGATTCTTCAAATCCTTTTTTCCATCTTTCTTATTTGGTTTACCATCATCTCCATCCGGTTGATTAATGACGAATTCAACCTTTTGTCCTTGACAATTGACCTTCAAATAGACCAAAATAGAAAAAGCCTATATAGACAAAATATCGAAAAACAGTAGACCTTCTCCTCTGGCTAAAGCAACAGTAGCATTTTGCTTCATTTATGTGAATTTAATGGAATCAAATTGTTTTTTCTATTCTATTCTATTCTATTCTATTCTATTCTATTCTATATTATGTTATCCACCCTATCTATCCCGTTCTTGCCTACCTGATTACATTTCCTGCATTTTCCCTCGTCAAACATCTTGCCGTGATATTCTCCTTTCAGACATTCTTTACAAAATCTTGTCCCACACCATTTACACATAAATGTCTGAAACAATCACAAAATGATACTCCTAACTTACAAGCTTTATATATAGACTTCTATTGAGGTATATTCCACAGCCTTTTATATAGGTCTAGCTGACTTCTATTGGGAGCTATTCCACAGCCTGTTATATAGGTCTACCTGACTTCTATTGGGAGCTATTCCACAGACTTTTATATAGGTCTAGCTGACTTCTATTGGGAGCTATTTCACAGCCTGTTATACAGGTTTAGCTGACTTCTATTGGGAGCTATTCCACAGCCTGTTATATAGGTCTAGCTGACTTCTATTGGGAGCTATTCCACAGCCTTTTATATAGGTCTAGCTGACTTCTATTGGGAGCTATTTCATAGCCTGTTGTATAGGTCTAGCTGACTTCTTTTGGGAGCTATTCCACAGCCTGTTATATAGGTCTAGCTGACTTCTATTGGGAGCTATTCCACAGCCTTTTATATAGGTCTAGCTGACTTCTATTGGGAGCTATTCCACAGCCTGTTATATAGGTCTACCTGACTTCTATTGGGAGCTATTCCACAGCCTGTTATATAGGTCTAGCTGACTTCTATTGGGAGCTATTCCACAGCCTGTTATATAGGTCTAGCTGACTTCTATTGGGAACTATTCCACAGCCTTTTATAAAGGTCTAGCTGACTTCTATTGGGGTAATATCCAAAGCTTAATAAATAGGCCTACATATAAATCTATGTGTATAGCTTTCACAGCAGACGGCATGCCAATGTGAGATTGGTGGAAGCGACGTGTGTGAGGAAGCTTTAGATAAATTAGTACATAGAATACTTCTGTCAGCTTCCATGAACGAGAAGGACGGTGACAAATTTGGTATAGAAGTCATCAGCAAATGATCAAGAAATCTGACCACAAAATCATGTTATATATTTTCTTTCTTTAGGTGTACAAGACCTTTAAATACTTATAAATAGGGCCATATAAATATTACTATTTATTAGACCGTATAATATATACAATACAATCAGATAGAGATCTCTATAGGTAGAAATATAAACATAACATTATTAATAGAGAGTAGCGTTTCTATAAATCAATAGATAAAGGGGAGATAAGGGGGTCACATAATAAATTGTCAAAGGGGTTCACAGCACCAGGCATTTAAGAACTCAATGATAAAATATTTGAAACTGAGGTAGGGCAAAGCCGGGTGAGTCTCGTCTCAGAGGGGAGCACCCCCTCCCCCCCCCCCCAACTCCTCTCTGGCCCCACATATACACTAATATTAATAAAGCTTTTATATCGATCATATAAACTCACTGTGTTTATCCCGGCACATCCCCACCGACACATAGTTAATCTGATAATCCAATAATCTGCCGATATCCCTGAGATTATCCTCAAAATTACATGGCTCACATAATGGCTCAGTCGAACTTCCTATACGTACAAGGTTTCAGTTAATTACTACGAGCCTTTTGACAGTTCCGCGTCGTTAGTTACAGCTGTTGTCAAGCAAGTATTGACATGCATAATAGGTGAATTCAATGTAAGGGAAGTAACTCATTTATATTAAATACGGAACACAATAGCCTAATATGGTATACATTATGGAACGTTTCATCAATTTACATTGTCGTTTTCAGATCATATATAATGTGATAGCCCTCTATCTATTCTACACCTTTGTAAAGGTGGGCATAGACGATGTACGGTACGGTGCACGGTGTAGTATGATCGATAGGCCTACGTAGAAAACAGTTAAGCGAATCGTGTCCACACAGTGTCCGAATCCGTACCTCACTTGTTCTATTTTCAACTGTATCGAACATTCCCACCTTTAGGCTATAAGAAGGACATTTTTTTTATTTATTGAAACAGTTTTAGGGACACTCTTTATTCTTATCGCTCCTAAATAGCCCAGATGTGATAGTCGTAATGTGGACAACCGAAAAAACGACATTCAATTCATGATCCACAAGTCAAAGAGCCATTTACGATGCGAAGTGAGCTGCATTCTCTGCATCCACGACAATAAAATAGATTTAATTTAATACATGTACGTTCGAACGTGTTGAGGAAACGATGCAGCGAGACCACTGGGAGTTGACGTTACAAAAGATGACGTCGTAAATTTGCAATCACTGTAAGCATGGCATTCAACGTCAGGTGATCACTTCCGGTTTGTCAAGGATAAGAATGTCAACTCAGCTGTTGAAGGATGGGTCACAGCAGACGGCATGCCAATGTGAGATTGGTGGAAGCGACGTGTGTGAAGATGCTTTAGATAAATTAGTACATAGAATACTTCTGTCAGCTTCCATGAACGAGAAGGACGGTGACAAATTTGGTATAGGTGAGTAGAAAATAACTTTAACTCTTAAGACAGGGATCTGGATGGATTAGGGCCAGGCAAGGGTGCATTTTATCAAAGGTTTAGCCTGCTATGTATGCATAATATAATAGCCTAGCCTAATATTCTTGATGACTGAAGGGACATTGGTAGTTTAGTTAGCGGCTTAAAGTGATGGATCCAAAAATTGAAATTTGAATATGAAGCTAGATCCTGCAGACGTCGCTTAATGTTGAAACATTCCTGTAACAAATTAGTTGTGGCAATCCTGACTCCATGCAATTTGTAGGTTATATATTGCCTATTGCAATATTTTCTCAATCATAGCATAGTCGATACATCAAATTGCCTTCTTCAGTTCCACCTTGTGTGTGATATTCCTGCCGTTGAGAGTTGGCTATCTAAGCTTTACAAATTGTGTTGCAGCCGACGTTGACGACGGTAATCTGGCACCAGTTGACTATCGCAAAATACCTAAAATAAATGGTGTTAGACTGCAAGAAAGATACGACAAAGCTAGAAAAAATAAAAACCAGAAGAAAGAATCGAGAAAATCGAAATGGGAGAAAAACAAGGTTGATGATATGCCACGAGGAACTGTTCAGAAGGTAGATGGAAACAGCTACGTCAATGTTCCGTTAGAAGTTTATAGGTAAGAACAAATACGCATCATGCTTAAGCTTAAGAAACATAGGCTAGATTCACTTTCTATCGCGATCCTTCAAATTCAAGACAGGGGCCTTCTATTCCACAAAGCGGAATGACGTATGTAAGGTAAGCTACGTATGTATTGTTACAAAAGTAAAAGCGCGAGAAGTACTGCCTTCCACAAAAATAGGCGACTTATCATTAAAATCTAAAGTCTTTCGGGGCCTTTAGTTAGGAGGGTCAGAGTTTCTGCGACTAACCGAAAGTGTAAGCGCTTTTTGCCTAATACAGCTCGGGTACAATCGGGTGAGACGGACATCAAACTCTATTTATTTCATTTGTCCAAAACAACCAATAATCAATTTCAGAATATCAATATGGTTGGTAACTAATATTTACTAACTTTCAGGAGGATGGTTCAGGCTGAAATTGATGCCAAAATGAAGCAAGTGCAAGAATATCAGGATTATTTCCTGAAGAAACAAGAAGACACAAGATTGGAGGCATTGAGAGAAGTCTTTTACTGGAAAGGTAAGATTTGGAATCGGAGAGACAGTCAGGGTTGTAGCTACAAGGGGACAAAGGGATTGAAAAAATGGATTATCCACTTGAAAAAATCCTGACAACCGACCAATACCATTAGTGCATCTAAACACCAAACACCTTTGCCTCCTTACTTTCCCTCCGAACATTCAAGTATGGCTACGGCCATGGTGACAGCAGTCAAAGCTCCAATACATTATCAGAAACAGTTTTTCGTGCCAGTTGCAATCAAGGATATTAAGCGGGAGTTCAGTAAGGGTTAGTAATACCCTAAAGATGCCACTGATTTTCGAGAAAATAATCTTCAATGTCAAATGAAATTTCCAGAATATAGCAAGAGTTTGGAGGCGAATCTGTCCGTAACGCTGGGAGATCTACAAACTTCAGAAGAAGCTTTTGAATACGCCAGTAAACGGGTAAGAACATGGTTAATCCCTGGACCATTGTATTGGTACCAGACACTTTGACTATTTTCATGAGTGTAAACTAGACACATTGTTCATAGTCTCTGAACACCGGATCGCAGTCCATGGCTGATAAGCGTTTATCAAATTCACAAATGTTTCTGCTTAATTTCCACTCTAATAGCTCTTCCGTTATACAAGAAAAGTGCCTCATGGTGTCAAGGTATTAGACTCAGTTTGTAATACCTTGACATTGTGAAGATACGATTGGACTTTATGTTTCTGCTTAAATTCCAATCTAATAGCTCTTTCGTGATACAAGAAAAGTGCCTCGTGATGTCAAGGTATTAGACGCAGTTCGTAATACCTTGACATTGTGAAGATAAGACTGGACTAAAAAGATGAGTGTGAACACATTGTTCATAGTGTCTAAAAACATTGTTCATAGTGTCTGAACACCATAACGCAACGAATCAGAAAGCTTTAAATCTTCAAGGCATGATGTGATCAGAAGTCATTAAATTCGAAATGGAGCCCTACCAACAGTGTCGTAAAGAGATGTTTTATTTCATTTCAGCTTCAATTGTATGAATCTTACGTACCATCTGACGCTGAAAAACTCTTCGAACCATGGAAGCTCAAGACAGCCATAGACGAAGTCCGCGAATTTGCACAAACTCGACGAAATCAGAAGCGTTATCGCAAAGGGTCCAAAAGACAGCAAATTGTTCAGCCAGTAGTGGAAGAACTATCGGAGTCAGCCCAACCTCCTGCAGTCCATCTACCAGAACCAAATTCAAAATCCGATCCAAACAATACTTCAAACGTTCGCCCATCGTCATCCGCATCTGAACTAGGTACTGGATCCAAAACCTCCAAGCAACGAAGAAATAAAATTTTGCGCGGTTTAGCAAAAGATACAGTTGATTTGCCTCAGACAACGTAATCACAATAATTATCCAACCAATTAACAATTTATGATGTGGCAGCACATTTTTGGTTTTCGCATACGGCTTGAAGACTATACTGTATTTACAATTCAAAATACATGACAGAATACGAACATTGAAAAAACAATTCAGCTTCTAGCTTTTCATGAAAAAATGAGGTTTGGAAATAAATACGAAATTAATCAATAATAATTTTGCATATATTTGATACATGTGCAAACCTTCAATAATGCCAGATTTAATAGCGGTTCACATTGGTCGATGAAACATGTTTGGTGGTTTACCACAGCCCCTCATCAAAATCGGAAGTCAAGTTTGAGCAAAGAATTGCTAACGTGCCTTGTTGGTGATCCCGTTATCAAATGCGACCCGTGACTTAACCAAACTCTCGAATCCTAGGTAGGTATAACTTGTGGTAGCTCTGCAGTAGTGCGTCAGGGCGTCAGGGCGTCTGAGCAGAGTCCAAAAGTTTGCTGACTACACGCCGATGTATTAAACGTTAAAAGCTCAAGTAAAGGATTTTGTTATATATGGGTTAATCACAATTTCAACAACGAAGGCAGTGCTCAGAAAATGAGAACTGTTTATAATTTTTATTTATAATCACAGATTACATAATTAGCGTATTCTAATTAAAAACAAAACTAACAAAAACTAATAGACATTAAAAGCAAGAAAAAATAATATACATTAAAATAAGGATTCATATCCAACCCTAGGACAAAACAAAATTTTACAATTTGATTTTTCTCTGAAAGTAACTTTAAAAGCAAAGAAAATTGGCTTAAAAATAAGACCGAACATTTTGACTAGATACCGTAAAATTGCGATTATAATGCCCCTAATTTTAACCATTTTCTAATGAATAAAGTTCCAATCAATACAGTTGTTGTCCTATTCCTTTTAAGTTTAAATCCAAATATGGTGAAGAACCAAAGATGATAGGTAAGCTTACACAAAATCGTGGAAGTTCAAGGATTCAAAAGTCTTATATATTATGAGAACATGAAGGCTCAACAAGGTAGTAAATTTTGAGCTCTCTAACTAAAATTACTTTCCTCCAGGGAAGTGACTCTTACTCGAAATCAAACTTCTTTTTTCAACGTGTTGTATATACAGGCAGTAATAAAGCCCCAAGACGTCGAGCGATGTGTCTTATACCTTGACTGCAATAGCCACTATGGTTGTATCATGGAATTAAGAGATCTGATTGGATTGTATGCCAGCGAATACAGCTTATCATAGCTCTCGACAGACTGTAACTTGTATGGCTTGTTGTTTACAGACTCATTGTCAAGGACACTGTATTAGCTAACGTGCAATCCAACTAAATCGCTGCATTTACCCACTTCCGTGATACAAGAAAGGTAGCCATTCAAATTGCAGTCAAGGTATAAGATGAAGGTAACAGAACAGCTTGATATTTTGAAGATATAGGGTTTTGAAACATTGTAATAGGAAAAATGGATAACCTATTAAAGCTGACAAATCTAAGCACTAAAAGAATAACAATATTAATAACAAATAAACAAAATATACAAAATCTAACCATTTGGTACTATACTTAATAACAGATGACTGTAATTTGTTATTCTTGTAGCTGAAACATATAACTTAAAAAAAAAATTGCTATTTCTGTAGCAAAGACAACAAGTGCACGTAACTAGAGGTTGTAATTGCTGCAAGCTAAGTAGCTAGCTTTACAACAGATAACAGTGGCGGAGCCAGTTTTACGTCCGATGGAGGGTGAAATAGTTGAGATTGCTGAATTTCTAAGGTGTAGGCTTTCGGGGATGGGAGGGGGGACTGCTGACCCCTCTGCCCCCCTTCGGCTCCGCCAATGGATATCAAGCCATAAACTACAAATCGTACAACAAAGTAACTAAATATTACAGTCACATCAATATCAGACACTAGAAATTGTGAATACAACATAAAAAATCAGATATTGCTAGTTCTACAAGTATACAACTTTTGGTTTTAAGGTTAATGAAAAGAGTTTTTTGAACAATGGTCATTTAGTCATGTTATGCATAACTTTTTGTAAAGATATATATTTATATGGCTAAAGATAGCATGCTATAAACATAAAATATAGCTAAATAAGGATAATATTTAGACATACTCTCTAGATAGCAATATTGTTCTTTCACAAATTCAAGCTGCCATTGTCATACAACAGTATAAATTCCATAATATAATAGACTGCTCTCGATGAAGTTCCTAAAATAAGCTATCTACTTTATTCAAGGGTCCAGTTTCAAATTCAGCTCTTCACAGCAGACCAAAATTTTTAGACCTAAGATTTACTTCTGTCCAAGTAAAAATGTTGTAAAATAATATTGGCACTGGCAATTTTACAACACTTTCATTAATTGGATTAAATGAATAGATAGCACAATATGTATCATAAGCTCTTAAGGTACCTATCACCAGTTGTGTATGGTTGCGAATATGAAAGTGGACATGAGTATCAAACGCAACTCACAACTCAGTTGGATGAAGCTGCATTCGAAACTTATGACAGCTTTTCTTATTTACAACCATACCCACCTGGTGGATGCTATGATGTGAAGGTACCTCAAGCAACAGGAATATCGATCTGCTGTTTCAAGGTTTGGTTCAAAACTGACTCATAACCCTTAAAACCTCAAGATGAAATTAGTAACCTCTGTAATGTTTTAATATCACTATGTCTGGTCCAATACTTTCAGAGTCTTCTTATTGCTGCCTTATATCACTCACTTATATACATCCGTCAAGTTCTTAGAACTTCAGTCTTCTATAAGATTATATATTATATAAGGTGAAGATCGTAACAGCTTGACATTGTGAAGATGAATATACACATTACATAGTATTAACAATATTAGGCCTCTGCATATTGACATCACTAAAATACGGATGTAACAAAGCAGCTTTTGCAGATACTCTTCTACTTGGCTCATAATACAACATTTTCTGTAATAAAAAAAGGTTCAGAACTATAACAACCATTAAAACAATTCCAATAAAAATCTGTTCAACATCATGAGATACAATCAGATCAATATATCGGTTCTACCCTATTCAACCCCAATTTCTTCTCTTATCGCCTCTTTCCCTTGAAAGTCTGTTTTTTCAAATTTGGCAAAAATAATACTATGGGGTTCAAATAATACATAGCTCAAAAAGTACCACTTAATGAGAAAGACAAGGAACGCATCCAATATCTATTCTGGATCATTCAATATTGAAAGGTATGTCAAAATGCTACTTCTTTCATTAAAGGTATTGTAAAGAGGTTTTCTAAACTTTTTATGTGTATCCGGAACACTGATAGTATCAATTTGCACAATTCCAATTTTCATTCCTATGGCTGTGGTTCTTGCAATTCCACTAACACGTTTTATGAAGTCACTAGAGGGAAGCTACCAAAAGCTACTATCAATATCTATGCAGTTCCCCTTTAATGACGTCATAAAACGCGTTAGTTTTAGTGGAATTGCAAGAACCACAGATGTCGGAATGAAAATTGGATTGGTGCATATTGATGCTTTCAGTACCCCCATACTCATAAAATGTTTAGAAAACTTCTTTAACATTTCCGACTTCTCCGATATAAAAAAAAACATTTCAAATTCAATAACTGTTTAGTCTTACTGTAATCAAATCTTTGCCTTCATCACATAAACTGGTTACAACATTAGCTATAGGTTGCTGCGGCCATCTTGGAAAGGTTGTTTTAAAATCTGGTAACTGAGAGATGCCAGGCCAGGTATTTTCATCTGGGGTTCCTGAAAACAGAGATTGACAAAGCATACAGTAGGGTTAGCAACAAACAGGAAATGAAATTAATGAAGTTTTACGCCCTACTTAACAAGAAAGGTTGGCAACAAGAAACATTTCCATTTGATCTGTCAATTCAGCATGGTTATGACTTCTTTTCAAAAAATATCCGATTTTCTAAGATTTTTCAACATTTGCCATTAATCCAACTCTTTCAGTATCCTGTAAAGTTAGCGTAAACTGTCACTTAAAATAACTGCATTGACTTTCAGCATAGAAAAGTATCAAAGAAGCAAACTGGGCTTACCTAATGTACGAAATATTCTAAACAGTTGATCAATCTCAGAATCTCCTGGAAACAAGGGTCTTCTAGTTATCTACAATAATAACAATACAAAATGTCTATAAATAATTTTAGGTTTTAACATTGCAGTTAAGTAATGTTACAAAAGCACAGGCACAGGCATGTAGGCTATTAAGACTATTAACCAGTCTCTACGAGAAAACTCAAAAATTATTCAGATTAAGGTTTATGACTCCTTAAGTTTCAATATACCTTCAGACATTTGTAAATTCATAAGTACTTTATAGCACATTTTCCTTCGTAAACCGATTTTTAACAGCCTAGTCTTGGACAACTTGTATTATACTATTTATAAGACATATAGAAATAGGAGTAGGTAAAGTAGGTATTATACTGTATACAGTGCAGTGACATTTTTGAGCTTAGAAAAATAACAATCATAATGAATGCAACTCTCGGTTTTAAATGATAAAAACAAAAAATAACTGACCATTTCAGCAAAGATACAGCCTAAACTCCAAACATCAACTGGTGTGGAGTAAAAACGACTTCCCAGTAATATTTCTGGTGCTCTATACCATAATGTCACAACCTAGCAAATATAAATTTGTTGATATTTTCACTAATAAATTGAGAAGAGTCTTCAGTGATGAAGCATAAATTGCGATTAGTGACGTTATCAACACTTAGTATAAGTGGAATTGCAGGAACCACATGGTCTGATTGAAAATTTAAATGGTGTAAATTGATGCTATCAGTGTCCCCAAACCATATAAAAAATTTAAAAACCTCTTTACAATCCTTTTAAGAATTTTATTTCCTACCTCATGAGTGTAAGTTCTAACAGGCACACCAAATGCTCTAGCCAGACCAAAATCAGCTAACTTAATATTTCCTTGTGTGTCTATCAACAGATTCTGTGGCTTCAAGTCTCTATGTAAAACTCTATGAGCATGACAAAAAGCTATTCCTTGTAGAAGCTGAAACATGTAGCTCTGAAAAATAAAATGAAGAATTGATACAAAATTTGTATGCATAAACCAATACTGGTATCTGTAAAGTCAAGCAACGATATTTATGAATATCCAGAAAGCATAAATAGAAATTAGGGCTACATAAACCAGACTCATATGTTACCGATTCCATTTTTGGGATATCTGTGAGCAACAAAGCATGAGTCTTGCTAGTAATCAATATTATTACGTGATGAGATTAACGCATGTTACCGGCAATCAAAATACAAGTAATGATAGATATTTTGTTGATTTATCAAAGAGAATTTGGACATTGAAATCAGTATCGATAGATACACATGTATGGTTTAAAACAGAAATTTTAATTTTGCTCCGAGTGCTATGCTGAACATATTCTGTTATAAGACTCACAATTCCAACGAGAATTAATCTGACAAAATAGAGGCCCTCTTACCTTGATGAGCTCTGATGCCAGACCAGATGGTGGAGCCATGTCCATATATTTCTTTAAATCTAAATTCAAATACTCAAACACCAGATATAACTTCATCTCACTGTGAATTACATCCAGCAATCTGAAATGTTAAAAGATAAGGCTGCATTATGGTTAGTAGACCTTTCAAGATGGTGCTGTCATCCATGCCTGGTGAAGAGATGTGTAATGACTAAGAGAAAAATCCTTACTCGTTGGACTGCAGCAGAAGTAGAGAATACCTTTGGGTATTCAAATACGTTTTATCTGATCAGAAAAGCCAGCATGGAAAATGTTGATTTGTTTCAATAGATCATGAACACGAATATAGCGAGGCCGTTGTTCAGAAAAGATATGCAGAAAAGTAGCTTGTTGGCCTAGAACTCTTCTAATTTGGAAACAAACACGTTAAATTCCTTTTTCAAACTACCGATGATGATTCTATATCATGATGCATGCATGGACATGGGTCACAGCACAGGCATCTGTTTCTATCAATAGTGTTATTTGAGTTCTTGTCAATATTGAATAAGATCATAAAAATATTAGGAACACAACAGTACCTGACAACATTTGGATGTTCCAACTCTTTCAACAAGGAAATCTCTCTGATAGCAGTGCTTGGAACTCCCTCTGATTCCCTGGAATTAAACAAGCATGAGAACTAGTATCATCATTATGAGATCACATAACAAAAGTAAAAATATAAGCAATAATTTGATTTAGTCTAGTTGCCTGTCGTTTTTTTGCAGCTTTCTGTTGCCTTCTAGCTCTAGATCACACTTTACTAATTATTGGATATTGACATGTAGTTTCTAATATTGGATTTGAATAAATTTCAATAACAGTAAATAGGCTCATAATAAACTGATCATCATGAAGAACGATTAAGGCAGCAAAGACCCAGCCAGCACAGAAAAAAAAGGTAAGGAAGCCCCTTGAGCTCAACTTAATAAGTGCTTAGATTACGGATTAGAACGTAGTTATATAGATTAACTGGCAGTGTAATTAAATAATTAGTTAACACCACTGACTAAGGACTGTCATTCTCTCATTGTCATGAATGACTGAACATAATCCTACATCATGAACACAGTTGACTTCATCACTGCGCCACGGGTCATTCATTTCTACTTACGAATCCAACCGGATTTTCTTCAGTGCAACCATATGACCACTGATCTTGTCTCTAGCTTTGTAAACCACGCCATAAGTTCCTTCACCGATCTTTTCAATCTTTTGGAAGTTTTCCATTTTGAACAGATTTATATGTCATCCAAAATTAACCCATCAATTAGATTTGTTTCGAAAGTTTTCCTTTCTTTCACTGGATGAAAATCTCACGCCTGGGTGTTTTCCCGCGCTTGTCACAATGCGGGAAAGGATTCTAGATATTTCATTGGCTGAAATCCCCGACCTCGAGGTCAAACTCGGGTTAAAAGGTGGGGCTTCTGAAGTATTTGTTTACATTTTTAAATCTGCAATTTAAAGTGGTCGAGGTTAATGTCTGTGCACTAAAGTTGTTTTCTCCCCTCTATATCTGTATAATATTGCCTTACCTCTAAGTAAAAAGAGTAACAAGGCTGATTTGGGTAGTTTTAACGCTGATGAATTACCTCATATGGCAAGTAAAAGTAAAGGTCAAATGTGATACTAAAAATAACTGACCAATGAAAAAATTGTAGATTAATGCTACAGACTACAATGATTGTAAATTGTTCCCCTTTGACTGAGTGTAATTGTATAGAAACTTCTCTCCCCTTCAATAATGAAGCGATAAGTTTTATCCATAGAGTTATATGAGACATGTCAATTTGAACGATTTTATGGGTGTAAAATGTTAAAATGCGGCAGATATGCTTTCATGAAAATTTCAAACAATGGAGACAAAAAAGAAATTTCGAGGGTCTGGGGATCAACAACGGTATAAAAGTCAACTCAATTTCAAGCTATCCAAGGATCTTCAACACACACAGCCTGTAGTATAGGCCTACGTTGCCTCCGTTAATTGTCTCTTCGAACGACTATAAGACACTTCTAGAATTGGAGCCCTTCCGACTTCAAGGAGGTCAAAAAGGCTAGAAGGAGCAAACATCAAACTCACTGAGCTATCGACACCCCAATATTTGTCTGCATTTTAATAGTGTTATGTACTTTGGTACTTAGCCACCGACACCCCAATATCTGTACAGAATATTGGTAGGAGCAATCTGAGATGGAGTGACCTTGCCATCGACCCCCAACATACCAGTAACAGACTAGCTATTAATCAGTGTAAAGTCAATATTTATTATAACGGGTAAAACTCATTGAAACAACTGAACAAATTTGAACTGATGCTACAAAATGTGAGGGCGAATTACACAATTAATTTTTTTTCTATGAACAAGGCAAATGGCGTAACATGTACATCAATTAGTAAAATTTCACAGACGTTTCTGGGAGGTAAAAATGACAAAACTTACATTCCACCATTTTGAAAATGCTTTTGTTTTTTGCATGAATTCGGTTGACAAGATTACCATGCTAACTATTTAAAGCAATTTTGATTAGAATCTGAGAATACTATGTATAATATACGGATAAATCTGCTGACACGATGTGGATAAATATATTGACAGGATACGGACAAATCTACTGGCACGATGTGGACAAATCTACTGACACGATGTAGACAAATCCGCTGGCACGATGTGGACAAATCTGCTGGCACGATGTGGACAAATCTGCTGGTACGATGTAGACAAATCTTCTGACACGATATGGACAAATATGCTGACAGGATACTGACAAATCTTCTGACAGGATACGGACAAATCGGCTGACACGATTGAGTTAAATCGGCTAAAACGATTGAGATAAATCTGCTGACAGGATACGGACAAATCGGCTGACACGATTGAGTTAAATCGCCTGACACGATTGAGATAAATCTGCTGATCGCTAAGGACAAATCGGCTGAAACGATTGAGATAAATCTGCTGATCGCTAAGGACAAATCGGCAGACACGATTGAGATAAATCTGCTGATCGCTAAGGACAAATCGGCTGAAACGATTGAGATAAATCTGCTGATCGCTAAGGACAAATCGGCAGACACGATTGAGATAAATTTGCTGATCGCTGACACGACTCGGACATTCAATGCTGGCACGATTCTTACAAATCTTCTTATACTAATAACTTTTTGTAAATATAAGTATTCGTATGAATTTTCTGATATTATGCTTTTGTCAAATCTGTTCCGATTCGGAAAAGTCTGACATCATTCGGACATATATAATTTAAAATTTGGTTAAAATTAAATTTATTGTTTAACTTAAAGGATGCACTAACGAATAAGAAAATAATGTGTTGATATGACACAAATATCCATTAGTTTTTGCTATGAAGAAACGATTAATAAAAATATTGAGGAAAAGACGAAGATAATTTTTCAATGAAAGACAATCGGTGTAAACTATAAGAAGATATTTATAACCTATCTGTTATGAAGACAATATCACGTACTGATGATGTTAACAAAGTTTCTTCCAAATGTCAATTTTTTATTACTTGTTCAGTTTAAATACACCATTAACTTCAGCTTCATCGAAATTTAATTTGTCCGATTAAAGAGAGCTTTAGATAACATGCAAAGCCAATACAGTGGCGATTTAAAAGAGATCAGAACATTCCGTCCATGATCTAGTATAGGTATAATGTCCTTAAACCTGTAAAGAATATAAATATAGCATCTGAAAAAATTAAACTCCCCTCACCCCGCCCCCTACAACGACCCTTGTTCTCGTCGCGGGGTAGTTGTAACTAATGTTCCACTGATTCTCGTCATTAGGCATCGCTTTTTCGTATCATAAACCGTTTCAATTGTACCCGGAAGCTTCTCAACAGCTTAAACGCTCAAGGGGAACATGAATCTCTCATAATACTTACTATGTGAAGCTGGTCCATTGCCCTTTTAGACTCAGCTTGTCGACTCATCTCTTTCAGAGGGTCCACGTGGCCAATAACATAATTGGTTGGTTGGACAAGTTAACGTTCGCTTCCAGTGGATTCTGATATCGCAAACAAGATGAGATAATGAATGCAATCATTGTATGATCTACTCGTAGATTTAACAAGTTTATCTAAAGCTCTCAGTGTAACGAATGAACCACATTCATAGTCCACCAAAATTAACCCTTAAACAACTAGTCACATGGTTTAAATACATGTTTGTCAAGCTGGTGATGACAGATAGTGAGATAGTTTAACAAGTACTCGTACTCCACTGCGTTAATTTTGACCGGCAACATCACAATTGTAACAGTAATTGTTTAATTGAAATTCTTATATGCTTTAACGTGTGGATATCATTTGGAGCTGCACTATATAAAGAATGTGGGTTTTACATTGATACATGCTAAAAGTGTTTCTCGTCTGTGGTTGGAATTATAGTGGATATGCATGAATTAGATATTGAATACAGTAGTAATTTGGAATGAAAATTACACGAAGAATTATTTGTAAAATGGAGAATGTTCTACTAATATTTTTAATCTCTACGGATTGAGATATAGGATGGATATGGTTCTGATCATTTGGACGATTTTGTCATTCTTTCAGATCATTTGTGGTAATTGCATCAAAATAACAACCGATCAAACCAATTATCATGGAACTATCAAACAATATGGATACAGCAATGTGTCAGTGTTCCTTGGAATACCCTTTGCTAAACCTCCTGTTGGTCTCCTACGGTTTGAACCACCACAAGAGATCCAACCGAAAATGGAGGACATTGATGCACACGAATTCAAACCATCATGTTTGCAAGATAAAGGCGCCTTTCTGAATAGTTTCCTCCCCATTTCACGAACAACGTCCGAAGACTGCTTATATCTCAACATATACGTTCCTATTCCGGAAACAGAAACGACCACCGGTCAAAAAGTAATGATTTGGATTCATGGTGGTGGTTTTCAATATGGATCTGGAAACGTCTTTGATGGATTCAGAATGGCAACTGAGAGCAATGCGATTGTGGTTACCATCAATTATAGATTAGGAGTCTTTGGATTTTTCAGCGGTTCCTCAACTGCTAGGAACTTTGGATTATTAGACCAGAACATGGCTCTGAAGTGGGTTCATAAATACATTCATTATTTCGGCGGTGACCCTGAAAAGGTCACGTTAATTGGTGAGGATTCGGGAGGCTCGTCTGTGTGTTTACATATAATTAGTCCATTATCACAAGGATTATTTTCAAGTGCTATTTCTCACGGAGGTCTTGACTTCTCTCGAGTAATTCACACAAATCCGCAGGTAAACAGTCACATTTTGATGGCAGCCAGTGAGTGCATCAACAACGTCAAACACCACAGAATCGAATGTTTGAGAAACTTGGACGGAGAAACCTTACTAAAGTTAACGCAAAACGAAAACATGTTTGATGCATTTACGCCAACAATTGATTACAAATTTCTCCCTTCCGACCCCATGGAGTTGTTTGAACGACAGAATTATAATCAAGTTCCTTATCTCATTGGACTTGCAGAACCCATAGATCAAGTTACTTCAAATCATAGTGAAAATACTGAAAACCTGCGATCGAAATTTCTGTCAGAAGCACAAAACCTGTCCCCAAATCATTCCCAATTAGTCACAGAAACTCTTTATTATCTTTTACTTTCATTTTATAATTTACCTCACCAAACACCAAGAGAAGGCAAAACTGAAAGTTCATATTCGGAAATGTTGAAAGCCAAGACTACGAGCCAGTTTCTACGAATAGCTAAACAGTCGTCAAAAATGGACGATACATTTTTATACACTTACGACCAAGACGACGTACAATCTGAATCAACACTTGAGAGAATAAAATCAATATGGATGTCATTCATTCAATCCGGGTGAGTTGGGGAACGCTACTTAACTTCTTACCCATAAAATTACAAGTCATTATTGAAAAATGCTTAAAAATGTTAAGCATATTTGAATTTGTATTTTTATGGTGCATTAAGTTATTTAATGTATTCATCTGATTAAACAGGGATTCTGTTGCATAGTTATTACACTTGACTGGTCAAGTTTGAGAAGTTTAATTTTTATTTGGTACTTTTCAGAGGTTTTCTAAATAAAATTGTACAGAGGATACTAAATGAATTGATTTGCATCGTTTCAATTTTCAGTGTGCGACAGTGGCGTAATAAAATGCTTACTTTTAGTGGAATTGCAAGAGCCACATATGTCTGAAAAAAATTGAAACGTTTATAAGACATCTTTACAATCCCTTTAAGTTTTACTTTGTCAATGACAAAGCCTACCTATTATAAGTTACATTTCCGTGTTGTCAGATAAAATGAATGCTGTACATCAAAATTTGTTATTTAGGTGACCTATATCATTTGTTATCACGATTTGTCCCAGATATGGTGGGAATATGTTGCTCAAACTAGCCTCCCAGAGGCGTATCTATGAACCGTTAGATGAGGTGTCCGAATAGGGGACGCATACAATAATTCTTTCACTATATACATCGTTAATAAATTTAAAGTGGGAAGGGGGCAAAACCCTTTCTTTTTAAATCATTGTCAAAAGACTTTGAAATATATTAGACATCGTTATTGATCTGCAAAGTTTTAAAGGTTTTTTTTTATCAAAATCATTTTCTTTTCAGACAACCATCTGATCTCGGCATTAACCTTCCATCTATAAACGCCAGTGATAAATATCTTGAAATAAAGCATAATGAATCCAACATCAGAAATATAACAGATATACTGCCAGAAAATGAACAGCTGTTATGGTTTAAAGTTCTTCCAAACATATTGAATATACTGCCTCCAGTACGATATGACGGTATCGATACAATCAAAGATGCTTATGCTCCTGGTCAAATGCAAGATAACAACCAAGGTACATGCCCTATGTATTTGTGGAGTTTTTAGGAATCAATAGGTGTGGGGAAGAGGGGAGTGGGGGCCATAGAATTGTCAAGAGGGCTCACACCACCAGGTATTTAATAACTCTATGATATCAGACGGACCGTGTTTGCATGTAGTTGTTGATACTAATTCAATATCGTTTCCTATTTCAGTATTCCTAACCGAATGGGGGATGACTCGCAGACAGGTAGGTTCGATACTCTTTAAGTAGGCCCTGTACTCTGCCCCTTGCTAACTTTTGATTTCGTTCATTAAAATCATATCAGAAACAAAATTAAGAAAATAATTTAAACACTATGTAAAACCGATATTGAGAATTTGATAATATTTCGTCATATGGGGTACGATTCTCTATTTTAGCAACTAAGACCATCGGTAATTAATTACAAAACGGAATATCGATTGAAAGGGTAAAAAAAAATTATCACTGTATATAATGCGCACTCCTAGTTTAGCGTACTATACTCGCAAATATACTGTAAATTTTCAGCAAACAAAAAGCATGAGATTGACAAATTGTCTTAAGATCGATCAGCATTAAACTCGTTGAGTAACAACATGTTTCAGGTTATGTTTTATTACTTCTATTCCTATGCCCAATTCGAAATATTAAAGATGGGTTTCCTTATTTTTTGGTGTCATATTAAGTAAACTATTTGATTAATTGGTGTTTCTTATGAATTAACATGTATTCTTAATCATATCACAATGCTCTTATTGCATATAATTAAAAGTTTTAACCAATCATAAATATCCATGCATGTATAGTCTGGATAATCCAAAAAAGACTTTTTGACCTTTCTTATTCCGTCACTCACTGTAATCCTGCTGGTAATTATCTTCTAATTCAGCTAATTATAAATTAATTATGGACATGTGAGACAAACTGGTATTTTTCAAAGTCATTAGAACACCTCTACTTTCTATTCTTATAAGTTTTAGCATTTTCGTAAATGAAAATAAGGGAACCCATCTTTAAAACAGAACTTAAAAGGTATGTTGTTACTCAGAGTTCCACGCTGTGCTATCTTCAGACAACTGACCCATTTCCAGCCTGCGTTCCTACTCATTTATAAATATGTGTCCATTTTATATTTTTTGCAGGTAGAAAGTTTGTTAATTAGTGCAGTTCTAGCTCTATTATTTGTGTGTGTTATATGTTTAGGATTAGTGAGAATATTACTGAACCCTCCTGTAGTAAAATCTCAACTGAATTCTAAAAATACTCCAGTTGGTAATGATTATTTTATCAAACAAAGTTATGACAATGATGCCTTTACCAATTCCAATAGAGAGTCTGTTACATCTATAGAACTCAAAGACAGCAAAAACCAGTTCCTCACAAAAATTTGAGAACTTTCACGGTAGACCGTTTTGAAAAATGGAAAAACCAAGAATGATCCTAAAATTTGTAAAATCTGTGTACAAAGTGAGACATGTTTTAACATTCTTTTTCTTTATTCAATTCCACCATTTTAACATCTGTGGAACTCAAATACGGCAAAATATCTTTTTGCTTGTCTGTCGGCTACGTTTGAAAGGAATGACCAAAATATACAGCACTCATTAAGGCAATGGGTATAATGGAGTTGACAATCCCAGTCACAGATTGAGATGCAGTGTTCTGCAGTGTTGAAGTTAAAGTTTAAATATTAAGCTATGTAAAGTTATATGAAATAATTTATTTTCAATATCTCTCTCATAACTTAGTGGAAAATCAATCTGCCATTTCGACTTTACTGCTTGTCAATTCATTAACAATGTATTATACTTTCTTCAATAAACATATGCCCAAACTTACGATAACATATATACATGTATTCTGAAGATCAAATAGCGTGTAATTCAGATGTTTAAGGTTTTGTTTTAATACCCCAGTTCCCAACCTGGGGTTTTTCACCCCCTGCGAGTGTAGGACTAGGGTGTTAGGGGTACGGCCAACTGGTGTACGAGAAGAATTTATTTTGAATTGAGAGAGCACCTCACATCATCACATGCTGGAAGTGTGGATGAAACAAATTTTTGGGGGTGTAAAAGGTCAAGGTGATTACTCCACGGGTGTGGAGGCTGAAAAAGGTTGGGAAGCACTGTTATAATGTAACGCACCTCCACTTCTATCGAACTCTTTAACACTTACATACATTTTAACATTATTAAACTGTATAGACCTCATTGAAAAAATAAGGTGTTTTTTTTCATTGTTGTCTGTCACATTTCCAGTCTTGTACAGAACTAAGGATCTTAATGTGGCCTTACAATTATCCATCCAATTTTTCACTTTCCACTATCAGCAAGTAAATAACTGACAATTCAAGTAAATAACTGACAATTCAAGTAAATAACTGTTATTTCATAAGCATTGTTGAGTATCTTTCATTGTAATTTTGAAAATTTTCACTGAAATTTTCAGTCAATTTTCACCAAGCACTATTTTTCAGTAAATAATTGCTTAATGATACTACACTGAAATTTTCAGTCATTTTTCACCAAGCACTATCTTCCACTGAAATTTTCAGTCAATTTTCACCAAGCACTATCTTCCACTGAAATTTTCATCACGTTTCACCAAGCACTATCTTCCACTGAAATTTTCAGTCAATTTTCACCAAGCACAATCTCCCACTGAAATTTTCAGTCATTTTTCACCAAGCACAATCTCCCACTGAAATTTTCAGTCATTTTTCACCAAGCACTCTCTTCCACTGAAATTTTCAGTCAATTTTCACAAAACTCTATTTTTCCTTGTAATTTGCATAACATGTTTAACACAAACACTTTTATTCACTGAAATTCTTAATAAACTTATCACTAAATTATCACAATATCCTATCAATCTATAAACAACTGCTTTATTGAAATTTTCATATCTACCTTATCTTGTTCGTCTTTACTTAAACACGAACCAATCCCCCATAATTCATTGGTTGATTTGCTTTTATTGAGTAAAATAAGGGCCTTTTTAGACTGAGTCTGTAGGAGTGCAGTGTGTTTACTGTCCACATTTTTCATAATGTTATGAAACTCGAAAGGAAATTCACATTGAATGGGCGAGGTTATGGTTGTTTTTTGAAACGTGTGTCCCATGAGTAAAGAAAGTGCCATACTTCTAAAGTCAAATACTGCATAAAATTCAAAAAATTCTTTCAATAGAGTTTCTGAAATTAGAAATGTTCATTTAATATATTAAGGCAATTTGAGAAAGGACTGTAACATAGTCTTATAGAGTGTTAGTCATCTTTCCCCAATATTCCAGTTGACACAGCTGTGAATGGGTAAGGATAATCTTTGAAAGATCAATACCAAAAAGTTTGCTCAAGGACTAGTTGGTAGTCAGGATCATCATGATCAAAGTTGTCATCTTAGTTCAACTGATGTAAAAAGAATTTTGAATGCATTACATTTCCCTTAAAAATTAAAATAATATCCCAGAATTCCTCACATATAGGAAGGAACAGAGCAATAGATTTAGATTGGTTGAGTATCAAATGACCCAGAAAATGAGATGCATAACAATCTTGTTAGATCATGGAATGGCAAGCAGAGGTTTCATTGGATTGTACACTAACAGATGCAGCCAATGAGAATCATTGACAAAGAGACTATAAACAATTTGCCTGCGTGTGTAATCAGGGGCGATAATTGGCTGTATCTCATCAAATCACTGCATTTTCAAACTTCTGTGAGGTGGCAATTGCAATTTATATATTAGACGCAGTTTGTAATAGCTTGACATACCTAAAGAAGATTCAAATGAAGGATTCTTTGTTAAACTTTTAATCACATATAGAGGTGTAGACACTCTTTGTTTGTCTGTACTAGTATCTACAATAGAACAATAAATACATCTCTATTCAGCAATGTTAACAACTTAAGATCCCATCTTATAGCAGCTGTTCCTTGACTAAACCTCTCATTGTACGTCAAGATCAGAAGCACTGGCCAAGATCAGAAATAAAATGAATAGAGTTATACGTCCTACATTTCTGCTTCTGATTGGACTAATGAATAAGAGCAATACCATGATGTGTGCAATGAGGGAAATTGTCAGGAAAGCGGAATTAGTCGGCTCATTTTTGATTTTCAACTGTTGAAGGATCCTTAACACGCCGGCCTGCACAAGTGGGAACTGGATATCCGATTTCAATTTTGAAAAGAGCTACAGATATTTAGATACTTGTGAAAGAAAGTGTTTATTAACTTACAACGTTGATTACATTCTAATAATGTTTTAATAGATGGGATAGAAGAGTTGGGTCTCTGTTGAAAATAAAATATCACTAATGCTAATAGTTGAAACGAACTGAACCAGTGCCCTGCATTACTCCTGTGTAAACCATTTGTTATAGCCCACCTTTTGATGAAGGCAAACAAAATGGCTATTCTATTATCTAGTAAACTATAGGTATAAAATATTTCTGAAATGATTGGTCCTTGTCTGAAATTATAACAGAAAAAATGGATACAACTGATGCTAACTTTTTTTTACGAGGTTCAGACTTTCATGTTTAATTAAGCTACATAAATAGGCTCATAGAGGCTTATCTATAGGACTTATGTCTCTTGATGACTTGGTGATACTGGGATCAGGGGTGTATCTAGAAAAGGCCTGAGGGGGGAAAAAATGAGAGATCCCTAGAAGCATGCAGACATCAGGGCGGGTATTCTCGCTATTCCACAATTCAAAGTTGATATTTAGACATGGATTCTGCATGATGCACTGTGATTGGTTGAAATTAACGTCAACAGTATGCGAATCATTTTAGATTAAAATAGAGACTGAGAAAAAAAAAGCAACCTTGGTATAAATCTTTTTAGATTATAATGCAGACCAGAAAAAGATTTAATGAAACGAAATTGTAATCTTGTTTAAATTAGATTAATCAAACTGGCGTTGAATGTTGAACTTGGTATAAAAGACGTACCTGTCACCTGGGAAAGCTATATCTATTTGAAAATTGACAGGCTTCAATGATAAACGTATAATTGGAATACGAGCTGCTATGACTGTACCATCATTAATTATTGGTAACATCTTTCTTAAACTGGTTTTAATAGACTTCAACCTATTGATACTAACTGATTCTGGTTTATGAGAAAACATTGGACATAAATCACGTTCAAAACTATCCTGAAAAATTACATTAAAATTCAATTTCAAATGACGTAAGAAGGAAATCAATTGTTGGTACTCAGAAAAATATGTTGGATTATACATATTGTCAGAATACTCAGATGTTCAAACTGAACTTGAATCATGTTGTTACTAAAGAGTTTCAAGGTATACGATCTGCAGACAACTGACCTATTTTCAGCCTACTGCCTTACTGAACTTTCACCTTATGATATATAAATTTTGAAACGATAAATTCCAAGCTTGTTAATTTCACAAAGCCTAAATCAGGCGATCTCATGATGATCATTGAAAACAGTTCTGATAACTTATGTCTTGTATGTTGCGTTTTAAATCACTGACTAGTTATGGGAAGGGCACATAAACAGTCTTGGTTGCTGATTTTTGTTGTTGACTCGAATCTTGAGTAAAACTTTGCGTGTGTCTGTGCTTCCACATCCATCAAGATTATGACGTTGCTGATAGGATTAATAGTATCAATCAAGTTTAATATTTGTCGCTGATTATTTTATCATCTGCAAGAAGAGCATCATCAAATCAGAATCTAGACAGCGACAAAAAGCACCGACCAAGACCATTCGTGTGTTTAAAACTTACTTTTTTCAAGTCAATATAGTTCAAGTCTAAATCTGATGAATTCATTCCAAAACCATTGACACAGGATCCAAATGGTTCTAATACGCCGTTTGATAGCGTGCGAAATACGTCTTGTATGATGGAGTAATATAAAAATATCAGTAGTGAATTTGTTTCATCTAGATGAGTGTGTTTATATAAACAATGAAGCTGTTCATCAATCTGAAAAATGAAAGAAAAAACTGATTGTAGAGCGATATAGAAACATCAAAACAGAACTTTAATCATGTTTTTCCTTTTCAAAATAATCGATTATTGTCGCTACAAATTTCTAATTTCGATAATTAATCAATAGTCTGCCATCCACAATCGACTTGTTCAGTAGAGAATATCAACACTCTGTGAAATACTCTGCAATGTTTTTCTTCAATGAACGCAGGGCTGATCTGAATGTGAAGATTTACTTACATTTTCACACAATTCTAATTGTTTAGTTAAACACAGTTCTTGATCTTCTAAAATATAATTAATAAGATTATCATATTCATTGATCTTACAGTATTTATATTGACCTATCTGAGTTTTAGATATTAAAAAGTAGGTGCACCATTTTGTAGGGTTGATTAGAGTTTTGAAAATTTGTAAATAGTCTTCAGAAGTACTAGAAATGTAGGAAAATCACATTATTCCTTTAAAAAGCTAGGAATATTACTGTACTCACTATTTCTTTATATGTCTTTTCTATATATCATAGAGTATCTTAAATTGAGTCGTCATTTTAACATTCAAACGCGGATAATTCTGGACACACATGGATTTAAGAGCTGTGAACACTATTATTGATTGGCTTAGCTAAAAAATTCCACTAAAGTATGATTGGTAAAAAAAATAGTGAACCTGTCCCTTGAACTTGCTATGTGAGAATAATTACTCAAAATTACAAACTTTCTAAAAAGAATCCTCCGATTTGTTTATTCTAGGGTGATTCAACCTTTTTCTTTTTATTACCCCATTTTGAATCTTTGCTCAATTGCATTACCCCCCAACCCTATAAATCATTACTATTTTGATGTTATATCTTTTTTCATGTTGGTTATGTAGCCTGACTGTATAGAATAAATTAAATTATAACTGCCAAAACTTTATGCTAGACTATATATCAACCCCCTTGAAATATTTCAAAATATCCACCATTAATGTAATTACCACCAGGTTGAAAACCCCTGTTTTTGTGTTCAAATACAACAATTTCAATGAAGGCTATACCTTTCTGATTTTGCTCTTTCTTTTTCTTTGCCTTTGTATCAATTATAAATCTTTGAACAAACACATTGCTATTTTCTAAAGAAGAGGCTAAATTCTGGATATGAGTTTCATCTTTAAACGTGACCATGTGGTAAAGTCCATTTTCCTGAAAAATGAAATGAATAGCTGTATCTATAATAATTTGAAAGAAAGTTAAGAGGACTGTAAAAAAGTTTTCTAAATTTCTTTTGAGTATTGGCAATTATCAAATTTCGATAACAATTTTGGTCTATGAGTGAAATTGTTGTCATTCACCTCAGACATACAGAATCGTCAATTAACATTTGGCTCAAGGGTCACATTGAACTATCTTGATATATGGAGTATGATTTTATATCCAATTTTGGTTAAACGTTGAATACATTTTATGATTGAAATACGTTTCAAAATGACAGATTTATTTTGGAGAAGAATAGATTTGGAAGCACTCTCACTGTGGTCAAGAAGCACTCTAAAGAACCAAAGATAAACTTAGAAAACAGTTCAAATAAAAGCTATAAGTATCCTTGTAACACCTACAAAGTATAATTTGAATATCATCCATTTTTTCGAGTTATACCTTTTTGATATTTAAAATATTCTCAGGGCTGCCAAACTGATTCAGTTTTTTGACTGAGTGATCTATGTTATCTGTCTTGATTAATACTGTTCTTCTGGCTGTTTTTAAACGCTCTGCTATGACATCATGGTGATCCAATTCTTCCTTTAAAACACCATTTGTCATGATATTGGACAGTACCACTTTGCTTACAGGTCCTTCATCTGAAAATAAATGTTAAAATGAAACTGGCTACTCCATGCTTTGAGGAGTTCCAGCCAGGACAGTCGCCATTGTTTATTAGCTAGATGCTGAAATGAAAATGAATCTCATCTGTTATGTGTTCAAATAATAATGTAGAGTAATTTATTTCTTTAACAGCAGCATTAATTTTTTTAGCTTATTAAATAGATTAACAAGAAAATACCTGATCCTTTTTCTTGAACACTTTCTGACATGAGATCAGAGAGTACAACTTTGCTGATAGGACGTTCATCTGCAAATAAAATGTTAAAATGAAAATCAATGTGCCATTGTGCAATCGATGTATCGCGTACGACATGCCACATGTATCGATAATTCTTTTGCTTTTGATTCTGTTACGACATTTAATATTGTATAATCAAATCATGATCCTGTTTATACGGTATTGTGTAATTTGATTGGATAACAGCGGTCACATGCATTTAGTTTATATCTGTGTAAAAAGAATGTAAATTTAAGCTCCTCCCTCAACGGACTACTTTTATACACTGCGTTCCTTCAAACGTCGAAATCAACACTTCACTGAATAATAACAATTTTCCAAATTCCCTCGAATGTGCACACTCCAAATTCCAACAATACCACAAATTTTTTTACTTTTTTTGAACTCGTTTCTCAATAATTGCATTTCAAAGTGGCCGCTCCGTCAACTTTCAAGCAGTAGACAGTAGACTATAAATAGGATGACCTACTTATTGCTGCTTGGCTGTTTTCTAGGGCATCTGTTTTCAATTCATTAGTGTTATTTTAAAATCTTATGTATTTATGCGCCAATTTAGTGCCTTAAATTGTCGTTATTTTAGATAAATATTTAAACACATATTCGAGTTGATTTAATTATAAGGAATGACCATAAAATTTTTTTCAGTTTATTGATGAATAAACAGAAAAACCCTGTGTACATGTTACACGGTAGTATTGGATTGTCTTTATGGGTGTTGAAAATGACAACCACTGGAAAAGTGATTATTTGATTTTACAGAGGGGAATTTTCAGTCAGAAAAGTGGGTTATTTTCATGTGAATTTTCAGGGAGCAAAGTGTGTCTATTTCAAATATAAACTCACCTTATATTTCTATGGACAAATGGTAAAGAGCAGAAAACTTATTTTGAATATTTATGAAAAAATTCAATTCTAAGCTCAATGTAGTTAGACAGTACATACAATCATTATGGACTTTTGGTGGACTGGGAATACGTAGTTAAAATCACAGTTGCAGTCCATGACATGGGCTAGGTTAAAAAGTTGAAATAGTAAACAGAATTACTCACTCTTTGTCTTGGCATTTTTAGCTCCAGTATTTGAATTTGAATTTATATTGCCTGAAAATACAAAAAGTCACAAAATGGACAAAAGTAGGAGAAGACCTTGATATAAATAAAGAATAAAAAGCTAATCATTCTTGTATATAAAATTTACCGGATAGAAACAAAACAAGATTAGATTTATTAACAGATTGTCATAGGTTTTATCTCTTAAGAAACAATTCATAGGAACTTCCAGTTCATGTCATGGTTGTTAACATAAATCAGGTAAAAAAAAATGACTAAATAGAGAGTTTTATTAAGTCCCACTTTTCTGCACTTGATAAGTTTATTGGGCTAATGACGACGGGCAACGCAATATGCAGGGTGCAATGCAGGAAATGTTTTACATACTGCTGTAACTGTCAAATGTGCACATATATAGTGGAAAAGAGGTGGAAACCAGTGGGGACAAACTTGTAAAGGTGGACAACCACAACATGCCGTCAGAGAGATGATGATAGAACCCAGAACCCAGTCAGAGAGAGCAAAGTCAGTAAGTGTCAGACTGAATGAGAGCTTAGTAATGCCAACTAATCTTGTTCAATTAACTCTGCAAAAATAGTACTTCCTCTTACTATATGTTTTAACGCGTTTTGAACTATTACTACGACTGCGTAGTAAAGATAATAAATTCGCTCTACAAAACAAAATGATTCTCATGGAAGTCGCCATGTTGGTTTTGACGAATGTACAAAACGTAACCAATTCTAATAAAAAGTATAATTTATAAAGATAGGTTGTGCACTAAAACTCGTCGAATTGCAAACTGTCGATCGTATCAATATCCACCATAGAAGCAAAAGATAATTTGAGGACTAATTAGCTACACCAGCGGCTCGAATTTTATGGTTACGTACTTGCGAACGATTTAAACCGTACATAGTCATTTACTTCCGGTCGGCATGGTATTGAAATCCAGTCAACTATTGTACCAAAGTCAGAAATAAATGTTTGCTTTCAGTTTCATTCGTAGGCATATTTTCAAATTGCCATGCACCAAAATCAGTTCTGGATTTGTGTCTGAATCAGGTTTTAATTTACTTTTTCTTCTGAATTCTGTTTAGTTTCTGATCGAAGTCAGTTTTGCTCCCCCTAGCCAGGCCATTAATAACCCTTTTAGTAATTGAAGGTGCCTACTTACCTCAGCTACCTTGCACTACAGTGTAATTAAAGTCTATCCGAGTGCAGGAGATTTTTCTTTTGCATCAGTTCAATGTATGTATGTAAAGTTGCTTTGGAAATACCGAAATGAAGCCTATCAATCATCAACTGTTAATGTCAATATCAGTCAAAAAAATTTCCAACATAATAGATTAAAGCCTTGCACAACATCTACTAACCTAAAACCATTTGAATTTGTGTTTTTGATATATCTTGCAGGAATCCGATGTTGGTACCGACCATTCAGGATGGAAGAAAATCCTGTCAAATGTTTAATGTGTGGTGTAAATTATCATTCAGGTAATGTATTGCGGCAACTTTTAGCAAAAAGTGATACAGTAATCTAATGCTATTTGTTATTACAATAGAAAAGTTTGGAGAGGAAAAGAAACTGAGGCACCTTGTGCTATTGAAAGATGTCTTTGACAGTTGGAAATCAAGAGTAGGCTTTTGTCCTTGTAAAAGGTCCATCATTGTCCAATAAGGTGCAGAAAAGCTGAAAGTGATACTGCATTTCTTTTCTGACAAATTATAGATCTAGAATATTCTCTTTTCTCTTTCAGAATCGGACCGACTAAGACATTTAGAAGGTAAAAGACACAAGAGTAATTTAGATAAAGATTTGGGAGTATTTCACAAGTCAGTTGAAGTTCGTTGGGACTCGAGATGGCTAAAGTCAGAAGCTCTTAACCAATACTTTTCACAATTTGGGAATATAGAAAAAAGTTTTTGTAATCCTTCGGTAAGTGTTAATATGCTTGTCTAATTTGATTAGATTGCAGAATAGATCCGATTAGATAAACCCCGTACTTATGATCTGAAATTTGTGAAATCCGAAATCCAAAACAATATATTGGCATTACATTGGGCAAAAGCTAATGAACTTTGCTTCTAAAGAAAGATCACAAGTCAGTGATATTTTAAAGTGAAAAATTACTTAAAGAGGTTTTCTACAAAACCATTCAAATTTTTGGTCAGATGTCTGTGGTTCCTGATATTCTGCTTAAACTAAATGTTAGAAGTGTAACTAATTGCGGAGAGCCTTCTGTGATATTTTGCGATTAGTGACATCATCAAACACCCCAATTTTTATCCACGAGATCTTTGACAAGGTCAAATTTGAGTTCGATTCACAAATGTTAAATTTGGCTTGTGAATGAATTTTCTTGGACAAGTTAGATTTTTGGTACGATTTGACAAAAATATTGATAACAGCCCTTGATATACTGACAATTTATTAGGTAAGTGGGTGTATCTTGCTAGGTAACCACTTGCTTTCTTATTTCAGAAAAACTATGCATTTTTTTACTTTAACAACTATGATACTGTGAATCAGATATTACAAAGAGAAGATCATTCTGTTAATGGAATTTCAATTAAAATAAAGAAACGTTCAATCGCTCCACCTAAAACAAAATCAAAAACAACCATGGATTACAATGCTGGGAAAATCAAAGCACATACTGAATTAATACAGAAGCTTAAGAATTTGGATACTGTAAGTCAGTTATTAGATTAACTTATTTATGTTTCAAAATACTATATAATCAGTTTTACAAATATTTTCCTCATCCTACACTGCATGGTGTTGTCAATCTTTATTTGCCCATACTATTCAATACATCAATCTTGTATTTTACTATTCAATACATCAATCTTGTATTTTACTATTCAATACATCAATCTTGTATTTTACTATTCAATACATCAATCTTGTATTTTACTATTCAATACATCAATCTTGTATTTTACTATTCAATACATCTATCATGTATTTTGCTATTCAATACATCTATCATGTATTTTACTATCAATACATCTATCATGTATATTGCTATTCAATACATCTATCATGTATTTTGTTATTCAATACATCAATCTTGTTTTTTACTATCAATACATAAATCTTGTATTTTACTATTCAATACATCTATCATGTATTTTACTATTCAATACATCTATCATGTATTTTACTATTCAATACATCAATCTTGTATTTTACTATTCAATACATCAATCTTGTATTTTACTATTCAATACATCTATCATGTATTTTACTATTCAATACATCAATCTTGTATTTTACTATTCAATACATCTATCATGTATTTTGCTATTCAATACATCTATCATGTATTTTACTATCAATACATCTATCATGTATATTGCTATTCAATACATCTATCATGTATTTTGTTATTCAATACATCAATCTTGTTTTTTACTATCAATACATAAATCTTGTATTTTACTATTCAATACATCTATCATGTATTTTACTATTCAATACATCTATCATGTATTTTACTATCAATACATCAATCTTGTATTTTATTATTCAATACATCTATCATGTATTTTACTATTCAATACATCAATCTTGTATTTTACTATTCAATACATCAATCTTGTATTTTACTATTCAATACATCAATCTTGTATTTTACTATTCAATACATCTATCATGTATTTTACTATTCAATACATCTATCATGTATTTTACTATCAATACATCTATCATGTATTTTACTATCAATACATCTATCATGTATTTTACTATTCAATACATCTATCATGTATATTGCTATTCAATACATCAATCTTGTTTTTTACTATCAATACATCAATCTTGTTTTTTACTATTCAATACATAAATCTTGTATTTTATTATTCAATACATCTATCATGTATTTTGTTATTCAATACATCAATCTTATATTTTACTATCAATACATCTATCATGTATTTTACTATCAATACATCTATCATGTATTTTACTAATCAATACATCAATCTTGTATTTTATTATTCAATACATCTATCATGTATTTTACTATCAATACATCTATCATGTATATTGCTATTCAATACATCAATCTTGTATTTTATTATTCAATACATCAATCTTGTATTTTATTATTCAATACATCAATCTTGTATTTTATTATTCAATACATCAATCTTATATTTACATCAATTGTATATTTTACTGATATTTTTTAGATGACCGAGCAGATGAAAGCCATAAGGGAAACTTTAAGACTAACTCCAAGTCAAATACAAGAAAGAGAAAATGTAGCTAAGTCATTGACTGGTATATTTCGGAAGTTTATTCCAGGTAATTATTAGTTCTTGAATACAGTGGTGATGTGTTCTTATGGAACCAATTTTGTGAAATTTTGCCCACTCTTAAAGGGACATGTGGGCCATTTTGAGTGTTGAATATATGTAAATAGTCTTCAAAAGTAATAGAAATGTACGAAACTTCCTTTAAATATATCTCAAACTTGGAATTCATCTTTCTATTTTTATAGATGTCTTTTCTATATATAGCAGTGTCTCCATAAAAAGACGACTCGTCTTCTTAACTTTCAAACTTGGAAAATTCTGGACAAGCATTGATTTGCACAATATTACTGATTGACATAGCTGACAAATTCCCGTTTCTAAATAACCTAAAATATGATTGGTCAAAAAATGGCGCATCTGTTCTTTCACTATGCATCATTGAAGACATCTTGTTTTGTCATCTGAAGAGTTATTGTTGTAGAAATGCCCTCTCTTGTTTTACTTCATGGTCAATTTCAGTGCAAATGCATTGGTGTGACTTTACAATGAGACCACTATTTTAGAGGATTTGATATTGAGATCTGGGGCGTTATTCTTTAAAACTTAACTTCAGACAATTTTAGTCATCTGATTGGTCAATCACTAAAATTGATATAACATTTTGTTTTGTTATCCGATCAAATTACTGTATTTTCTTAAAATCTGTATTTTATTTATGTTAAGTTTTGGAGAATAAGTCCCCTGAGGAATTTCCACATTGCTTACTGCATGGCATTGTATAGTAAATGTTAAAATACTGTATTTCAGCATGTTCTGTCCATCTGTTTGGTTCATCTGTCAATGGTTTTGATATGAAAGGTGGTGATATAGATTTGTTCTTGGATTTACATGAGGAAGAAATTAATATAGAAGAGCAGGTAAGCATTCTTATTATCAAAAATCTTGTAAATTTAACCTGAAAGTATTTGTAAAGTATGTTATTTATATCTATGTATCTACTTGATCAAACTGAATTTGTGGGACTCATTTCTATAGATTTTGGATAGATAGTTTTCACAAATTTGAGGAAACATTTTTTCGACCTACAAAAAAGCAGAATGCACGCTTAAACTTTTAAAATTCAAGTACAGTAGTTTATATTTGATTGTACACAAACCATTGGTTGAAATTTTTCTCTTCAATTTCAGACAGTGCCTTTTCCTAAAGGCCTGCAGCGTAGACGATATATGGACCAAAAAAAAATGTTTAATTTTTATCAATTGTCTCTGATAGACAAGATTCTTTTCACTGGAACTGTTTTAAGAGCAAGATCTTCATTCGCAAGCAATGTTATCTGTATTACTGGAGCTCGGTGTCCTGTTGTAAAATTTAAGCATGTTTTAACAGGGCTGGAATGTGATATTTCGATCAATAACAGGTAAGTGTTGAACGTCTGGTCTATCGGGGGTATTTGACTACAAGGGCAGGCAACTCTGACTGAAGGGACGTAACTCTTGTTAAGAGATGTTCTGTGTAGGTTTCGAATCCTGGTCGAGGATTCAGTAAAATATAAAATCAGAGCAAAAATTCAACCACCTTTTATTATTCATCTCATTCAAGGCTACACCACTTTGTTGGACTAGAAGGGAAGTAATTCCTGTCAAGAAGACTAAATTAGACCACAATATGACAGTTAGTAATGATAATAATAACAATCCGTATTGTATAGAGCTGGTACATTTAGTAAAATTGCTCAGAGGCACATATTTTCAAATAAAACATTTGTAAAAGCTCTGGGAGAAAAAATCTTCAAGTATTTATGTTGTTACCTTTCTCTTCAGGTTAGCTTTAAGAAACACAAAGTTGTTGGCATTATATGGTAATTTAGATGAAAGAGTAAAAGATCTTGTGTACACTGTTAGATATTGGGCCAAGGTACACAAGTTGGCTGGTGATGTCACCGCAGGCTTATCAAGTTATGCCTTGACTTCATTAGTCATATTTTTTCTACAAAATACAAGCCCTCCAGTTCTGCCCAAATTACAGAGTTTGAAAAGTTTGACAGGTGAGAAACAGAAATATTATAATGACTAGGTGGGAAGAGATTGACATTCCCTGTACGATATATCAGTGAATCAGTGTATTCTGATATAATATGCCACAATGCGCTTAGTGCTGTCACGATATATATCTATCAATCAATGTGTATTGCGATACGATATGCCACAATGTGCTGATCATATCACAAGGGTGTTTATCGATACATGACCATACCTCTCATTCCATCAAAAAGTTGTTTCATCAATTTTTATCCCATTACTCCATATTGAGATGTGTATCGTATGGTGGCATGATTGGTGATACCCAGCACTAATTCTCTGATGCAGAGTGGAAGGTTATCTATTTCCCTATAGCATTCAAATATTCATATTCAAATTGTAAGGATGTAAATATGTGGGCTAGAGATCATTGCAATACATTTAAGCTGATTCTCTGTCCAAAATGTGACACAATATATCTCCTCTCCTATCAATGATAGTATTTACAGCTCACTGTTGAAATTTTAGCCTTCAAATTCATGTGAGTCCAGAATTATCTGTGTTTGAAAGTTAAAATGACGACTCATTCTTTCTTGACACTGTCATATATAGAAAAGACATCTATAGAAAAGACATCTATAGAAAAGACATCTATAGAAATTGAAAGTGAAATTTCTAGTTTGAAGTTTATTTGATGGGACATATTTTACATATTTAAGACTCAAATCAACCGCAAAAATGGAAAATCATGGCAATTTCCCTGCACGTTAAGATTAATCTGAAATTTTTTTGATTTTAGATGAAAAAGTTGTGATTGATAATTGGGACTGTTCATTTACAGATGATATTAATACTATACCTAAAACAACTAACACTGACACTGCAGGTAATACTTCCAACTGTTACGGGAACACGTTCGTCAATCGATCAATTGACCAATCGTAACTTAGTTTCAGAAAGAGAAAAATTTTTAGCTAAGCCAATCAGTAATCGTGTTCACAGCAACGTATTGAAATTTGAGCCTTCAAATCCATGAGTGTTCACAATTATCCGAGCTTGAAAGTTAAAAAGACGTTATCTTTACTTGAGGCACTGCCATGTATAGATAAGACATCTATAGAAATATAAGAAGAAATTTTGAAGGAATTATGCGATTTTGGTATTTTTCTATTTTTGAAGACTATTTACCTATAGTTATGTATTTATTTCCCAATTATCGAGAAAAAATTTTGTAAGTTCAACACTTTGAAAATTGATTTTAGATGGAAGGAATCGTTGGAATTTTCTGAAAATCCCCACAGGAAGGGCAGGGAGGCGGATCAGCAACAGTGGCAGTCATGGCACCTGGCAAGTCTAACTGATGAATATATACACTTGACTGAGTTTGAGAATTTAAATTTTACATCCATTCTAGACAGCATTCCCTTACTCTGTTGCAGGTCAATTGTTTGAGAAATTCTTTGAATTTCATAAGCAGATTTCATACAACAAAATGGTATTATTATGTAGTCAAGCAACAGTTGTCCCAATTGAAGAATTCAACAAAGAGATAAAATACTACCCATCTTCTAAGATGTATCCTTTTTTTAGGGTAGGAAAATTATGTTGATTTAACCCTTTGAACCCTGAGTAAATAAAATAAAATGTCATATACCCTTAACCCTTTAAACTCTGAGTGTAAACAAAATAAAAAGCTACATACCATGATTCCATTAACCCTTTGATCTCTGAGTATAAATTAAATATAATGTCATATACCCTGAACTTCAAGTAAATATAACTTAAAGTGTATGACGTTGTGTGACGTCACTTAGTAACAGCTGGTAAACCCGCCATGCGAGTATATATTTTATATATATATATGTGGCCGCTAGGGGAGAAAGGTCATGGTTCACCAGTTTCAGAAACTGGAATTGTTCAGCTAAGCCTTAGAAAATCAGTAATATTGTTCACAGCTTACCATGTGTATCCATAATTATGATTTATGAATTGCTGATTCACCTTTTTCAAGACTCTGCCAAATTGTAAAACTGTTAAAGACTGGAAAATCAAAATTTACCTCTACACTATATTTCCTTTTAAAGACCTTTTCAACAAGAGGAACAATTTTCAAGTACCCAGAGAGAATAAACTTGTGAAAAAAGACTAAAATGTGAAATTTCAAGTTTGAATTATTTCTGAAGGAATTATGCGGTTTTCGAACAGTTCTAGACTATTAAATGGTGAACCATGGTCTTCTTGGAGGTCAGACAGATCAAGTCCTCCACTTAGTCTATCCTGAATCCTATAGACTCCTCTTTTTTACATTTTTAATCTGACCCAGATAAATATCTCCACTTATTAAAAGCTGTTGAATCATGGTCAGTTATAGCATTGGTTGTGATGACATGATGTCATTGCTTGGTTTCGTCAATGGCGGCTGTGGGTTCTAATCTCAATCAGTGTGTGAAATGCTGATGATCTTCAATAAGTCATCTTCAATCATAATTCCAGTCGACCCAGCTGTAAATGGGGAAAAATCAAAGCCAAGATATTTAGCGCAGGACCAGCTGGAAGAAACGATCTTTAACTGTGAACTTAAGTTGTTATCCTTGTAAAATATAGTTGCTTCTTCTTCTTACCTTTGTTCTGAGAACGAATTTTAATGATAATTTTTTTTTTCCTTAGTTAGGTGAGATGAATGTCCAAGATCCATTTGTATTAAGTCACAATATAACAATGAATATCAACTCCAAACAGAAAAATGGCTTAAAAATGCGTCTGACCATTTCATCGAGAGAAATTAAAAAATGCTTGGAATCAGATGAAAAAAAAATGGCTCTAATTCGTGCTCTGGATGTGACCAGTGACTCTTCTGAAACAATTCACCATAGTTTCCCTATAGATTTAAAACAGGAAGTGACTTCTGAAGAAAATGTACGTTTGAGTAATTATTCATGGTGTGTTCACGCTTGTCAATTCGTGGAAAAACTGTTGTCGGATATTCTATATTTTGAAATGAACTTGGAACAGAATAATATCATGTCAGAAGAGGAATTTCAAATTCGGTCAGAGGACTTTCAAATTGGGTCACATGATGATGCTACAATGGACATCAACAGCAAATTTGCTGAACTGGAAGAGGAAAATTTTACACCATCTGGTGACACTTTTGCTAACCAAGTATTAGCAGATTATAATGAAATAAGTGAGAAACAAACTAAACGTATTTTATTAGAAACAGAGGAACATAGTGCTAAACGAACAAAAACAGACTTAGACAATCCAGTTTCATCTACAAGTGGTCAATTTAAAAATTCTCCTTATCTTGATGCAGAAACTAAAAACTTGCACAAACAAGTTTTGATTGAGGACTCTGACATCCAGACAGGAGCTACCCCATTCGATAATTGTGACAATGAAGCTGCTGGTACTAGCAACCAGAGTGATATACCAGATCTATTAGAATACAATGATACTTTAACTAGTGAAGATGACAATACTATTACAACTAGTGAAGATGACAATACTATTACAACTAGTGAAGTGGATGAAATTGATTTAGGTGAAATAGTATTTAATTGCCATGCTGAAAATGTTCCATTAGCTGGTAGGCATAAAGCAGAAAAAGAAATTAAGATGGAACAAATAATAAAGGACTTGGCGCTGGAGAAAGAAATATCTAAGTGTATCATGGAACGCGGTGATTACCAGCCTATCAATTTAAATTTCAAATGCATATTAAAACCCAGTATTTCAGCCTCTCACACTAGAGTCAATGTGAGCTTTGAAAGGCCATTAGATGAAAAATCAAGACAATTTGCGTTTATTTATGATTTTTTAAAGGCCTTTATTTTAACAATGTTTAAGAAAGATTTAAATAAACAATATGAGGGGGACAACCCTGATCACATATAGATTTACAGTTGTGTGATATAATTAATATAATAATTAATGCCAAATTATGTAAGCTCAGTCTTTGCTTCATGATGTCAAGGTATCACAAATTTTATACTTGTACCTTGACTGCAATAGCCACCTTTCTTGTATCATTGAAGTTTGTAAATGAACTGATTTGATTAGATTGTACACTAACAAATACAGCCAATCTCAGGCTTGACAGAAAGTCTGTGAACACGAAGCCAAAGCCTTTCTGTCGAGGGCTGGGATTGACTGTACTTCGGTGGCATACAATCCAATCAAATTACTGCATTCTGTGATACAAGAATAGTGGCTATTGCAGTCATGGTATAAGTATGAAGGTTGTAATAGCTTGACATTGTTATTAATCATGATGTACCAAATCAAAGTTGATTGTGAAATATTGTTGATTGTCATATATTAATGTTTAAGGGGCAGTCTCATTTTAGTAGGTTTGGAAAGTTTGGTGATTACTTAACTATTAGCACTCCGTGTTTTAATCAGCCCTTTTAAAACAAAATTCAGGTTAATCAAGTAGATAAATTAAAGTAAAAAGCATATTTTAGAAATATTTTCACATATAATTAATATTTTTAATAATGCAAATTTTGCAAACTGCCCCTTTGAGAAATCAATATATGCTGTGAAAGTTTGCTGAAGATTGCAAGATAAAGTATACTGTGGTTTTGTTTTTGATATGAGTTGTTTTTGATAAGATTTTATGGGTACAAACAAACAACTGTGTATGCTGATTGTTGTTATTCTTTAAGCAGGGATCCCAGTAAGGAATACAAAAATGGAAAATGTTAGCTTAGGGTCAAAGGGGCCACAGGCTCCCATGTGGGGTACAGGCTCCCATGTGGGGTACGGGGGCGATTTGGCCATTTTAAGATTATATGGAAGTTATTTCCTATATAGAAATCTTTTCTTCCCTCTAACCAAATTTTTTGTGGTTTTATTCAAATTTAAAAAAATACCACTGGCAGAAAAATAGAGGAATTCCTCTAAAAAGATGTCTGGGATCCCGGTTGAAGTTATCGTTACAACAAAGCGACTATGTTATTTGTTTGAATATATGTCTGTCAGATATATATCTTTCCAACTAATGATTTCATATGATATTAAATTGTATTCTTGAGTTAAGACCCTAGGAAATCCAGAAACAGTGTTAGAAGTTAAGACCCTTAGATATCCTAGGAACAGTGCTAAATGTTAAGACCTTAGGATATCCTAGAAACAGTGTTAGAAGTTAAGACTCTAGGATATCCCAGCAACAGTGTTAGAAGTTAAGACCCTAGGATATTCTAGAAACAGTGTTAGAGGTTAAGACCCTAGGACATCCTAGAAACAGAAGTTAAGACCCTAGGATATCCTAGAAACAGTGTTAGAAGTTAAGACCCTAAGATATCCTAGAAACAGTGCTAAATGTTAAGACCTTAGGATATCCTAGAAACAGTGTTAGAAGTTAAGACTCTAGGATATCCTAGAAACAGTGTTAGAAGGTAAGACCCTAGGATATTCTAGAAACAGTGTTAGAGGTTAAGACCCTAGGACATCCTAGAAACAGAAGTTAAGACCCTAGGATATCCTTGAAACAGTGTTAGAAGTTAAGACCCTAAGATAACCTAGAAACAGTGTTAAATGTTAAGATCCTAGGATATCCTAGAAACAGTGTTAGAGGTTAAGACCCTAAGATATCCTAGAAACAGTGTTAGAAGTTAAGACCCTAAGATATCCTAGAAACAGTGTTAGAGGTTAAGACCCTAAGATATCCTAGAAACAGTGTTAGAGGTTAAGACCCTAGAATATCCTAGAAACAGTGTTAGAGGTTAAGACCCTAAGATATCCTAGAAACAGTGTTAGAAGTTAAGACCCTAAGATATCCTAGAAACAGTGTGAGACGTTAAGACCCTAGGATATCCTAGAAACAGAGTTAGAGGTTAAGACCCTAGAATATCCTAGAAATAGTGTTAGAAGTTAAGACCCTAGGATATCCTGGAAACAGTGTTAGAGGTTAAGACCCTAGGACATCCTAGAAACAGTGTTAGAAGTTAAGATCCTAGGATATCCTAGAAACAGTGTTAGAAGTTAAGACCCTAGGATATCCTAGAAACAGTGTTAGAAGTTAAGACTCTAGGATATCCTAGAAACAGTGTGAGACGTTAAGATCTTAGGATATCCTAGAAACAGTGTTAGAGGTTAAGACCCTAGAATATCCTAGAAACAGTGTTAGAAGTTAAGACCCTAAGATATCCTAGAAACAGTGTTAGAAGTTAAGACTCTAGGATATCCTAGAAACAGTGTCAGAAGTTTAGACTCTAGGATATCCTAGAAACAGTGTTAAAAGTCGAGACTCTAGGATATCCTAGAAACAGTGTTAGAGGGTTAAACCCTAGGATATCCTAGAAACAGTGTTAGAGGGTTAAACCCTAGGATATCCTAGAAACAGTGTTAGAGGTTAAGACCCTAGGATATCCTAGAAACAGTGTTAGAGGTTAAGACCCTAGGATACCCTAGAAACAGTGTTAGAAGTTAAGACCCTAAGATATCCTAGAAACAGTGTTAGAGGTTAAGACCCTAGGATATCCTAGAAACAGTGTTAGAGGTTAAGACCCTAGGATATCCTAGAAACAGTGTTAGAGGTTAAGACCCTAGGATATCCTAGAAACAGTGTTAGAGGTTAAGACCCTAGGATATCCTAGAAACAGTGTTAGAGGTTAAGACCCTAGGATATCCTAGAAACAGTGTTAGAGGTTAAGACCCTAAGATATCCTAGAAACAGTGTGAGAAGTTAAGACCCTAGGATATCCTAGAAACAGTGTTAGAGGTTAAGACCCTAGGACATCCTAGAAACAGTGTTAGAAGTTAAGACCCTAGGATATTCTAGAAACAGTGTTAAAGGTTAAGACCCGAGGATATCCTAGAGTCAAGAGTGTTTGGAGGATACATATAGAAGGTACTTCTTGTTTTTCTGCAGGCTAACTGCACTGCCTACGAAAAAAAACAGGGGAATTAGCCCACAGCCAGAAAACTACTGTGAAGTAAGGGTGATGTGCAGTTTAATCAGATTTAAAATCTAAACTTTCAATTGATTTTCATACATTACTAGTAATTCTGAAGACTATTTACATAATATATTCAAGACCTAAATCAACCCTTGAAAATGGCGAATTTGTCCCTTCAATACTAACTATATGATAAACATGTATTGTAGTTGATATCTACAAGAATTGTAGTTGATATCTACAAGACAGTGTATAAATGGTAAATATTGGAATACCGTCTAATTGTTGGAATGATATTGTTAGTTTGTGTTCAGCCTTTATGATAAATGAAATATTCATGATCATGCTTTGTTTTGATAAACTCAGATGGGCTTATTTAGTCAATGACTTGTAACAAATTATGGATAAACGAATCAGACCTTACGCCCAAGGACAAACATTGATGCATTGTGAAACAGTTATAAAAAATCAGACCTCTGTCGTTTTATAAGACCTTTATTATATTTAAATACATGCACCTAAACATTACAAGGCAATGTCTTCTGAACTTTTATTAAGATAAGAAATTGAAGTTTGAATAATATCACAGATATACTATAAATAATGAGACATTAAAAATATACAATTTCTAAAATATCTACTGTACATAAAAATTGGCTAAAAAATACTAAATAATATAACAGTACAATATAACAAACTAAAAATATAATAATCTGGAGATATTTATGTATATCCTGGAACTTTTCAAATCATTTAGTCTCAATCAAATATATTTAAAAAAAAGGCTGTCCTGGTCCGATTAGAAACAAACGCAGAAGAAAATGTGACAAATGATCAGAGGCACTTGTAGTTAAATAAAGAATAAGTGCCAAAATCTTACAATTTATTTCACAACTATCTTGGCAATTAGAAAGGCACCTGGGCCTTTTAAGGTTTAAGCTGCTAGCTTTTGTGAAGGAATTTGGGATATTTGTTACTTGCATTTTTTAATTTAATTTTGAAAAGTAAGTTCCACAGGTTTACATTTAATTTCACAATTGTAAAGGCAGTTGGAATTGGACCAGCTCCTTTTGAGTGGTGAAGGCATTTGATAGCTTGAGTAGGATTCAAAAATTACTAAGGCCTACTCTACTATCAGATAGCATACAATAGCACAAGACATCACAAGTAAGATAAAGAAGAGAATATTATGTTTTAGAAGACAAGGATATCTTTAGTTTGATTCAATTAAGAGCTTGTTCATGATTATCTTTACAGTAAAAATAAATTAAAAGGTCTTTACATAATTTACATCCATATATTGGTATATATTTCTTTATTCTTTTTATCTGGAAAAACAAAACATCAATTATGTTGTATTTATTGATAAGCTATATGGATGAGCTATATTGATAAGCTATATGGATGAGCTGTATTGACAAGCTATATGGATGAGCTGTACTGATAAGCTATATGGATGAGCTATATTGATAAGCTATATGGATGAGCTATATTGATAAGCTATATGGGTGGGCTGTATTAATGAGCTATATTAATGAGCTATATTGATAAGCTAAATGGATAAACTAAATTGATCAGCTATATGGATGAGCTATATTGATAAGCTAAATGGATAAACTAAATTGATCAGCTATATGGATAAGCTATATTGATAAGCTATATGGATGAGCTATATTGATAAGCTATATGGATGAGCTGTATTGATAAGCTATATAGATGAGCAATATGAATGAGCTATATTGATAAGCTATATGGATAAGTTATATAGATGAGCAATATGAATGAGCTATATTGATAAGCTATATGGATGAGCTATATTGATAAGCTATATGGATGAGCTATATTGATAAGCTATATGGATGAGCTGTATTGATAAGCTATATTGATAAGCTATATGGATGAGCTATATTGATAAGCTATATGGATGAGCTATATTGACAAGCTATATGGATGAGCTGTATTGATAAGCTATATAGATGAGCAATATGAATGAGCTATATGGATGAGTTATATTGATAAGCTATATGGATGAGCTGTATTGACAAGCTATATGGATGAGCTGTATTGATAAGCTATATGGATGAGCTGTACTGATAAGCTATATGGATGAGCAATATGAATGAGCTATATTGATAAGCTATATGGATAAGTTATATTGATAAGCTATATGGATGAGCTGTATTGACAAGCTATATGAATGAGCTGTACTGATAAGCTATATGGATGAGCTATATTGATAAGCTATATGGATGAGCTGTATTGACAAGCTATATGGATGAGCTGTACTGATAAGCTATATGGATGAGCTGTATTTATAAGCTAAATGGATAAACTGTATCAATAAGCTATATGCCGATTTAACAATACCAGCAATGAAGTTGAATTAGTATCAGTTGCTCCAAAATGGTTAATACTAACATGTCCTGTTTGACATCTGTTTCCATTGCACAATAATATGAAGATGAAATGGAATAAATCTACTGAGTGCTTTCAGGAAATTTGTAAGGCTTTAACAAGTCTTAACTTACCTATTTTTTCTTACTAGGTGCCTCATCTCCAATCAGAATTAATAAAGCTTTCTTATAATCCCCAGAGGTATCATCCTAGAATAAAACAATGTTTGATCAGAATCTTAACAATAATACATACAGACTTGGTTCTTTCCTTTCTCTAAATCTTGTTTGCTTTCAAATAAATATACATGTAAATGAATTTCATCTGATACCTTGACTGCAATAACCACCTTTCTTGTATCACAAAAGTTTGTAAATGCTTCGATTTTTTTTAATTGTATGTTAGCGAATACAGTTAATCACAGTCCTCAACAGAAAGTTTGTAAATAATAAGCCATGCCATAATGTTGACAGTCTATCTGTGACTGGCTTACAATCCAATCAAATCATTGCATTATGTGATACAAGATAGGTGATTATTGAAGTCAAGATAAAAGAAGAAGTTTATAATAGCTTGACATTGCGAAGATATCCTCAGACAAGAGTCCGGAAGTATCGATAAACATCAAGCCAACTGTCAGAACATTACTTACCGTGATAAACATTCCCAGAGTTTGTTTATAATTCTTCTGAAATTCTTCTTTAATTTGAACCATGTCCACCTCACATCTAGAGACGACTATTCTTACCAGCGTGTCATCATCAGTTCCTAGACCTTTCATAGCACGATATAACTCACTAGCAAAATACGCTGCCTTGTTACGAATACACTTCACTGAAAAACATCATGTTCATTAATTTGATTGTTGATTAGTCAACTTAATATGCTAATTTAATGTAACTAGCACTAGAGACTGTCTTATGAAGATTACACTTCACAGAATAACATGATGTTCACTATTTTACAATGTTGATTAGTCAACTAAAGAAATTGTGAAAAGCATAAATTTTTGTATGTATCAGGGGCACTGGGTATGTTGATTTGCACCATTACAATTTTCATTCAGATATCTCTAAGTTTCCAATCCACTAAAACTATCCCAAAGCCCTTTAGATAAAATAAGTTTATTTTGCAACAGTAAAATTGTTAAGCATTTCTATATTTACAGAAACCACAGGAAGAAAATTGGAATGGTGCAAATAGAGCTATTAGCGCCCCTGATACACATGAAAAAAGTTAAGTTGACCACTTTGATAACGATATCAAAATGACGTTCTCTTTACAATCATATAGTTTTGTAATGTAAAAACAGTTTATATTCAGAAAAGATCTCTTACCAATGGCTAACATACTGTTTTTGATATCACCAGACATTTCACTCTTTATAACATCTTCAATATCATTATTAGCCAGCTTGGCATATTCTTGGAAGGTAGCTCGTAATTGTGCGTAGCTTCTCGATGATAAGATAACATTAAATCTTGATTCATCAGTTCCCCATTTCTTCTCTCCTGCTTCATGTAAAGCTTGAGCATCCTGTCTGGCCTTATTTCTATCAAATTCTGTTCCCTCTGGTCTGTTACATTGTAGTATGGATACAAGAATTCGTTTGAAATGACCAGATGTATCACCTTCTACATCTTTCTCTAGTTCTTTATTATATACTGAAATGAAGGAATCGAAATGGAGTTTTACACCCTACTGTTGAGCATCTAGAGTTTATAAGACTATCAGTGTAACCATATCCCCTAATGTTGCAGGCCTTCCTATATCAAATTAAAAAAAATCATAAATATATCTGGCTTTTTTTTTTTTGCACAGATTTTAAGTTACAAAATCCCATAACTCTAGTAAAATATATTACCCATAACTCTAGTAAAATATATTACCCATAACTCTAGTAAAATATATTACCCATAGCTCTAGTAAAATATATTACCCATAGCTCTAGTAAAATATATTACCCATAACTCTAGTAAAATATATTACCCATAACTCTAGTAAAATATATTAAACTTACATGATTTATAAGTTTCTTTAATAGTTTTCAGTTGTTCATTTGATCTGGTACAAATAATTTCCACTAAAACTTGTTCATCTGTACCTAAACCCTGTTGAATATCAAATAATATCAATAAGATATTAGCACCAAACTTAACTTTCTATTGTATATTCAGTTTGAGCCCGGTAACTCAAACAAATGGTTGTCTTGGGTTCTAATCTCAATCGGCTTGTGAAAGTCACATGACCATGAATAAGTCATATTTCCTCATTATTCCTATTAACCCAGATGAAAATGGGTATTGCTCATCCGGAAAAGATCAATGCCAAGAGGTTTGGTCAAGGACCAACTTGTTGAAAAGATGTAAGTTCTTATTCTTGTAAACGAAATGGTTGTTTATTCCATTGAATATCCCCAATTCACAACTTTGGCAGCTAGAAAACCTCTTTTAAATCTGTTCATGCAAGTTAACCTACAGTGTGCACAAAGTAAAAGGATGAACAAACCAAATACTAACGATCCGTAACCGCAAAACGAAACCAGAAATCCAAAAACAACATAATGGCGAAACATTGGTTGCAGCTAACCAAAAGATGTAATATTACTACTTCCAAACGTATTTAACAAAAGCAGATCCTAACTCACCTTGATGGCTTTATTGAGTTTTTTAGCATCAAATTCAGCACTAGATAACAATAGATCTGTACAAATTGTTTTAAAATTACCACTCAATTCGCTTTTCAACTCACTGGCTAAATCCTGTCAAAAAAAATAAATACATTAGGTTTAAAGATTACAAGGCACTATATTACTGAGGACAGATTTTACCAGATACACTACATGATGAGAATGTGTATACATTATACAGACTAGTCACAATTTTATGGTATGTGACAATACTGAAAATTCAAAAACTCAATGGTAATTAACTCGTTTAAATATATGGATGCATGGTTCAAAGCTATAAGAAAGATGAAATAATAAATAGTTATAACATCTTTTGGTATAAATTACCTTTCCGAACATTGTTTTAAATGATTTAGCTATCTCTATTCTCTGTTCATTTGATCGTCGTGGCAACACACTCAAGATGGCGGCCTCATCAGTTCCTGTAGAAATGAAAAATATAACAAACTATATATTCCAAGTTAGTGGGATATTAGAGAATGACAAGACGATGTTTTTTTCCATTACATACATTAAATCTAAAGATTGTGTAAATGCCATCTTTTAAAAATTAAATTAAATATATTTTCTTCTCCATTGTAATCTAACAAGTTTTCTTCCACAGTTCTGTTCCAATGACATTATTTTTAACCAATAAAAGCGTATCATGTAGATCCTGTTACTTGATCAGGACTGTGGTAAATTTTAAACTAATCAGATTAGGATAAATGTAAGTGATTCACCACAATGATCGCAGTAGAAATTATATGTGAACTCACCAAATCCTTTCATAGCTTTTCTCAGAACCTCACAGTCTTCTTCAGCATTAAAACCTTCAAATGGTTTGACAGTAGGATCTTCCTGTAAATAAAACAGTAGATACAGTCATTTCAAGTTAATTCATTTGTGATTTGCCATATCTTAAACTTACCGGTAAGTGTCAGTGGGAAAATATCACATAAATAGGATAAATGACTCAGCGAGTATGCCAGAAAAAGTATACCATACTACTGTCTCCCATTATTTAACAAGATACTTTGTAGGACTTCAGTTATTTTAAGATTAATACAAACCTGTCTTGGTTCATTTTCTAATTTAACATCCTCATCTAATTGTTCATCTGTTTTATTTTTAACAGCTTCCACAAAACCTTTACCAGCTGCAAGTATATAAGAATAAAACATTGGTCTCAATAGTTACAAGTGTCACATTACAGACTGGATAATGAGGAACATTGAAGGCAGTGAAATTAGAAATGTTAATATATATCAGTAATTTGTATATATGTAGCACAATTTGTCACTGATATTTAAATTCTTACAGACATAGAGATTAGTCATAACCAAATGAAATGTGTGACTTTGTTTTGTGAGGATTTGTGTAAATCTTAAAATAGTGGAAGAGAACTTGTGAACCTTTCATCATCTCTTCAACACGATCAAAACACATGTTTCTTAGCGTTTTCTTTTTAGCCGATAAGCCTCAAAGTTAGTGATAAGGGGATGAGGTTCTTACAACAAAGTAACAAAGGAAATCTTACATTTTGATGCTGTATCTGGTGGATCACCACCTAAAACCAGAGCTAGAATAACATTACGATAATCTCCAGAGATATCATCCTACAATAATATTTAATCAAGATAGATCAGAAGTGGCAGGATGACATTACTATTACTATAACACCTTGTATCACATAAACTCTTAAGTTTTCACCCACAGGGAAATTTAATTGTAAGCTTTTATACACTCATAGATTATATTATATCATTACCATTTTTTAAACTGCTCTTTCAAACCATAGGTCATCCATTTTTTTACCTCTTGATAATCTCAATGCAAACACTGAGCTATAGATAATCTCATTGCAGACACTGAGCTATAGATAATCTCATTGCAGACACTGAGCTATAGATAATCTCATTGCAGACACTGAGCTATAGATAATCTCATTGCAGACACTGAGCTATAGATAATCTCATTGCAGACACTGAGCTATAGATAATCTCATTGCAGACACTGAGCTATAGATAATCTCATTGCAGACACTGAGCTATAGATAGTAACAGTGGCAGCAGATATAAAATCAAGAGAGAGTGCTTCTGCATAGTCTAAAATTCAATCTAGTGAAAGAAATTAACTTACTGCAATATATTGTTCTAAAGTCTGTCCAGTCAATTTTTCAAATTCTTCTTTAATTTGAACTAAATCTGTTTCACATCGAGAGACCACAACCCTTACTAGAGTATCATCATCAGTTCCAAGACCTTTCATGGTTTTCTGGAGTTGACGAGCAAAATGGCCGACTTTATTTTTGACACATCTTACTGTAAACAAAATGATAGACCCATTAGAGATGGAATCATAGTTTTGTATCTTTCTTATTTCCATATAACAAGATGACATACAATAGCCCAAAATCACCATTTGTTTAACCATTTACTACATAACAAAGCATTTGATGTTAAGACTCCAATTGTGCTACAATCAAAACAACACAGTTCCATTTCTTAGTAAGTTGTTTGAGTGTTAAACAAGTAAAGTTATGAAAAGCAAATAAATAACTATGCATAATAAGGCGATTAAAAAATTCTTTGGCTCGTCTGGTAGCCATTTTAAAATGACAGTTCCAATGATACTTACCAATAGTTAACATAGCTCTTAATATATCTCCTGACATCTCACTCTTTAGAACTTGTTCAATATCCTTCTTTGATATCTTCTTATATTCTTCAAACGTGGCACGTAACTGAGGGTAGCTTCGACTTCCTAGTATCACATTGAATCTAGATTCATCCGTGCCCCATTTCTTCTCTCCTGCTTCATACAGAGCCTTGGCATCCTGATGAGCTTTATTTCTGTCAATCTGGTTACTATCGTTACGATTCGCCTGTACTAACGTCACCAGCAGACGCTTAAAATGACCAGACGTATCTCCAATTATATCTTTCTCCAGATCTTTGTTGAATTCTGGAATAGCATTATAAATATTTGATGTGCTTTTTTCTGCAATATATGTCATGATTTATTTTTGCTTTCAAAAGTAGGAAGATTATGAGAAAGAATAGAGTGAGTTAAATAAGACAATTTTATAGATAGATACTTCTAGAATATTTATTACTTCAACGTTTCAATGTGGTTCTCACACCGTCACCAGGAATATAATGAAGAGTGAGGTTCAGCACTTAGTTAAGACCTTGGTGGAGCTCATTTGGTGACTACTGCTCCTTTAGGATTCATGAAATCAACCAGAAATTCAATAAAACAAGTTGAAACAAGGTTCAGAATGTGTTTCATGTGCACCGAAAAAAAAGAAGATGTAAACAGAATTCATAACAACTTTTTAATGTAACAAACTTAGTCCCATATAGTCAATTGAGTCCGTTATTGTCCTTTTAAGGAATTAGTAACTCATACTTACTTTGTTTATAAACTGTTTTGATATGATTTATCTGAGCATTAGATCTGGTACATAATATTTCTATTAAAACATCTTCATCTGTTCCTAATCCCTACACAAAACAAAAACAAGATTTTAGAATTAAGTTAAACATGGATATTTGGGCTCTACATTCTTGGAAAGAATAGGGAAGAATTTCCACCTTTGATAATTCCGTCTATTGACCTAATGAGTCTTAGAAAAGCTACTGAATACTGTACTTGATGTAATTCCTAGTTGACTATGTTCATACCTTGATGGCCTTTCTGAGTTGGTAAGCATCAAATTCTGCTGGTTTCATACACAAACATTTTATAGTTGTAGACAAATTACCACTTAATTCACCTTCTAGTTCTTTTACCAAATCCTGAAATTACCGGTATTTAATAAAACATTTGGTTAAAGTAAGATAACAAAAAATGAAATGAATGGAGTTTTACGTCCTACTTTTCAGCACCATGTGGGAAGTAAGATAACAGACATAGTTGCTGAAAGAACAGACAACTTTGTTTTTATCACAAGAGATATATTCGAATCATACATCTTCATTAAATAATATAGGATGGTGTTTCACTTTATCCAAATAGCTTTGTATGAAGTGGTAAATTTAAATAAATATGAAATTCAAGACTTTTGTCTGTGTGTTCATATTCACTAAACAAAGAGTGTGTAAAGGTTTTTTGATTGGCTAGTTTGAAAATCATGTTAAAATGATATCAATCGTTTTACAATGATATCTTATATTAGGTTGACCTACTAAAATGAAACATGGTAGAAATATATATACATGTAACTTATAATTTTCACAATTGGCGTGTTTTGGATGTCATATGCAATGACAGCACAATTTCTATCTCTAATTTAGGAAATATAGTAGTCACCTTTCCAAACATTGTTTTAAAAGCAGATATTATCTCCTGTCGTTGTGGGTTGGTTCTATAAGCTAATACATTAATAATAGCATCTTCATCTGTACCTAAAATTGAAAACAAGTATACATGTATAAAATCATTTTCTAGACATACAACAGGCCAAGCATAAGATAGTTTCTAACACTAACAGCAATATGGAGTAATATAAGGATTGTAAAGAGGTTTTAAAACTGCTTGTATAAGGGACACTGATATCATCAATTTGCACCATTCCAAGTTTCTATCAGACGTCTGTTGTTCTGGCAGTTCCACTTAAACCTAATGTTTTATATGACACAACTATGTAATGGCCCTTAAATATTATTTGCAGCTTTTGTGATAGTAACAACATATATGGTTTATTAAGTATTTCTATAAATAAGAAACTTACCAAGCCCTTTCATAGCAGCTCTCAGTACTTCTGCATCATTTTCAGCATTAAAATTAGCATATTCTTTAACTGTTCCTTGGTGCTAAAAAATTAACACAAGATTAAGGAACAATTGTACAATCATTTAAAGTAATGTTCACAAAAGAAGATAAATGAAACAAATAGAGTTTGACATTCTACTTTTCTGAAATAAACGGGCTAATGAAAACAGGACCATGCAGTGTGCAGTGCCAGGTCAGCAGTATTAGCCTACTGGTTTTTTTTTATTTCTAACTGTTGAGAGATCTTTTAAATGCATATCCTGTAGCACACAAGACCTTGACTGACAGATACACTTACATCAAAATTTTCAGTTTCCATGGCGAAATAAGGATCTGATTTTTTAGGTACAGGTGGTTTTACTGGCGTAGTTTTTTTACTTGCTGTACTTTTATTAGAAGAATCTGATGAATTTCCTGGGGTAGGTTTCTTTTTTATTACTGGTGACTTCTTTACTGTCCCTCCTATAAAAATTAAAGATAGTGGACCACAGCCATATACGCCCACCACGGCATGCGGATGGTAAAAACGAAACATCCATTTTAAGTTTCATCAAAATCGGTTGAAAACTAATCGCATATTCAAGATTTTGGGGCAAGGGCAATAACTCTGCATCTAATGGTCCAAAATAGCTCAAATTCGAACTTGATCTTCGTTTTAAGAATATGTATACACATACCGAATTTCATTTGATTCAATCAAAAAATCAAGTTTTTAGAGCGTTTACAAGCAAATGTTGACGGACAGATGGACAGACAGATGGACGGACAGGGATGCCGACAATATACGTCCACATACAGAGATGTGGGCATATAAAAGCAATAATAATAATAATATAACATCATGAAACTTCAATTTTTAGGACAAAAAACATAGAAGTAAGATGATGGCAAATACAATCTAGCAATCTCTAATGATAACTTTATGCTTACTTTGAACACCAGGTTTGGCTAAGACCACAGTTAATTTATATCCATCACCAACATCTTCAAAATCTGCTTCATGAATCTAGAAATACAATACACACTATTTACATGTATATTACTTGGTTTAAGGTTTTCACGTGCAATACCTTCCCAATAAGGTACACAACTTGTCCTAACTACGGAAAAACTATTCTGCTTTTAATATACATAGCAATCATCCTCCTGCATAGTTTCTCTTGCATAGTTTCTCCTGCATAGTTTCTTTATCAACTTGAAGATTTATATAAAAAGTTGTTTGAAGCATTACTATTACCTTTCCTATTTTGGGTTCTGCCACAGCTAATCTGAATTTGTTGTTATTTTTAGCTCTGTCTATCATGTGGGCGTAAATATGTAATAAATTATCTTTAAAATCACCTGCAACACAAAACATTAAGTAATTGATAAACAAACAAAACCGGCCAATAATTACACAATATATAAGTGACGTCACACAATGTTAACAGCATACATTTTAAGTTATATTACTTATTATGTTCAGAATATATGACACTATTTCATTTACAATCAGTGTTCAAAGGGTTAAGGATATATATGTCGTTTTATTTCATTTACACTCAGGGTTAAGTACTTACCATTTCCAGCACTAACATTATTTAACGGTGGATCTTTATAGACTGGTTTATATTCTATGGCAGGAGCAGCCTGTGGGGGTGGGGTTTTTACTCTTTTATCATTCTGTTCATTTAACAACTTTCTTAAGTCACCTATTGTCACACTGGAATCTTTGGGCATTTTGCTCTGAAAGAAACTTGATTATTTAAGCAATAAACTGTTACCGTATGGCGGTTATGGTCGTATATCAAGACAAAGTTTGGCTGGGAAATTAATCATTAGTTATTAGTTCAATGGAAAAAATATTAGATAATGTATCTATTACTCAGTTAACATAATAATTTGAGAAATTAAATAGCATCAGATCTTAAAAGGAGTTCAGTTTTTTATCAGTTGTTTTATCAAAGACTTTGTTTTCACTTTGCTAGTTACATTCTCAAATGTTGATTTCACCAATAGAAATATAGATTTAATTGCAGACTATCCATACAACTGATTGTCTTTTTGAAATACACTATGGATTGCTGAAATTCAGTCCATACTATTCCCAGTATTCATTTAACTTCTGTCAAAAAGAAATTTACATGAAGTTTATCTGAATTTTCAGAAAAACTGAACCAACCTGTATCATTTGTTCAGTGAGGTAGCCATATTGTACAGGATAGGGTTGATTGGGATTACTGACATTGACTAATCCCTGCTCTAATCCCTGTAATCCCCCAGGGGGTGCTCCCCATACATTAATCTGGGTACCGGCATAGTTGGTAGGGTTGAAGGGTCCATCTGGTATAGCTGAAATAAAGTTAACATGTTTTCAGAAATAAAAAAAATGCAAACGGAGTTTAAAATCCTTCTTTCCTGCTCCTGTTTCTTTTTAGAAAAAGAATTAGTAATTAAAAATTGCTAAAGTACAAATAAAACAGGAACAGCACATGACATGTTTAACATCCATCTGCTCCCGACTTTACTAATGCAGACAGACAACACTATGCAGAGTGTAATAAGGGGAAATTTGGTCAAAACAGTTTTATAAGCTATATATTATCAAACCTCGAGACTTCAGGTTGACATGAAAGTCTTTGTAGTCAAAATAAAGAAATATACTTACTGACTTCATTGTAGGCTCCAGATTCATAATCAGTATCACCATTACTGGCCCAGGCTTCTCTAGGTTCAGTTTTAGATCTACGTAGTGAATTGGATCTCTGCTGAAAATAACACTTAAATAAAATTTCTTTTCCTGAGGCAAATAATTTCATAAAGGATAGAAGAATAAGTTTGACTTTTGTTGCAGTCAAAATATTGTTTGAAAAAAAAAGAGAAAGCCTAAAATTAAAGAGATAATGATTGCTTTCAGACTTACTGCAGGAAGATAAAATAAAAAAAAATATTTACTCACCCCTCCTTTTAAATTTTGAGATCTGCTACGAGGTCTCAATGTATTGTCTGTATCTGTGGTATCATATTGACTAGAATAACCAGTCCCATAATCATCTGTATAGCTATCACTCTCAGCAGTTGTTGTTCCTACATCATCCACTGAAAATGTTTTTGTGACTACCACACTTTCTTGTAGGCCATCTCTATCAAAAACAAATGAGCTCAATATTTATATCTATTGTAATCTAACAATTTTTTTTAACACAGTCGCATGAAGAATAGTGAGATAGTGTGAACTAAATCCAATTATTTGTTAATTATTGTTAATCCTTGAAATCATTGCCACAGGAGCTGGCCAAGGACAACATTAGATATCTTTGTAATCAAACAATTAAATGTTATTTTTTTTCAAAACAAATAGATTCTCAGTGATTGTTGCTCCATAAAGCTGTGTTTATATTGCTAAATTACTAAATGCCATTCTAAGACTAGATTCTCACCTGCTAACACAAATGGCCTTTAATGTTCTTTTACCAGGTTTTAAAGTAAAAGGAGCTATGTATTTAAATGTTGTTTCTCGACCAGAGATTTTACGTTGAAATGGTAGAGGTTTACTTCCATCTGTTGTAAAATAGATTCTACATCCTGGTGATTCTATAATAGACATGTTGAATTGTGGAAATCAGTGGCTGTAACAATCAGTTCTAATTATCAAAACTTTAATTAGGGGAGAATCTTCCTGGTTGCTCTGACAGTTTGTCCACTATTTAGTTAATCTGCCTCCTTTTACAACCAGTTCCAATGCCACTACTTGTTGAAATCTCATCAGGCATATCATGGTCATCAATTCTGTGTATAGTTCAATAAGGTATAATTTTGTGAACCTGGGGCACGGGGGCCGGGTGTGGTTCAATGAATTAGAAGCTTGCTCTGTAATTTTGAGGTGCAACACCATCAGGCTAGAGTCAGCATCAGTAAGAGATTATACATTGGAATTTTCAAGCCAATTTCCCCATAAAAAATTAGAAAAAAAAGGAGAAAACATAGAAATGAAGAAAGAACAGACTTGCCTGTGCTTATTTCAATGTATGTAAAATTATCTAAATAAGTACTGCGTACATCAGCATAGGGAGGTCTTAATGGCGTTATTTTAGGGGAATCAAGTCCCCCTCTAACTATAGGCATTTTAATAAGCTGTTATAAAACTCTAATAAAATATTTTCACTTATTAAATCTTTAGATCTGAAAGATCAAAATGGGAACTGATCAGGAAATTGAAAGACATGATGGTTTGAAAGTGAATTGTGAACACAGTGTGATAAATTGATTAAATGTTAATGAAGACAAAAATTAATGAAGTAAGTTAATGGGTATTGTGGCAGCATATTCCACTGTTATGTAATTTTGAGATGGAATAATGGAGTTTAACCTCCAATTTTTCTGTACCTAATTTGGCTAATGAAGACAGTATGTTCTTTTGAAAGATGGTATTGTGAAAAATACATACTCATTTGATTGTTACGAAAAGTGGTAAAGCCTAGTTTAAATGAACTTATGAACCTGTTGATAAGACAATATGATTTTATGATGCAGAAAAGAAACCTAAGGCTACTGCTTGAAGATAGTTATTATTATGAAAGAACATGTCAAGAAAATTTATTAAACATAATGTATAAATTTGTTAATCTGTTAGTAACCATGGAAATAAGCACAGTTAAGTTAACACACAAAATTAATATTTTAAACCAACATAATTTCTTAATCAATTTTGAAAACTAAAGATTAGAGATATTTCTATGAATCATTATGTCAAGTAGGGGAGACAGAATTTTCCAGGTGGGCTGACACAGGTGTTTCTTTACCAACATAAAATAATAAGAAATTTAAAAGAAGTGGAACATAATAACAAAGTTTGGAAAAAATCGAAAAAAATCTAGTCTTGGTTATATTTTCAATAAACTACTCAAAAGAAAAATTCAAAAGATTTAACAGAAAATTATTATGGCAGATTCCTACCTGAACTTAATGCAAAATGTGTGTCAATGTTGATCCGTTGTGCTGGTGCTGAATCAAAATTTTCTTTTAATGGTGTAATCACAGGAGCACACAGAGCTCCAGCACTGGGCATTTTCTTTATCTGAAACAAATTAATGAATATTTTTTATAGGCCCATATATGACAAAATTTGAAGAAAAAAATACTATTTTTGGCCTTGATAAATGGTATCATAACGTTTCTATGACACCTATCTAAAATGATTGTGGGTCATCATTGCAATAACAAGAATTTTAAAATGTTTATAAAGATCATTTAAGAAATAAAAACAGGCAAAATGTTTATTTCAATATTAGGCATTAATGAATGCCAGCAAGTTCTTACAAGTTTTAATTTTGTCTGTCTCTATTTTTCGCTCACATTTCATATAAATCTCTTACTTTTACCCAAAGATCAATGTTTTGTATTTTTGCACATTTTTGTACGTAGTTTTTTGAAGAAAACATTCAGAGAGAGGCAAAGAAGAAGCTACTAACCTTTTTTAAACCTCGATTGTTATCAATTGTTTATTTGTTGTTAGGCCGCCATGACACTCAACCGAAACCAGTTGAGTTAGGGCTTCGTCCCTAATTTTTTGGCCAATTTTTGTGGCCAATGGCCAATTTTTATGGCCGGCCAGTGGCTGTGTACAAAGGAAAGAATTTAATTATAAAAATTGGTCATTCTTCATTATCCATATTGGCTATCCGTCACTGGTGAAAGAAATGTTGAGAACTAAGTAATGATTCTATTCATTACACGCCTTTAGAGGCTTTATTTGAAAAATGAAATGAATTACAAATTTTTCGTTTTTTGATTTAATTACAACAATTACAATCAATCCAAAAAATTAGTGTATCCATCGGCCACAAAAATTGGCCGGCCACTGAAGTAATGATGAAGTGTCATTTGAACCAGTTTCAGTGGGAGCACCTGCCGGATATGACGTCAATATTCATCCCTTGCCGCCATTGACGATCGAGGAGAAGAACACAAACATACATGTGAGTTTATAATCCATCGACATCGGACAACAGATGATCGTTGGGTTTTGTACGTATCAGTTTTATGATGGAAGAACGATGGCTGGACATTTTAAGATCATAGATACTTTGTAAAATGGCAGTCGAAGGAGATAAATATCGTTGTATTCATCGTTAGGAGACATGATAGTAACATGTGGAACAATCGTTGTTGTGACTAACTGTTCGATCATCTCTTAGAACCTGTATTCTGTTAGCCTGATTGCCTTTATTTTGCGATGATGACAACTTTCCCCAACGTAACGATGAATGAAGAAAGCATTGCTGCATTCACATGCCAAATATGTCTGAGCAAATTTATGGCCATCATAAAACATTGGATTATATTGTCTACTGTCTAGTCTCTGCTGATTGGTTTATCACTAGTTTACGGACAGTTAGTAGGCTATATTAGCAGTTTCAGATAGATGACAAATGGTTTTTGCCATTTGTCCATATCACTTAATATTTCAAATAATCTCTGTTACTGTTAGACCTAATTGAGATCTAATTGAATGTGAGAATAAAGCAATCAGAGACTAGGCCCTCCTAGATTTCGTTATTTTCCCAGTGGCCTCAACTCTCCTCAATCTTTGGATTCTTTTCTGGATTTATCATTGTTTAAGATTTGGGCCTTGCTTTCAATATCAACTTATGGAATTAGCCATATCATTGCAAGGTTCCAAAGCTCTCTTTGAATAGATCCTATTTATGTCACTATAATTTAGTAATTACCGGTTTTTTATATTATAGGATGCCTACAGAAGCCGTGGAGAAGCCTATCATAGAAGATAAACCAGAAGATGTTTCTGGATCTGATGATTCAGATGGTGATGATGATTCTCCACCAGAGTTAGAGGAACAAGATCCAGCTACCTTAGCTCAACAAAGTCAGGTAGGCCTATGAGAAAGATATATGACCAGCCAATCAACCAATGACCAGCTAGTAAAATGGATCCTCCTGAACAAACCTTGTTATCCTAGGTTTCTTTTGATATGAGGTGGACTTTGAATGATTAGATTCTTGCAAATGATGAAATCTTTCCCCAACTAAACGATATATGGTGATAAAGATGCTGCTTTTAATAGCCAAACTTATCTGATGCAAGAATCTTGATCATTAATGATGTATTTGTTAAATATAGAATACATTCTAATTGATCAGTGCATTGGAAGAAACTGTAACTTACTGCCCTTCTCTAGCTCAATTGATTTGAGGTATTGGTAGACATATAGAGTATTTTAAAATGTCTTTTCTTTTGTAGTTGGCACAAGCTGCTGGTCTTAATGAAGAGACAGTCAGCAGACAGAAACAAAGTAGAAGTGAGAAGAAAGCAAGAAAGGCTATGGCTAAATTAGGTCAGTGCTTATATTTCTAATTCATTGCTAGGGTAATGATTCAAGGGAATAGTTTTGTAGCCTTACTATGGTTATTGGGGTCACATTTTTGGCTTTTTTTGTACACCATTCAGACTTGTTCAATGTCTGTGGTACTCATATTGTAGATATTATTTGAATTTAGTACTGGTAATTCTTGCAAATGATGAAATCTTTCCCCAACTAAACGATATATGGTGATAAAGATGCTGCTTTTAATAGCCAAACTTATCTGATGCAAGAAATCTCATTCTTAAAAAATACTTTGTGCAAGATATATATAATTTGATTTTATTATATTTTTTTCTCTGCAGGGTTAAAAGCTGTTGGTGGGGTCACTAGAGTTACCATTAGAAAATCTAAAAATATTTTATTTGTCATTAACAAACCTGATGTTTTTAAAAGTCCTGCATCTGATACCTATATTGTATTTGGTGAAGCTAAGGTGAGTACACAGATTTATATCTTATAATTGCATAGTCCAGACAATTTTTTCATCCCATTTTGCAGTTAATTGCAAAGATTAATTTCGCTAACCTTGATTTTCCAAGAAGCACTTCATTAGACTAAATACATTCACTTTTCACAAACAAAAGGTTAGACTAAAAAACAAGAATTGCTTGGATATTCTGTTTTCTTGAACTTGTACAAGGTATTTGCTAAGTTTAAAAAAAACTAAGATACAACATTATAGCTACAGAGAACTGTCCTGGAAAATTGTCAGTTTCCTGGGGTTGGAATTGTGTGGAATTCACAGATATCCCGTTTCAATGATGACAGCTTTCCCCAACGTAACGATGTATGAAGAAAGCATTGCTGCATTTACATGCCAAATATGTCTGAGAAACCAATACCTAGATTTCATACAAATGGAATATTAGCTCATTCAAAAGCCAGTAAGATTGTCTGCTAGGTGATTAGATGTCTTGTTTGAATCCTCAAGTTAGATAATTGGAATGCTGTGGGCAGGGCTTATGAAGGCTGTTGGTTTTTAACCCCCTTTACTAGTAAACAGAAGTTTTTTACTACAAAATATTTGGTTTTAGAGACTTGAACCCTTTCCCTTTTCAGATTGAAGATTTGAATCAAGCTGCCCAGATCTCAGCAGCAGAGAAATTTAAAGCACCAGATAGTGCAGGTGGTTTAGATGCTGGTACTATTCAACCTCCAATACAAGAAGAATCTGAGGATGATGAAGAGGTAACACTGAAGTATTTGATATCTCGATATCCTAAGGTGTAATAAGATGAGACCTCGAACCCATAAGTTCTCATTTGATAACCTAATGCACATGGAGTTTAAATGACTATTTTTTGGCATTCCGCATTGTGTGCTTAGTCAAAATTTTAAATTTCAGTAAATTAATGTTAGTAAGCAGAGAATACTCCTATGTTTCTGTCAACTTTTGACATGGTTTTGGTTGTGAAATTGGAATCTGATCAGAGGTTTTGACTTATTTTCAATGATGACAGCTTTCCCCAACGTAACGATGAATGAAGAAAGCATTGCTGCATTTACATGCCAAATATGTCTGAGAAAATTATCAAATATCAATGCCATAACCTTGGATTCTGTAAACATTAGCCGAGGCTGGTTTTGCTACAGGACAAATCTATGTATATGCAGTCTACAGTAGTATCACTGGCAAAAGTTATGCTTTCTATTCAAGATTAAATGATATATCTTGCAAATGATGAAATCTTTCCCCAACGAAACGATATATGGTGATAAAAATGCTGCTTTTTATAGCCAAACTTATCTGATGCAAGAACTTCACTTTTGGAAACAATGTCAAAAATACTTGCTGTTTTTATTAACCGTGATCTATGATTTATCTTTCAGATTGATGATACCGGCGTAGAAGCTAAAGACATTGAACTAGTCATGTCACAAGCCAATGTTTCTCGATCAAAAGCTATTAAAGCACTCAAAAATAATAGTAATGATATCGTCAACGCTATTATGGTAAGTACATTTACATTGAGGTTTTTTCAATCCTCTGGAATTTCTCCATTAGGCCCATTGGCCTGACAGTCATTTGCACAGATTTTGGCTTGACCAACCCAAAGTATGACTATAAAGACGCTTTTGAAACAGTTCTGATTATCTTGCAAATGATGAAATCTTTCCCCAACTAAACGATATATGGTGATAAAGATGCTGCTTTTAATAGCCAAACTTATCTGATGCAAGATAATCAAGTCAACTCTGCCTGTCAACAATTCATGTCCCTGATAAATTGATTTTTATATATACTTGACAAACAACAAATTGAGAACATAAAACCTTTTCACAAAATTTGGTACAGCATGTAGTCTGTTAGCAAGTATTCATGTTAAAAAAATAGTCATTATCTTAAAATCTTGTGATATATCGGACTCTTCACTGGTGTTTACCAAACTAAATAACATGTTTTATATTTCAGGAATTAACGATGTAGCAATTGGTTTGTATTTATCCACTGCCTGTTGTGTTTTATGTAAATTATTAGACTGTGTATAAACATCCTATCCACCCACGATGGATAATAAATCTTTTCATATTATATTAGTAGTTTTCTGGGTCCTATCACAGTATTTCAGACTTCTGTTGGAATCCCAGCAATTTATTTGAGACTATACATAGAGTCGAGCAATGGTAATGATGCAGGACACAAACCACGAATGGTTAGCTTTACTCTGAGCTAGGAAGTGAGTGCCTACATCTTTGCTTGACTTGAAAGCTAACTCTTTTATCCAAATGTCAATACCATTTTCACATGGTGGGTGGGTTCATTTTACACATTCCATGTCCTAAAGGAAGGGGACTGCACGTTGGGTAGTTACCAAGTTTACCGTTTCTGGCAATACCATGTTGTCATGGGTTGTGGGCTGTTTGACATGTTAAGAGGACGCAAACTGTATTGTGTGCCAGTTACCAAGTTCTGAGGCATTAGTCAAAATTTCTTAGTGTGGCTAGACTATTCTGGTACCAAACGTATTAATTTTATTAAGAAATAAAGAAAAAAAGTAATTAAGCGTCTGTATTGTCGGCATCAGCTGACTCTCTGCTTTTCATTTCTGTGTAGGTCGCTGCTATAGTTGGGTCTGCTGCCAAAGGATTAACAAACCCAGTACCACCATCCCTTGCCATAGCATTTGGTAATCCAGAATCGATCTCGACCTAAAATAAAGTCTACATTATAGTTGATTCAAAACCAAAAGTATAACATCATCAGTACCTCGACGGTATGGGATCCAATGTTATGTCTAGTGACGTTACGTTTGAATTGTTCACAATCTTGATTGCAATAAAGATATTAGTATTCCTTTCGACGAAGGTGACGATGGGCAACCGTGAGCAATTCGTCAGGACAGCGACACGAGCACGCCTTAAGTGCCGACGTATTATAGATAAACGTAAACCGCTGTATGATGCTGTACAGACCACATTAGATGTGTAATAGTATTTGTTGATCAAAATACTTACTGTTTGTGATCTATCGTATTTAATTTGTGTTCCTTCACCAGCTCTAGCCATAAACCTTCGTTTAAGAACCACTCCTGTGATAACGGCTACCAACAAGATCATAGCTACTATGCCAATAGCTATACCTGCTATTTCACCGCCGGTCAAAGAGAAATCTACAAGGAAGGGTTAATTCTCGTCAGTCTTACCAATCTTTGTTCGCATGATTTCGAAAGGATGCAAGATGCCATTCGAAATTTCCTTTCCTAAAACCCAATTTATGTTGGGTTATATACATGTATGACAATATCTTACTCGTTTGCATTGGTCCTTTAAGCACCTTGCCCGTTCTTCAACATGAATTAATAGACCCTTGTCGGTCGAGAAGTTCGCCTTGATTTCCCAGATTAGAGACGATCGTGGATGTTAACAAAGAGTGCCACGTAGATCCAAAGCGACAAGCTCTGCAGACTTATTAGTGTCTCTATATTCCTGTAGATAAAGGTTAAATAAAGACATAGGCCGAGACTTACTAAATTTGCCTGGATGGCTGACTAGATTTTGACCTAGTGCTGTTGTACAATACATATCTGTCCATCCATCTTGACACTGACATCGGCCCTGAAATATCCAACACCGCGGCACAATCAAAGTTAATACAAGACCAAAGAGGGTCTGGATCGATTCCAATTACTTAATGGAAAATGAAATTCTAAAGCGTGTTTTGAATGCCTCCACTACGCTACTGCTAATGATCTCTGAATAGGATCGTGAAAATGTAATATCCCCAAGCGAAATCTAATAGTGTCGTAGGTAGCCTATAGAGGCATGCTATTTTATTTCACAAAAGCAATCGTAGCGAAATGTTAGGCGCATCAATTCTCAATTTAATAAGATGAAAATGTGTTGCATTCTACTTACATCACTTCCACAAGACCCGCCATTCAGACAAGTCCAAGCTTGACATTGACAATCACCAGTATCCGACAGACATCCAGCAGAACATGATGGCGAACATCTATTGATACAGTTCTTACCCCATGTATTACCAGTACATACTGAAAATTATCATGATGCCTCTTGAGTGTGTAAAGTCTGAAATCCTATCTAGCATTGCTATGAATCATCTGGTGCGGTGGGGGCAGAGAAGTGACCACAGATATGACGAGATGCTCACGTGCAATTCTTTCCCTATGTGCAATGATATGAAATTTAAAAAACAGGACGGGGGGGTGCTTTGGCCATGGCGGATTGAGGAGTTATGAATTGCAGTCGGCTGTTGACCAGTCTTATAAGAGCGCTTGTATTTGCAACGCTGGACATATTACATGGTTCGATACATACTTGTCAAGGTGCCAACTTATATTGCAAAAACTTACCCTGACTACAGTTGAATCCCTTAAAACCATCAGCACAAACACAGGCTCCAGTAGTTTGATCACATGTAGCTCCATTCAGACAAATACAAGTTAGTTTACATCCCTCGCCATATCGCCCTGGTGGACAAGCTAGAATACAAATTTTCCATTCATGTGTTGTATATAAAGAGTGACATGATGAAAAGTTTGATATACAACTACAAATCCTGTCGCGCAGAGACCCCTAAGGGAAGGGAACACTCGAAATTCAATGTTTACCTAGTGATAATTAAAAAAAAAAACATTGACTCTCCGAAAGATAATTGACAATTGATGTTCAGGAGACCCTAAAAAGGATGCTTCCCAATGATCCATGCTAATCTCTTGAAATCTCAATTAGGATTCAGTTTCCAGATCTTCCAGAGGTTTTAGTCAGCCAATTTATTTCCTACCAAGGAGTAAAATGAATGATGCTTACACTGATCACAGTATCTACCAGAGTAGCCAACTGGACAGCGACAACTACCAGATACAGTATCACACGGCGCACCATTCTTACACTGACAAATCTGGGCACATTGAAATCCAAAATAATTTGGTTCACAATCTGAAACGAAAAAACAATTTACAGACCTAATCAGTAGCATGTTATAGCTAGATCGCTATGGCACCACATGTCTTGATTTGTTTAATTTTCCACTGGTACGACTATCTAGGGAATAAAAGATCACGCTGGTCGTGATTCTGTGTCTGTTCCAATGCTTTACATCATCACGAGGAAGGCCTCAGTCGGTAGCGATCCGTTTGTTTGGCGAATTTACTCCATGGGTTTCAAATATCTCTGTTTGGAATTATGTTGATGTTATAGCCAGTGCTTCCGAAATTTGGCCTGGTGCTTTATAACCCCTACCTTGTTCACAGTGGTTGCCTTTCTTCCCAGCTGGACATTCACATACTCCATTTCTGTGATCACAATGATGTCCATGACAGTTGCAAGGATTTAAGCAATTTTTACCCCACAGCACATCTTGCTTACATTCTGTTAAAGAAAAGATTATTCGGATTATACAAATATCTAGTGTTGCTGCCGTTTAATTTAGTTCAATAGATACCCACAACTTCAAATGTAGTAGTTGGATGTTGGCTCGTGGGAAGCAAACAGTCCACGTTTCAAATTTGGTTCGAAAAAGTCCATTACATCAGTTGAACCTGCATTACATATAGGCATGATAATTAGCATATCTCAATACTACGTAATAGGATTTGGATGATTTATTGGGCTTGGACCAGAAACACTTACGTTTATCACAGGCAGTTCCTATATATCCTGGTATACAGTCACATCTTCCCGTCACGCTGTCACATATTCCATGGTTGTTACATAGACAGGTCTGACTGCAGTCTCTCCCCCACGTACCCGCTTTGCAGGCTGCAACAAAATGAGTTACTGAAGTACAAAAGCTAATGCAACAACTGCATAAGCTAGTGACGATCCAATGATCTATTACACACAAGATGCTGACGATTGTAATGTTTTATCTGCGATAGAGTATTTAGTAAGCCATGGACTTCCAAGATATAGTTTGGTGACCCATGAGAATCCTTTCATAAAAGTTCTAGCCAAAAGGCAATTATATCCCTGTAACACGGCTAGCGGCTAATGAAATCTGAACATAAAGCATGTGAGTTGCTTGAAGATCACTTACGTTGATCGCAACTAGAACCCGTATAGCCCTGATGACAGGAACAGCTTCCATCTAGGGGACTACAGTAACTAGTAGAACTGTTACACTGGCAGTTGTTGCTGCAGTCCTGTCCCCATAATCCCTGCACACAACTCTGTATACACTTCACTGAAAATATGACAGAATGCCACCTTAATAACTAATTTAATTCTGTTCAAAGGACAAAAAGATGATTTTTGTTTGGACAAGATATTCCCAGATGTCCAAGGTTTCAAAAGCCGAAATGATTGATAAGATATTGATTACAAAAAAGGTGATGATGATGAAGTAGGTGAAATGGTGATTATGATGATGATGACGATTCTGATGATGGCGAAGAACGATGGGATGTTGATGTTGATGACGATGATGATGATGATGACGACGGAGAACGATGAGATGATAATGATGTATGTTGTGATGAACAATTAAGACACGGTTGCTGATACTAATGTCGCTGCTATTGCTTCTGATGTTTATAATGATGAGGATGGTGAAGAATTTGGTGTTAATTGTGACAGAGCGATGATGATGATGATGTCTTTAGTGATATAATACCAAAAAGACGCTCGTAAATCTGCTGTTATAATGATAATGATAATGATTACAAACACCCCCAAATGCTCTGTTGATGACAAGTTTACCTCCCGTAAATCCAGGTGTACATGTACACTGTCCATTAATTCTATCACAGCCTGTAGAGTGAGAGGGACAATCACATTTGTTTATACATCCTGGACCCCATGTTCCACTCGTACACTGGAATTATAATTTTATGTCATGACATAGTTGTATTTGGTTGGGCAGAAATACTTGATCAAATGTATCTGATGACCGTTAAAATCTGTTCGTCTAAGTAATCTTTTATAGTGATATGAAATGACCAGCACCTCAGCTTATAATTATTAATAGCACACACAACAGACCGAAAACCGAAAACAGAACAGAACAGTTACCATCTGATTACACAATGGACCCATAAACCCTGGACTACATACACAACTACCATCAAAATTATTACAGCTACCGTTGGTGGAACATCTACAAAAGCAAATGACAGTTAAATCCACCTTGATATGGGAAGTATCTTTTTTGGGAAGTTTAAAAGATGAAGTCTCCAACTATTAGTCCATTAGTCCCTTTGTTTCGAGATCACAAGGAAACCTTGTCAGAATGTCGAGGAATTTTTCCGAAGTCATAATATAAATAATACAGTTAAGTATAGCTTTAGTATGAATCAAACGTTTTGGTATAAGCATTATACAAGTTATTGAGATGAGATCTATCAAGTTTATTTGGATTTAGATTTGGCTCAATATACTGATATTGACCATATCTGGTTCGAGATTGTCAGGAAAGTTAAATAAATTCGTACTTGCATGAAGTTTTACACCCATCACCATAGTAACCAGGAGAGCATGGTTGATCACATTGAACGCCAAGATATCCCGGTGTACAGATACAAGTTCCCTTGATGGGATCACAACCAGCAGAGTGAGCACAATAAGGACATGGTGTTTGACAATCAACACCGTACGTATTGTTCTGAAATAAATCAATAACGGAGTTTACCCATGTGGACTTTCAAAGCCACAAGTTGGTTTGGACTCATGGACTCATCTTATGTTGTTTGTTTGGATAAGGATTCAAGATTCAGATGTAAAGCTAAGTTATTTAACTATTTTTATCATAGGTGTCGGAATTAGAGTTGATTCTTTGAACCGCTCTGTATATTCTAATGGATTTGAAAATTTCGATTGACCTTCCGCCTAAATTCCCAAACTGATTCAGAAATGAAGTTAATGGTGACATCAAATTATAGTACCGGACATTTCACGTCGCACTTATCTCCCGTAAAACCAGAACTACAAGCACAAGAGCCATCTGTGAAATCACAAACACCACCATTTTGACACTGGCATACACCAGAGCATCCACTACCATAATGATCTGTAATAGAAGAGCATACAATAATGGAATCGTATTTCAAACCAAAACAGTTCGTAATGGTAATGGTAAGCCACTGTTGAACATTTGTGTCAACAAAGTCCTTTACACATAAACGTGGTCAACCGGACTGACGTAAGAGTTCCTCCAGATCTCCGCAATGGAAACTGCCTAAAAACTTGGCAAAGAATTGATAAAAATGAGATATGCCTTTAGTAACCTCACGTCAACAAGTAGTCAATCCATAACTAAATCATTTCATAATATAATGTCTCAAATACCAGATAAGGACAACATAAAATATTTGAAGATCTTACTAGCTGTACATTTGTTGTTACAGGTTGGCCCAGACCATCCAGGTAGACACGAACAACTTCCAGTAGACGGACTGCAATCGCCACGTAAACAATTGCAAACTGTATTACACTTATCACCATAGTAACCTGGTGGACATTTACCACAATTACCACCCTATAAACAATTACAAACATTATTACACTTATCACCATAGTAACCTGGTGGAAATTTACCACAATTACCACCCTGTAAACAATTACAAACATTATTACACTTATCACCACAGTAACCTGGTGGAAATTAACCACAATTTCCACCGTGTAAATTTCCACCGTGTAAAAAATTACAAATAGTATTACACTTATCACCATATAACCTGGTGGAAATTTACCACAATATGGTGAATATTTACAATAAGTTTACCTATATTACACTACAACCTGGTGAGTATTTACAATTACCGTGTGATCCCTTGGTAAAGATTTTAAATTTGGCACAAGCAATGCTTGTATACCAACTTTCTAGAGAACAGTGTATAGCTCTCCTTTTGGGCTGTCTTCCTATAGCCAGTCATCAAAGAACTTTGAAAATTGCCATTCTGTGTTCAATGAAGGAAAGTGTGCAATGACAGCGGTAACCTCCTCTTGTCGATTAGCGGCAAATTTAGAACGTATTAGTAGACATCTCTCGCTCCTTACCTGACATATACATTTTCCATCCACTTTACTACAAACAGATCCTTGAACACAAGCTGAACAAGTCTTGGTACAATTGACACCATATTTACTTTCAGGACAGGCCTGTTCACATTGAGAGCCTTGAAATCCTGCTAGACAAATACACTGACCGCTAACCTGTTGGTTAAATATCACAGAGAGTTTAAAGGGTGTTTGTTAAATAACCATTACCTGTTAAACTCCGAATCGTGGATTGTTAAAAGGGACAAAGTGAAAGCTAATGTTGTTTTATTTATATTGAATCGGATCAGACCTATTCAATCAAAACGAGATGTAGATCTAGAGGTTGTGTCTCCATTACGCAACAAAAGCTGCCTTTTTAACAAGCTAAAGTCGACTTTGATATTTCTATAATTATACAAATAAAAGAAAATAAAAAATGTCGGAAATTACGTACTGGGTCACACGGTGCTTTATTCTTACAAGAACATATTTGGTTACAACTTGGTCCATAAAGTCCAACTGGACACGGCTTCTCACAATGGTTGCCCTGAAATCCTGGTTTACATTTACACGTTCCCAACACAGGATCACATCCAGTGGCTTGAGACATCACACATGGACAGCTCTGTTGGCAATCCTGACCATACCTTGTGAACAAAGAATAGCTGTGACTGCAAACTTAGAAGAGCAACCTTACTTTTAGTACAAGCGGAATATTTAAGGATTGCATAAGACATCTATAATTTTCCAAATAAGTAACGTTGGTGGAATGTAAGAGATATGGTGTAATTTTGAAACAAACATAAATTCTTTCGATACATTGCCGAAACTAGTTTTTAACAGATTATGGGACAAATTCACTAAACATAATATTTCTACTTACTTTCCATTAGAGCATTTTAGATCGCAAGAAACGCCAACAAATCCTGGTTTACAGAAACATTGTCCAGTCACACCATCACAGCCTCCCTGACCATCACAACTACAGGTCTTTTTACAACCATCACCCCATGTACCATGTGGACAACTCTACAATTCGATAATGAAAAATAATCGTTTTACCTTTTTACCTTGTTATCTTTTCCTTCTGACTCATTTTTATTCTTTTTTTGCTTGTATTCTTTTGGAAGTCACGAAAGTACCACCTTAGATTCTGCACCAAAGCCGTTCTGATGAGGGGGAGGGGTTTCAATGTTTTGTTAAATCCAGCACGCATTGTATAGTCGATAGGAGCTATGACACCATCATATTGACTAAATATATTTCTACCTTTGATTTCAAAGATCGGAAAGTGTCCCACTGAAGACTACGACACCCCACTACACTACTTGTGCCATTATTAAATCGATCAAGCCTAATTAGCTTGCATACCATTCCTTGAAAACCAGATAAATGTACCTTTTCACACTTGCTGCCAGTGAGACCAGGTCCACAAGAACAGACTCCAGTTAATCTGTTACAACCGCTACTCGAACAATCACAGTCGTACATACAGTTAGGTCCATAATTAAATGGATCACACATCTCCGAACAGAAAGCTGGAAACAAGATAAGAAGGTATTGGAATCTGCATAACGATTTCCAGCCACTCTAGAGATCATATATAGGACAACAACCTATGTTGTTGATACTCTGTTGCACTATCGTATGGCTTGTGAAAAGTAATATTTAAAGCCATGTCTAATTTTTCTTATTATATGTTACAAACGATGATTTGAACTTACGTAGTTTGTATCCTGGATCACAGTTGCATTGACCCGATTCCGGCGAACAGGATCCTTGAAAACAGTTACATTTCTGAGTACATCCCGGTCCATAGTATGTAGGTGGACAAGGTAGCTTACAGTCATTACCTGTCCAACCGGCTTTACAACTAAAAATCAACAAATTAAATTCTATAAACATGTTAGATATTTTCCCGAGATGGTTTTCGATGTGTTTGCACCAATAGGCTGTTGACTCAGCTGATGGACAAGGTCATCCCCGAGGAAATTCTTAAATGTATCAAGTGTCAAGAATTGATTTGGTCTCCAATGAAATAAGTATCACGATCAATCTATGATACCACTCTGTGATACCGCCCGTGTCCTGGCCCCGTATTCTCGAAACGATCTTAGCGCTAGGATGTCCTAGAATCAATGTTTTAAGATAAGAACCTAAGACATCCTAGCGCTAAGATCGTATCGAGAATACGTGGCCTGGAGCCACAAGATCAAAATATGTACTGGTTGATCATACCTACAGCTACCATCTGATGTACTACATTCTTCTGTTTCCTTACAGGAACAAACTCCTGTCAACAACAAAAACGTGTGATATTAACAGGTCAGAATATTTCATGGGCTGTGGTAGACCGACAAAGCTGGCCCTACCCGCTCCTCAGACGTGGTATGCGAATGGTATATTGACATCCGTGTATCACGTCCGAGGAACGGTCAGCTTTGTATGACTAGGGGTCTGGGTGGAGGCGAAAAATTTCTCAGAGAGAACAGTTAAAAGTTTCTCTGAACCACAACTATATAATATATGTCAGTTTTTAAATAGAAATGGTGCAAATAGCGCACAATCTAAGACCCCCAATTATTTCTTTTAGAAAAGACGTTAAATGGCTCCTACCTTTACAGTTTTCACCAAACGATCCAGGTGGGCACCGAGAGTTACACTGATTTCCCATAAACCCTGGTTTACAATGACAGGAACCATCAATACTGTTACATTCTGCTGTATTGTTCATGTTACAATTACACTGATTACGACAACTTAATCCCCACGTGTTATTTTGACAAGACTGAAAATGACCAAAAAGGTTAAAAAAGAAAACAATACTTGAACTCTGCAATTGATCGTGATTACGGATGAAAGCCGACACCTTGCGACTCTCAGAAGCATCAGAATTGTTCTTGCTTTGATTTGATCCGAACACACAGCACCTAATTCGCTACCCACCGAGCTATTCCAATGTCACCACTGTCAACTAATATTGCCTACACTTATATCCCTAACGGGTCCGCTTCAAACAGTAAACTAAGAGTAAAGATCTGACGGAGCTGAAAAACCTTCAACACATGTGTCCAACTACATCATTTTGTACTTCTCCTTTTATGGTCAATTCTCACAATATAGTAAGAAATGGACATTGATCTTCAAGGTATCAAGGAAACTTTGCTCTAACCACGGGTTGTCACATGCACTCGAGCTTGCATGACAAGTAAATGGTAATTGATGAGAATATACAGGCATAGGCATTAGGCATAGATTTCGGCATAGCTGGGAAATAAAGTACCCACCTGATCACAGTTACTACCTATCATACCAGCAGGACATTGACAATGTATTTTATAAGATGACGATTTCTTACTACTTAAATCACATTGTCCCCATTTCGGCTGAAAAACAGAGAAAACATTGGGTTTGACTAAAGACCACGACTATTCATAACGCCAATAATTCCCTAATGTAGCGAAACGGACCAATAATTTTAAGACGCTGACATGAACATATGAGCGATTTGTTCAGGTTGGTTGCTAATTTCTTGGTGATGTGCCACACAGATCAGAACGACTGATAGAACATCAGTATTATAGCATATGATGTTGTCTTTGCAGGGCATTCCTGAACACCGATGCCACTCTTCAGAGAACTCCCATAGCCAAAATGCATACAAATACAATAAAGTGTAAAACTTACATTGGTAGTGTCAGTATCAGCAGTAACACACCAGGGTTGACACTGTTGTTGTACACCATTATATCCAATAGCTAAACTCATAGGATGAGGACCATATATAGCCATGCGAAGACTCCCCCCACAAAACTGGAGTTTATCACCAGCACATGGCATGTTACAATCACTACAAAGAAAGGATAGCATATCAATAATTAAAACGATCAAAATGGGGCCTTTAAAAGCAATCAATATACATGTACTAGTAAGTGGTTCGATAATTGGAATCCAGGGTTAAAAGAGCACCAGCACATAGCGAACAGATTGTATTGTATTTCTAGGGGAATTGCTTTATATTTCAATCAAGTTTGTCCGGGTGATCTGGTAGATGTGAACCTCCGAGGACCATGTATTCAATGCACTCTCATTTTGTGTTGTGTAGTCCCTATTATACCTTTGTCATTATTTTCAATGTAATTCCAGGTCTAAATCATAGAAACTTACTTATCCGATTTCTTCAGCTTCCAGTCGAAAGCATTATCACAAAAACATTCTCTACCATATTCCACGGCCGCGTATCGATAGTTATTGTTCCTGCAATACAAATTTCGGTTTATCAATCCGAACTGTATTCTGTATTCTGTGAAGCAACAACAGAAACAAAAGCAAATTTTTTTGGCAGCTCCACTCCGACATGAAGATTCCATATATGTATACCTCGGACTCATCACTTAATATGTGATGGAATCCTAAAGAGTCTTCAAATATAGTTAGGAACAAACCTAAATAAATGTCTGCCACATTTAAGAAAAATTCATTTATTAAGAGTGTATAAGGTTCCATTTCCACAACTTTTGCCGAATCAAAATTGCAAATATAGCTAAGAACGAACCTACACAAGTTGATACAATATTGTGGTGTTATCTTGGATGACGTGGATTGACCGACTTGGTGATAGAAATGTCTATTATTAGAATCATCCTGAAAACATCCTCTATAAATCTCATTACCATAGACAGTTGTTTTAGGAATGATCAATTTCTGACCAGGAATGGACAGATCCTGAAAATCCAAAACAAAAGATGATAATTTAGGTAACCTTCTTTCTATGGGGGAATGGGGTGTGATTTACAGAATTTACAGCACTTGTAAATGAATAGTCGTTGCTTAACTCCCAATCTTTGTTCCGAAATTTGATTTGCTGGTGATCAAAATTGCTATATCCGTTTTTATTGTTGTGAGGAGTGGTCTTGTCTATTGATTACAACTGCATTTGCCATAACAGAATTGGAATACTGTGGCGGAGCCAAAGGGGAGGGTGGAGGGGGCCGGCAGAGGATTTACCGCCCACCTCTCAGCCCCGAAGGAATGTTTTTCGGGCAAAAATCTCATAACTTGGTTAGAAATTCGGGCAACCTCAGACGTAAACCTGGCTCCTGGAATGATTGATTAAGGTCCCATCGGCTAACATGATACGATCATATATGGACCGCTTGGTTCCATCAGCTTGATATATATTAAATTCTTACTTTGTATGATGATTGAGATGTCACAGTCTGAAGGTATCCGCTTTTCCCTTGTGTCACATAACCTTTGAAGATCTGAGCATCAACGTGGATCCTCCCAACACCACCATCTCCGCCACAACCGCCGATACCACCGGCACCTCCAGAGCCCCCCATTGCCCACAGACGATCGTGTCCAACATCAACTATCTGACCAGAAATGTAAACACTGCCACCACTCCCTCCGCCACCTGGTCCTGATGTATCCCAGCAGGATTTAGTGGAACTCCCCTGACAGTTCTTTGAATCTGTACATGCTTTGGGACAGGTAGAGCATCTGGAAAGAAAACAATTGGAGAATAAATAACTGAAAACTTTTATCCTAAGAAATCCTTAATATCGTTTTCGCCACATGACGACAGGATGCTAGATGCACGATATAGTGGAACCTCCAAAGTCCCAAGTAGTTCTGAATCAGAACATAATATTGGTCACGCGCAACATCTTGAAACGAAACTTAAATCCTTAGAGTTTATCGTTTTTATAAACTGATAACAGTGTGCAAGATTAAACTCCTAAGCTCATAGCCGTGTATTCTTGAAATGATCTTAGCGCTAGGATGTCCTGGTATTCTAGTGTAAGAAATTAAGACCCCGGGACATCCTAGCTAGATCAATGACTAAGTACATACGTACATGTATACTATAGAAATCGAAACTTTAATCCTAAGAGTCTATCGTAAGACTGTATAGTTTTTGACAGACTTACTGCTTACCCTGAAGAACTAACCACATCACCCTGGCCAGTTTCACCAGATACATTAATAATACCAGTTACAGTGACAGTTCTACTGGCGTACAGACCTATTATACCACCTCCATTTCCTCCTCGTCCTCCTGAATAGAATTAAAGATCTATGTATCAAAATAGATGTTACAAGAAATTTTTTTTAAGAATTTTGTTAGAATCAGCTAATCCACCCTTGCCACACATCTTTGCGGATTATCCATGCCAAATTACGATTTAAAAAATCGCAAGAATATTGTTTAAGTTATTCATTTAAGGTCCAAGAATCGGATGAAATCACCGACGTCTTTCGTCCGCGTTGCTGAGTGCCAGGCAGTTCTCAAGAGAGTTCCGCGAAACTCGCAACTCTAAAGCACTCACGACGCTGAAGATGATATTTGGGATGTTACCTTTAGGAGACTTTGTGAGATCCTTTGCATTTCCTCCACTTCCACCACCAGATCCTAGATAAAGAGTATCTAACTGGGGTGTACCGTAAGTGGTACCGTACATAGACCAACCAGAACCAGAGTTCTTCTGCTTGTTTGGGGATTGTCTGGAAAATTAACAAATTTATATCCTAATTATAAATTGTATATGTATCTTGTTATCGAAGATAAATTTTTAACCGTTTTCAAAGGCATTTTCATTACAGACTCAAGATAACCAAAATAAACAAAAGAAAAACAAAATTGCTAGGAAGCACTGTGTAGCTCGAAAGCGATTGAGCAATTAATGAAAACCTTTACCCTTTGGTACCATATCCTCCTCCAGCCCCAGGTCGTCCATAACCACGTCCATTGGACTTCCCACCTGCACCTCCTCCGCCACCTCCCCGATTACCAGCCGTTGATGCTTTTCCTTGCCCTGAAACAATCATAGCATTGTGTCCATCAATCACAATTTTAAGTATTGAGCTGTCAACATTTCCAAAATGAATTGACAATAAACTTGGAAGTTAATCTTACTTTAATTTAACTTTTGATTTACAAATATATTTCCATATTATTACCATATACTTCGGAGACGGTGAAACCATTTGATAATTACTGAAGTCGATATGAGGTCCAACTGGCCATTCTTCTTATCAAACATTTTGGTGATCAAGTGTAATCGGTGTATGTTGTCTAATTGTGTAAACGGTTATTATTTGCAAGACAAGAAACATAATTCTTATCGCGCAAATCGTATGATGTTTCTTAAATGATTTAACGAGAAGAAAGCTTCAACTTGTAACTCACCACTGTAAGATTCTCCCTGGACACCATTATCAGCAGGGTTAGCAGGTACAAGGCCACCTCTATAACCACTGCCACTGCCGTCCAATACACCTTCTATACTGATATCCTATAATGACACCAAAACCAAAGCGGATGAAAGTGGCATCATTCCATAAATGATTGTTTAATTCCAATAGAAAAGGACGACAAACAACAAATAACTTTTACTTGGTCTGTGCATTCAATTGGAAAACCAGAATCCCTAGGATAATCTAAAGAAAGAGAATTTCCTCAGAATTATCTGAAGGGTTGTAACAGATATAAGACCTGATTTTTTTCAGGATGTTGCTTCTACTTACCAGTGCATACACTTCAAAGGTACCACCATTAGTACCATCATAGGGTTTGATTAAAGCAATAATTCCCTTTGGAACAGAAAATCGCGAAACATTGCAATGGATTCCTGAAAGTAAAAAAAAACAAATAAACACAACCAACAAAAGCAAAGGACTTGAAAATCCAGAGGCCTATGGCCAACTTAAAAGCTCAGATGTACTTCCTGTGGACTGTCCATACAGATGTCAAATATTGGTGTATCCGATCCGCTACGACAAACTTCTTTTGTCATCCAAATGGCTTCACCAGAAAACTTCTGGTTTATAACTATTTCTTTGTGTCATATTTAGATTACCCGAAAGTTGTTGTGAGTTTCTGACTTCCCAATCATCACCACCATGATCAATTCCGTTACATGGTAAATTAACATCATGTCCTAGTTCATAATGAGAGATCAATCCACCATACATAGCTTCCATCTACAATAAGTAAAGGAATAATGGACAGGACTATTGAACTCTCTACCAATGTCTATTGAAACGTGTTTAACCGAACGGTCTGTACTCCGCGGTAGCCAGCGAATGAAAACCGACACATTATTAACTATGATGTTATGAAAATGTGTTATGTTTCGTATAAGACACTCACTCTTGAATGATGTAGTGGAGTGAAGGACTGATTTGAACTTGTACTCAGGAGACTGACCCCGGGTATAACCCCTTTAGCCACCAGCATCACTGAGGTATAGAGAATATCAGTAGATACTTACAGTTGAGTTGATACTGTTAACATATCTCATACTCATCTTCACCTCCTCTGTTAATAAAGCTCTGTTCCAGATTTTAATAGATTTGATATTACCTTGGAAAGTATCACCAGCACAGCACTGTGATCCTCCTATTCTCAGGCCAGTAGTGGTTAAGATTTTATAATGTTGAACCTACAATGACACCGAACTTTCAGTGAGATTATTATTATGGTCGAACTAAACAACTCTGGTCTCAAAGAGCTTTCAACTGTTCCTTATTAATACTTATTTACTAGTTCAAAGTCAATGCTTTGTGACTTAAAGTTCAAATATATCTGGATCTAAACTTATCTTACTACCCTTGTTCCCAAATAAAGAGTCGATTGTGTTTCCGGTGAACACTAAGGTCATACCGAGATCATTCTCCGGGACTGTTTCGATGCTTTTCGGAGCTGCTTGGACTACCTTTATTAAGAAAATTGGGCTTGGCATCTCATTTTATTGGGCCAGCTGAGAGTTGTCCTTTTGCCTCTTAACAGCAGTGTTCTGAATACAAAGACTAGTCTACTTACAGGAACCAGGATACTGTCTGAACCTGAAACATCGAGTCTCATGTGGGTACCATTATTACTGACACTGACCAAATACCATTGTCCAACAGAGTAAGAAGCACCTTGTAATGGAGCTGTACATCCAGCTTTACTAGCAGGGTAATAAAACGCATTGAAATGACCATTTTGAAGATACAAACCAAAATCTCGACATATATTTACACCACCTATTATAGTCTGAAAACAGAAATCAAGACCACACTTTTGAAATGATCTGTTGATCTCGGTTTTTTATATCTACTTTATCAGTGCCGCTGACAGTTTGGCTTCCTCGTTTGGAATCTAAACCACAACAAAAATCTTATCTCATCTTCAACAATTCCGTCTTCCCATAGTCTTTAAAAATCATATCAGTTACCCTTCGAGTCTTGTCTTTTTTGGTTGGTTTAACCCAAGCAGCTATTGTATAAACGGGCGCTGGGCTCCATTGACCTAAATCTATATAATCATTTTTACCATCAAAATATGTAGAACAGGCGAATGGAGGTCCAACCTGAAACATATAAGTCATTTAGTAAGAAATATGAGTATGGTGTCAATATTTGGCGAATTAGATAAGGAACTGAAAGAAAAACCATTCAGATTGTACCTGGTAGAAACTTCGCAGATCTTCTCTACCAACAACTTCTTTGCTAAACCTCTTGACATTGATCTTTCCATTTTAAAAGAGACCCTCATACACATTACAGCTGGGTCGACCGGAATGATTAGGAAGATATCTTCAATGACACGTTCACTGTTCACATGATCCTTAAGATTGACAGATCGTAGGTATCGGCGCTGACCCCAGGACGGGGTCACAAATACAATTATGTACTACGTACCCCGTTGTCCTCGACACATCTACTGTAAGAGTTATCCTGGTATGTAAAAGGAAATACACAATGGTCACCAGCTAGATCTCCACCAAAAGCTCTGATATCACTGGATGGTACTGCCTGACATTCTCCTGGAATATTAGAGCTTTTTGAGTAACGTTAGCTCAACATTCCCAGCCTTTTGTTTTTATTTCAGAAAACAATGAATAGACCACATGAATTAAGATAAAATGGTTATTTTACCTGCTTTACATGCTGTTTTGTTATATTTATCTTCATAAACACTACAATAATCAAATGTTTGACATCGACTGCCTGTATAGCCTGGTAAACAACTACATGTACCAGTTACTTTACTACATACTCCATTATTCTCACAGCCACAATCATACTCTACAAATATAGGAGAAATTCAGAGCGGCGCCAGCCCTCCGGGACTGGGGTTACAAATAAGGGTAGATTGACTCAATGGGGGGACAACTGCTTAGGCTGAATTCAAATTTTGGCTACTCTGTGGTGGTGTCATGGTCGCAAGCCTATCATAGAGCATCTTAGAGGGTCAAGAAAATTTGAGAAAAAAGGTAGACATTTAGATTTGTTGAAGATAAAGTGAGAATACAAACCACTGTCTACGGGCCTGGTTGTTGAGAGTGACATTTCTTTTACTCCACAGTGTATGAGTGCGCATTATATTCGGAATTATGCAGTATATACAACTAATCAAAATATACTGTATAATTGCAAATATAATGCGCACATATTCTTGTTATTTTTTGCAACTTGATATTACATCTTCTGTCACTTCAACCGATTGTGGATTAGGATTCTAAAGAAGTAATCGCATTTATTTGAATAATTTGATCATACAAAAAAAAATGTCCATGTTTGCATGGGTCTAATGCATTAACTTGGTTTAGTTTGAAACTTCAAAAAGTGAAGAAGGGTCGATCTCAAAACGTAACACTAGAACTTACTTTTACACCTAGCCGTAACCTTACACGTGCTACATCCTTTCAATGAACAATGTCTAGATTTGGTATCCAGGGATCCCTGCCCATTTCCAGACTTTCTGTTTTTACTGTAAATATTACACAATTGAAATGTGTTATGTATTTGTAAAAAAAAAAACATAAAAAGGTTCGAAATGGGTGCTATGGTAACATATGCAATCTGAGATGAATATGAGTATGTGAGCTTGGTGACACCCAAAGTATCTCTATACAGAATACAGGTTTTAGTGCATCAAATTATACAAAGAAACTCCTCATATGATTTGTACACAGTCTGTACAAAGCAAATAAATGATTATAGATAAGAAAAATCCTTACAAGCAAAACAATTCCAGTAACCAAAGCATGGCAAGATGGTAACGTACCTATCCCAATAGTTACAGCCCACTATCTCTGTTCCTACAGGACAATAAGCATCACTTGCTGTGCCTTGAACATTAAATAATATCACGTGACCCGGATCATCATATCTACACGTTGTTTTGGGCTGGAAAATTTTTATGAAAGAATACAAGACTATTAGAAATTAGAAATCAACCATAAAGTAAATGAAATAAATGAAGGAGCGTTGGCTATAGTTCTTTAATGACCATCCACAGTTTGGTCTCTGACAAAAGAACTTATGAAACACAATGTTACTTGCGAGGACACTACAGTCAAAACATTGTTCTTAAAAGGGATACAGTCTGTTAAGTTTCTGTGAAGTGATTAGTTCAAACCTAAGACTTTCTAACACGTATTAGAGGTAATTAAGCTTCTAAAAAGTTTGATGAATCTATTCAAATTGTGTACATTACCTTCCCATTGGAAGCCACACAAACATCACCATCAAACCTCGCACCAGTACATTTATCACATGAACATTGCTCTGGTTGTAATCCAGTAGGACAGTCAGAACCACTAGCTGTTATTATTGCTGAAAACACACACATTTTGATAATTAAAAATTAACACTTAGGAACACAACTTTTCAGCTAAAACTATATGGCATCCTATATTTCACAATTCATTGCTTTATCAAGAAACGGTCCAACAAGACATGGTTTAAAATAACGTCGTTAGAACGGGACTAACGTAGAAAACGTGTTGGATTACAATGAAGATGAAATATATCAGAAAAAATATTGATGTACACCATACTTACTTTGTAAATTTTCACACAAGCTACCAACATAGCCAGGCAGACAGGAACATGTAAACTCATCTTCAGTGAGAGCAACACATATAGCTTCATTCTGACATGGATTTCTGAAATGTAATGAAATCCTTTACTTAAAAGGCCTGTTGAAAATCTGTGAAAACTATGATTTACTAATATGCTTCGTTTTTTGAACGTTTTAGGGTCACACATTTGGGAGATTATTGATTGGCAGACGCGAATAGTTCGTAGGACAAGTCCGACAAGACGCCTTTCTTTAACATCCTTCTCGATCATCGTGTCCAAAAGGCCTGTCCGGTTTAATAGCAGACAAGCGAATCCGGATGAAGAATCCGAAGTTACCATTTAGAAGCTATGACAGGATACAACCTTATATTCATTCTAATTGGAAGAGACTGAATCAAACATACTTAAAGCAAGGTTGTGTTTTCACCAGCTGTAAAGTAAAACCTTTCTGGCCATTGATAGTAGGGTAACAATTTCCGGGATACCCACCACAAATTCCCTCAATAACTTGATCTGTTCCTGAAACAGATAGCAAACAATGTTTTCCTTTAATTGTTAACGAACCAGACATCAGAAAAGTGATATCGGAAGCTGAAACTGAGACTTAATGACTGGTAAATTGAATCTTTTAACTTCTATGTTTTTTTAAAGTGGTATTTGCCCCCAAACACAGTTAAAAACCTAATTTATGTTGAAAAGAGAAAATTGTATTTCTGAAATACAATAAGTCAATGAAATTCACAATACAAGGCTTATTCTCTCGATTTGCGTCCATGTAAAAAACAAAATTCACTTAACAATATTAATGGTATCATAGGCAACTAGGAGACATGTCATAGTTCTTGTTTTCATAAACAACCCCTTTTTAATATTTTGTCAAGAAAAGATTTTCGGTGTATGATAATTTGAAGGTTTCCAAAATGCAAATACATCTTAAGACTGCAGTAACTGCGTTATTAGTCATTAAATATTCTTACAGACAATTTCGCCATGAATCGGACATTGTGCTATAACTTTGGTAATTTCCACGTTCACAGGTAACAGCCACGGGGTTAATGCTAGGTGTGCGAAGGAGAAACTTTGTTTGATTCGGCAATAAGGTTACAGTGGAAACAATATATATAGTGTAGTCATATATATAATGTTTGGTGTGCGATGGAGAAAGCATGTGGTGAAGCCGAGTGTAATAAGAACCAGGGACAATGGAAATCATAATACTTGTAGAATAAACAGAAATCCTATAACTTCCACCACATCTGTCAGTTTTACCTCCACCACCACATTTCATTTTACATTCTGATTCTTTACTTATACTATATTTATTGTGACTATTACCACAGAAACATTGGGTACTATACTACATTACAAAATAAAAACAGATTTATTATTTGTTGCCTGAATCATCTATTCAATTATCGCCCTTTAACCAAGACATCACATAAAACATACTTGTTGGCTTCGAAAGACAGATAGTTTCGTGTGCACGAGATGATTCTGGCAATTGGTACAAATGAGGAGCTCGTATTTGTGGATACCTTAACACCAAATTTGAAGCCTCGTGAGCTTCTAATGCTTATTCGTGGACCTCAATAATAGATAGAATGAGTTCAGGACCTACCTGAGCACCGGCATATCTGTACCCCTTAGCCTTACATTTCTCGATACATATAGGTATGGTCAGGGTCTTGCTGTTATATATCATCACTGGTAACAGTCTATCAACTGCATCCTTAAAACATCCTATATACGCTGAAACAAACCATGATATTATCAACTATCTATATATCTATCTATATTAAAGAAGTGAGTTATACCATAATATATCCCTTGTGTTTTTTGTTATATCTATATATCAGCTTCAGCTGGAAGAACATTAATTTACCATCTTCCAACCAACAATGAATTTGTAATTTGGAAATGGTGAAACATTGAGAGGAGATTTCCGATACTTTACAATTCTGGAACTCTTGATGCCATTTTGAGACAATTTGAAGGATAATTCTCGATTTCAAATCTAGTGGATTGTCTTTGCTTGCAGAATACATTATCATTCTTTTTGGCTTAGGTTATTTAGTTGGGATGTAGGATTGGTCACCAGAGCGACTAGGATTCTAATCCAGAGTACCCCAAGTTACCAACTGGGCTTTACCCATGCTCGAGTTAACATGTACTTACATGTTGTTAGAATGTTAGCTTGACCGCTTGTTGACCCATCAGGAAACTGCCCGGTCCATTTCCATGCCACCGAATCATCAATGGAGAATGGTGTTCCTGCTAAGCTTATCTTAAACTTTCCTCTCGGTGGACATTTTGGAGTGGCCGAGAATTTATCTCCTGCACAACCAAAGCTGAAAGATAACAAAGAAATCAAAGATGACCTTAATATTGGTCATCATGCTGATATATGATAAATGCCTTGACCGACAGATTGGTCGACAATTAACCCAGATTTTCTATTTAGATGGAATCTTGGAATAATAATACTACTGACGTTGTTGGATAGTTGGTCTGTTCAGAAACGGCTGCCCACTAGAGTAAGAGTAACCACTTTCTATCTACTTTTCAACTTCTGATGGACATAAGAACACCGTCAAACACTATGCACAATCCAGTGTAGAGGAATATGCATAAACTGCAGCACACGAATCCAAATGCTTATTTTTCATTTTAACCGTAAGACCTCTGCCGGAATTCCGCTCAAGACCTCCGAACAAAAGAACTGGGCAATTAGCCACTAGCTTCTAAAGTCCAACACCAGACTAACCAACTGAACTCCACACTAAATTCCTTAGAAACTCAGAAACCTACCATATCTGGCGAGGTCCGATGGTATGAGTGAATTTGAAGTTATTGAGATCAATCTTGAGATGAACGGGATCAATCTGTAATCTGAGAAACTCCGTTCTTCCCCATGCTGAATAATTCTGTGGGGGTACCACTGTGCCACAATCCTTCACCGAACCTGAATTACACCAAACAATTGTATGATTAGGTGCCGTGGGTTCGAATCGGGATAGTTTCTTTTCAGTTGAAAGTGGGTCTCCGAGATGAAGTTCGGAACCTAGGAAAGGTCATCAGGGAACTGAAATATCTTTTCAAGTGTTTGACTCGACTGTAATGCCATACCACATGAAAAAGTCTGTGCCTATATCATGCGACAATAACAGGACGTTGAACGTCATCGGTCAAAAGGTTTTCAGTGGTAGGAATTCTGTGCTCGGTATACCCCAGTGAAACAGCCATGCCAGATTTTCCAAACAATGAAGAGAACTTACCAACACTCATATAAACGCTTCCAAAGTTATTAACTCTTCCTGATTTTAATGGAACGTAAGCCTGAGGGTTCCGATCCAAATCTAAAAGTGAAACGTTGTCATTTATTGTCAAAAGGTCATCAATCCCAAGGTTTGTTTACAATGCCAATGGTATTCTTTCAAATCTTATCTAATTTCACAACTCTTGGATTGCCTTACGACTGTGCATTGAAATATGCTTAATAAAAGCCATAACTTACCAGCACAATATAAAGGTACTGCCAGACGTTCATCAATCTTTATTGGGTATTCACCATCTCCTGCACCTGATCCTAGAGCACGAGCTACACCATCACAAGAGTCATAAACCTGAGATTCACAGATACCAACCAACACAGCAGCTAGAGTGATATATAGATAGATATTCCGGGAGATACGCATACCTTCGACAGTTTTTCTTTTGATATAAACTATAGTTATTCTGAAATGAATTTGGAAATAGCCTATATCACCCCTCTTCGGAACTTCGCTTACTAACTACAACATTACGTATAGCTCCATAGAGAATCAAAACAAACAAATCCAACTATTTATGAATACCTAGTTTATTGTTAGAGTTCCCGAAGACACATTTTCAGATCTCAATGATGCCGGTGTTTAAGTTGGGCACGTTTTAACAATAAAATAAGATACAACTGATTAAAAAGTGATAATAAAGAGTTTATCAGTTTTGGCCTTGCCGGGGAGATGAACATGGTACGAATTTATTGATAATTTTCGTTATCGGTTATCCACACGCTTTTAACAGTTTCAGAAATACTACAGTAGGGTTCAATTCACACGAAAAACAATTTCTAAAGATTGTTATCGGCCATCAGCCAAACGATTCTTAAAGTCTGATATAGGGGATACAAAGTATAGTCGAAAATGTTAGGCTTCCATCCCAAAATTTCTCAAATGGTTTCTCCCTGTCCATGATCACGTTTTTGTGTTTGATTTTGATAGCGAAAGCAGAACAAACAAAAAGGTGGTTACTTTACAATGCAAGTTCAGAAAATGGTCAGAGCAATTGGATCTGAAAGTCGCGGAATTTTCTAGCGATTTATAATCGACCAAATCCATCAGCTGCCATTTCAAACGATCTTCTGCTCTACGACAGATTCAGCTTTACCAAAATATGGCGAAGTTTGTTCTCATGTAGTGCTAAATGAAAAACACGAGTTTATTTGAAAACAAAGGTATGATCTATATCACAATTTACTCTTTGATAACAATAAATAGATAATGTAGACTATGTTTACCAAGGTCAGCAGATGATATTAACCACGTCTAGATGATAACTTGGATATTGAGTGCACAAAAGATCTTTTATCATTAACGTGAATAACATCGATAACGCTTTCAGATGAATCATTTAAAGGCGACAGAATCTGAGAGCAAGTGTATTTTGCAACTGCTAGCAACTATTGCTGGCACGGCATATCGGTGAATCGGTTGCAACCATCCACTTGATCTGACTTGCTAGATATCAATATCAATCGTCTTGACAATTTCAGCCACTCCGATCATCATCACTGACACAGGGAACCCCGAATTGAAAATCTGAATAAAGCTATGTATAGTGAACTTCCAGCCTTTATTTGTCAAGAGTGTTGAATAGCCTCGAACCCCCACCCCCACCTCCTCTCAATATTTATTTTCTGTCAACGTAACGTTGATCTGACGTGTCGTCGTTCTGTTGCAGTTAAATATCGTCAAATTCCGATTTGATAAGCACTTCAAATCTTTATGAGACAATTTACAACTGTTGACGAAATCAAAAATTCATTTTGAAGCTGTCTTGAATCAATTGTTGATTAGAATTGATTATAAGGAGAAATCTGGCGGCTATTAAAAGGTAAATGTATAAATAATTGATTGTCGTGCTACAGATGTTGCTGTTACACGCCATACAACCATAATGCATTTGATTTATGTGTCAATTTTGTACAAGTCTATTGGAATTTATAAAGTTTCCTGTCATAGTTTTATTTTAATGAGAGGGGGGGGGGGGGGGGGATCAAGTGGTCCCGGCTTATGTATTTTCATCTGTACCTACACCGAAAAAATGGTTCCCCCCACCCCCTTAAAAATTCCGACAACCAACCAATTCCATTACTATACTGCAACTGAACGCTGAACTCTATTCCCGATGCCCCTCCAAAAATTCAAGTCTTGCTACGGGTCTGCTCTTCTCTTTCAATCTTATTTTATCTTTCCTATGAACCCCCGTTGGCTAATCTGCGGTCCTTACACTGTCTCTTCCTTGAATGATTTATAAAAAAACCATCAAAATTCCAATAGCGCCAAGTATCGGTTTGAAACAAATATCTGCGGTTTGTCGGGGAATATCCTATTGACTGAACAAAGCTGAATCCACTTCTAAAGGCTTATTTGATATATTGGGACCTATCTTTGTACCTTTCTGTAGGCTTATCTGGTGGTGGCAGAAATTTGGTGCTCCATACCCAAATAATGAAAAGCTATTTCTAGTTTCTACTCCCACTAAGCAGTGCTTCTTTTCTCAATGGGTACTGAATCGGAAGACCATGGGGAGGAATTATTGCCAAGGGGAAAATGGGGAGGAATCGTCGGACCAGGGAGGAAATGGGAGGCAAGGTGATCTACGACTAAAATTGATATCATTCACCCCCCCGAAAATACAGAAAATCGTGAACGAACATCTGGCCCAAGGGTCACATTGAACTATCTCGATATGTGATATGATTTTATATCTATTTATGGTTAATCATTGAATACATTTTTCGTGTAAAATACGTTTCAAAACGGCTGATTTATTTTGGGGAGGAATAAATTTTCGAAAAACTCTTACGGGGAGGAATGATCTCAATGAGGTTGAGAAGCACTGTCTTAGGTAAATTAGGTGAATAGCCTATATTACAAAACAACCCAGTCCGTTAGCTTAAACAAAAAATACATGACAAATATAATTGTGGGTGACAATAGAAGGGTGTTGCCATTTTTGGCTGTTAAGTGCAGCCAAGAGTCAAAAGCCATTAGAGTCCACAGGCTCCCATGTGGGATACAGCACTATTTAAGATTCTTTAGAAGGCATTTCGTATATATCTTTTTAGTCCCTCAAACCAAATATCATTGGCCAGAACAATAGAAGAATTCCTCAAAATAAAGGTATAGTCTGGAACCCCTGTGTCTTTGACGTCTATGGGTGCCTTCTAGCCTGCTAAAATTATTACTATTCTTGGCTGATTGATTTAAAATACCTCATGTTTAACAAATCATCTAATTTGTTTTTAAAAGTGAAACACGTATATCTATCATGTTACTTGTAGAAAATCAATAGTCTTATAAAAAGAACCTTCAATCAAATTCCTGTAAATATCTGTAGATGCAAGCGAAGGAGACGAACCATAAATCGACACGCGATTCTAAACTTAGCACATGCGCACTTAGACAAAACCTAAACGTGGCATCATGGCGAAGATGGGAAGCTCACGTCTCCCGATTATTTTTCTCTGTTTGGTGAGTAATATTGAGATTATCATTCTAAAACTTTTGCAGCCACGACAGATTTTAGGGACAATTCCTGTCACCTTACTATTTGAACCCAAATATGCACAATTTTGCAGTAAATTCGTCACCAACACAACCGGTGTCCTAAAAGTTAAAGAGTCACGTGACACCTTAAACAAATCGAAAGTAGAAATTTTGTTTTCGTTGACATTAGGTTTTTTAAATAGATTTTTAAGAAACATTTGTTTAACTGAAAGTCTTAAAGCATGTGGCATTTCAAATTAATGAATTCTCTGTTTTGTCTCAACGATATGATACTTATCAAAGTATGCTTTGAAGAATAAAACGAATTTAAAAAGGTAGGAGGGGAGGGGGTGGGGTGGTCCTTTGCCACTGTCACTGTCAGTACCTCTACAAGGTATCCTATTCACTTTTTCCCTAAAATTCAAACAAATAAACAAACAACTAAATTTATAATGTTTAAGTTGAAGTAAATTAAATTCAATACCAATACAAGGATATCTTGCTTCTTAGTTTTTTAAGATGAAATATAGGACAGGAAGAAAGAAGCAATAGAAAGGACAGACTGAGTGTAGGCTAATGATTAATGTCATCAGAAGATTTTATCATTGATCTCTTTTCTTCTGAATATACACAGACTTTTATACTGTTAAACATTAGTAATGGAAGAAATTGCACATAATTGGATCTTTGTATCTTGAGCTATTCTTTGAATATCTTTTTAAATTTTTTGAGATTTTATATGTGTTTTTTTAATGAGGATATTATTTAGACACATTATTATTACCAACTTTGTACTTATACCTTGACTGCAATAGCCACTATTCATGTATTATGGACTGCAGTAATTTTATTGGATTGTATGCCAGCGAATACAGCCAGTCAGAACCCTCGACAGACTTGCAAACTTTATGGCTTTGTGTTCACAGACTTTCTGTCAAAACCTCTGATTGACTGTATTCGTTGGTGAACAATCCAATCAGATCCCTGTATTTACGAACTTGCATGATACAATATTGCAGTCAAGGTATAAGTATGAAGTTCGTTATAGCTTGACATTGTGAAGCATGTAATAAACCCTGAGATCTCATTTATTTATATTTAAAAATAATGTACAATATCAAGTGTTTCTCTTTCAATGAGATTCAATGAAGCAAAATATTGTGTTGATTGGGAATAAGCTTCATCTTTTAATTGCTATCCTATACTCTATTCTAAATATAACAAGATACCTTACTGGTTTTATTGTATAACATAAGTCACATGTAGCAAGGATAACTCTTAATTATCAGGAATATCTTGTTCCTATAATGATCCCTGGATGTCGAATAACCAATTAAAAATCCTGGTGATCAATTTGCACTAATTAATCCTTTCTCTGAAAAAAGAGATGGAGCTGGTGTGACTGTGGAAACTAGTGTGAGTGATGGTGAAAATACCTTAAAAATTGTAATATTATTCTACAGCTTAAATTAGAATCCCGATTTTTATATGCCCACACGTAAGATGGGCGTATATTGTAATCACCCCGTCGGTCCGTCCGTTCACATTTGGCTCGTGCTCACTCTACAGGCTACAGTTCTTATGGATTCTTTTGATTTTTATTTTGTGTGTCAATGTCATTATGAAGATGATCCCTATTGATTTTCGTGATGATCGGATAATTTTTCACCGAAATATCGTGTCTGACTTGACGTTTTTCTCTATTAGCTATATTGTGCAACTCGTGCTCACTCAACAGGCTACAATTTTTTACAGATTCTTTTGATTTTTATTTTGTGTGTCAGTGTCATTATGAAGATGATCCCTATTGATTTTCGTGATGATCGGATAATTTTTCACCGAAATATCGTGTCTGACTTGACGTTTTTCTCTATTAGCTATATTGTGCAACTGTTGCTCACTCTACAGGCTACAATTTTTCACAGATTCTTTTGATTTTTATTTTGTGTGTCAATGTCATTATGAAGATGATCCCTATTGATTTTCGTGATGATCGGATAATTTTTCACCGAAATATCGTGTCTGACTTGACGTTTTTCTCTATTAGCTATATTGTGCAACTCGTGCTCACTCTACAGGCTACGATTTTTTACAGATTCTTTTGATTTTTATTTTGTGTGTCAATGTCTTTATGAAGATGATCCCTATTGATTTTCATGATGATCTATCGATTTTCATGATGATCGGATAATTTTTCACCGAAATATCGTGTCTGACCTGACATTTTACTCTATTAGCTATATTGTGCAACTTGGCTCACTCTACAGGCTACAATTCTTTACAGATTCTTTTGATTTTTATTTTGTATGTCAATGTCATTATGAAGATGATCCCTATTGATTTTCGCGATGATCGGATAATATTTCACCGAAATATCGTGTCTGACTTGACGTTTCACTCTATTGGCTATATTGTGCAACCCTGTAGTCACTAAAGACTGTTTAATCATTTCTGACAGCTGCCAGTCGGCGTATGTTACCTTGCCTGGCAAGCTATCTTTAAAAATATGGTCATCTTATTGGATGGTTAAACTTATCTTAAAATATAATTTAATGATCAAACCAATAAAATGACTGGAACACTAAAAACATCTAAGTGAAGAGAATAATTCCCCATGCTTCTCCTTGTCAGTATGAAAAAGGGTCTATTAGTTTAAATGGGACTATATATTTAGGCCCTGTAGCTATAAGCCCCTATCCATGCAAAATTTCTCTCATTGCACACTTGCTAGAGTTGCAATATTTAAAGCTCAATCACATGCAACATATTGACAGGAAATAACACTTCCTTACGCACCAAATATGGTCGATCAAGACCACTGTTTCTTTTGTAAACAACTCTTACTACAACACAAATCACATTTGCCTTTAAGTATATTTCTATTTGAAGAGTAGTAGAGTAGTAGTTTTGTACCTGTAGAGAAAGTATATGTTGTTCAAACATAGAGATAAATCCACTTGATAAACTCTCTATTAGAAACCTGTCTTGAAGCCATAAATATGTTTACTATTGAAACAATGAATATGTACTTTTTAACTCTTTTTTTTATTATGTTGACATTTAATTTCGAAAGAAATTATTGACACAAATGATTGAAATCCAGTGTAGAGAAGCTGAGGTTGCTAGGATTCCTGATATTGTAGGATTTTGGTCAATTAATCTTATTGCTCACTTTAAGATAAAACTTGGTGATGTTACTTAAAATGGATATCACAATATTAAGCATTAATATATCACAATATATGTATGTATCGCCATATTTCTTAAGCATGTATTTACTGATTCTTGAAACAATTTTTTTTGTACCTTAATTTACATGTAAGAAAAAGCAAACAATATCTCAGCCCTACTTGATAACTAGCATATATCACAATATGGCGATATTTCCATATTACCAGCCCTACTTTAAGATAGCAAATTAAAATGGAAATAACGAAATATATGAGTAAATTATTTAGTTGAAATTATCAGTCCATGAAGAAGTGAAATAGGTTGATGAGAAATAGGATATGTTTTTGAAAACAAAAATTAGCTATCTGTAGCATTATTTAAAACGGTGTCATAGATTTCTCATAAATTTCTTAAGAATGTTAAAGTGATACTACGTCTTAGAATGAACATAAAATTTAAGTTCTCAAGAATGGTCAATATGAGTATATATTCGTCAGCTAGCTTACCTGGTGTCATAAATTACAACACAATCCCTGTAAAATCAAGAAAATTGGAAAATTCATAAAACTAAGTAATTATTGAAAAACGCTTAATCATAATATTAATCTTTTTTCAATAGTTAATTGCATTTATATTAAGTTTCTTAGATTTATCGGATTATATAAGGATCCTGTATGTTATTTATGTCACTAGGTATATCTACTGATGAATAGATGCTCTTATTGGCCAAGTTTAAAATGTTTAAATTTATGTTTATTCTAAGACGTAGTGTCCCTTTAATAACTGCCTTCAATTGATAACAGTGTTAAACTATCAACAGTTATTAGTGTTATGAATAGCTGTTAGCTAAAATTAGGTTTTAATATTAAAATAGAAACCAAAGTACATGTATAAAGTATTAAAACTTGAAATCCAAAATAACTGCTTAGTAATAAATGAACTATTCATATAGGGAAGTATATCAATTATTAGTGATTAAGTATTTCATAAAACGGTATCCGGTGTTTAGAAGAGTTGGATTCTATCAGCTGATTCAGCACTTCTATAGACTGCTATATCTCTAAAAGAAAGTTATATTATTTATTTCCAGGTATTTATCCCATGTTACCTACAAGCCAATAAAAAGAAAACTGATCTGATAATTAAAGTAGATGATTTTAAAGATTTCAAGAAGTTGTTAAAAACTAAAACTAATTTATTAGTAATATACGCCCAGTCTGGTAAGGAGTTATCTTCTCTTTTTATATATCAAAATTCATATATACTTGTTTATCCTTTACATCTGTCATTCTTTAATCTGGGGAAAAAATGCCTCAAGGTTCGGACAAGGACCAGCTGGTAGACAGAATACTTAAGGTATTATCTTTGTCAAATCATTGTTCTAATTTGGATGAAACTGGCTTTGCTATGGCATCTAAGATGAGTTTGATTTCGAAAACATTTCATTGAAAGTTTTTTGAGTTATGGCCCTTGACTATGATTGTAAACATCTGAATTGTTGTCAAGGTCATACATCTCTTATTGTATTTCTGACATTATCACTTACCAATTACCATAAGCTTATTTAAGTGCAATCTATTTAAAACTTGATTAAAATTTTTTTCATTTTTTTCACCTGCATTGTAATCTTACTAATTTTCACCACAGTCCTGTTCTAATAAGTTTTTTGTCTTATCTTATATTTATAGATAAATCAGTGTCTCAGTCGTGGTCTATATTTCAAAATGTAGCCAATGAAATCCGAGGGAAAGGAACATTGGCTTTCATCAACTGTGGGTAGGTAGTATTAGTTTGGTTTTTGGTTTTTTACTAGGACCCAGTCAAATAATCTATAAAGAATTTATAATTTCAATTATGGATTATCAAATTCCATAATCAATTAAATGTATTGTATTCAAAATATTTGCTTGTTGAAATTATTGCTTGTCTTCATTAGGACATAAAACTCCATTTCATTTCATTTGTCTTCATTAGCAAATAAAGTGCAGAAAAGTAGGACATGCCTTCATTTCATTTCATTTTTCTGATCTGCTCTTGTTTAATGAGAAATCCCTGTCATTTGAGAAATGGGTCCTTAACCCATGTTTTATATTTGAATGGAATACAATATTGAATTAAATTGAATTAAATGTTTATTAATTGTATTACTTTGTATTTTCAGTGAAGAAAAGAAATTATGTAAAAAATTAAAAGTTTCACCAACTACATTCGATATAAAACATTATAAGTAAGTATAGTTCCATATAGATATTAGTCCTGCCTTGATCTTAGTGTTTTGTTGATGTCAAAGACTCCAGCTAATCTTGTAAGGGAAGAAGAGGTTTGGGGCAATCCTGACAGAGAGGATTTTCAGATCAGATTCTGACATAAAACAGTACAGATAGTGTCTAATCCTCCAGAGAGGAAAATAAACTGAGGTCCTGTGTAAAGACAGAAATCATCAAGCTTCTGCCAACCATTTCCACCAACCACCCCTCCTCCTCCCCCTCTCCCCTTCCCATCAACCAAATTCGGAGCAATTGTTTAAGTGATGTGAAATTTGTTATATTTTGTAGAGATGGTGAATTTAATAAAGATTATGATAGAAAAATATCTTTAAAAGTAAGTTTTTAGTTCTGTCATTTTTCAAAGCTGTGACGTAATGGGGATAAATTCAAAAACTTTTAAAACAACAACCAAACTTTGTAAATATTTATTATGTGTCAATGTAGTTCTAAGATTGTTGACAGCTCTAGATATTTCTTTATGTTTTGTGTATAGGCTTCATAAATTGATCACATCTGTTCCATAATCAAGTCTGACCCAAGAGCTTTGCGTGTACAATGATTAACGCAAATCAATTTTACCCTATCCCCGACAAGTGACTAACTTCTTGCTAAACAGAATATTTGATTGATTGAATTTTCGATTGACTTCACTATAAATATCTTCTGATCATAGAAAATATTCAGAACAAAATATCTTCTATTTTCAGTCTATGTTGAATTTCCTATTGGATCCTACTGGTGATTTACCATGGGAGGAAGATCCAACAGCTCAAGATGTAGTACATATAGATACAGAGGGAGTAAGTAATTAAAACAGTCCCCACAACTTTTAGTTGAACTGTACTATAGTTGTATTTGGGTGTCCAGAATAGTTCATTATCAAAATTAAGGGTATTTTTTGGTTGGTTGTTGAATTCTTGTCACATTTATCAAATAAAAAAGAAACCGAAAGTTGAAATTCCATTTTTGAACATGAATATCTACTATTAAACAACATTGTCAGACAATATACATTACTATTAATAGAATTTATCTAAAAAATGTACAGCATTAGCAATTTTAAGATGTTAATTGATAGGTGTCCTATTGTGTCATGATTAGCAAATCCAATTGTACTGACACTAACATAACCACTCAAGAATTGGGTTTTTTTTTCACAGGGTTTAGCTAAACAATTAAAAAAGAACAAAAGTCCACATTTAGTGATGTTTTACGCACCATGTAAGTTTTAACTGAAGTTATTATATTACCAGTTTCATTTTTAAATTTTGCAAAAACTCATCAACACTTACACTTTCCAAACAGGGTCCAATTTAATCGGTATTGCATCTCAATTAGCAAGTCATCCAGACCTTCTTTTGCTATTTAATATTTCCTAGGATTAGCTGAATAATTAAAATCATCAAAAAAATCTATGAATCGAATTAATTCTATTGCCAAATCTAGAAATACACAGCAACCCTCTGTCATCTCTACAGCTGAAGTTTTGAGAAATGTGAATCACAATTTAACTTGATTTATATAATATCTGGTGTTATTTATTTAGGGTGTGGATATTGTAAGAGGTTGAAACCTGATTATTCTGCTGCTGCTACTGAGATGAAAGGACAAGCTGTAAGTAATTTGTATTGAATAATTCAAATAAGAGAACAAAGTGAAATATTATTAAAATTTGGTGTTGGAAATATAGGCCAAACTTGAGTAATGGATTTTAATAGAACATGAATAAATTAAGTTAACAACAGAAATTCAACAAAACAGAATATCTTTTTGGTATGGAGTTGCATCAATAGACTGAACTTGAGTTAAAGAATGTGTCAGATCACAAGTAGATGAAGTGACCCACGAAAGTCTAATAAAATGGATTATCTTTAGGATGGGATTTATATGAATAGGCTAATCTTGAGTATTGGATGGTGTCATATTTTGAGTGAGTGAACTAACTGACAGAAAATACACCAAACAAAATATCAGAATGAAGCTATAATAAAATGTTTTATATACTCTAGGTATTAGTTGGTATTGATGTTGATAAACCACAGTTAATGTCATTAAGAACACAGTATAATATCACTGGATTCCCTACACTCTATTATTTTGAGTAAGTCAGTAGTTTTAGTGATATTATTTGGGTTAATATTTACACATCTAGTTTATAAAGTTCTATAAAAACACAAATGATTGGCAACTTATGAGTCCTGTTCTGTGTACGGTGGTAAAATGAGACTTGGCTGTAACTCTTCAAATTTTGAAAAAATCTTAATCAGATTTAAAATGAAAATATATTATTACAGAAATGGTAAACTAAAATATCCATTTGGTGGAGAGAACAATAAAGATGGTATTGTATCATGGTTAAAAAAGTAAGTTATTCCTCATCTTATCACAAATGTTCGTTAGGATGGTGAATGAGACCAGGGTGTGTCATGTAAGGTCATGAATATAAAGGCTTTGGTCAAAACAGACCCATTGAAAACAACAAAATTAACAAATTGATGTAAAATGGACAATTTCCCACTTTGAATTTTGCTGAGAGATGACATAGATATCAATCATGATGTTCACAGTATTTCTGTCGTGGACTATGATTGGCTGTATTCTCTGGTGTAAAATCCAATTAAATCATTGCAATCTGTGATACAAAAAAGGTGGCTATTACAGTCAGTGTATAATTAAGAATTTTGTAATACCTTGACCATTGTGAAGATGCTGTATAACTAATAATGTTATTGGGTATATTTTGCAGTCCTGGTCCACCTAAAGAACCCGAGAAGGAAGCAGAATGGTCTGATGAGGAATCTGATGTTGTCCATTTAACAGATGAGAATTTCCAGGAATCTCTTGATAAAGAATCATCAGCGCTAGTCATGTTTTACGCACCTTGTAAGTCTTTTTTTTTATTGATTCAGTATTGACATTTACTTGATTACCCTTTGTTCAGCCCTTCAAGGAGATATTCATATAGCAAGGCATGAGCTTTATTTGCTTGGTAGTGTGTTATCTCTGGAACTGGTTTTTAAAAAAACAGACCTGCACATTACTAAAAAGGGTGACCTGCAGAAAAAACAAACAAAAAATCTAGATCTACAAACAGCTATATTTAGAAACAGCTAGATCTACAAACAGCTATATTTACAAACAGCTCGATCTACAAACAACTATATTTACAAACAGCTAGATCTGCAAATAGCTCTATATACAAACAGCTAGATCTACAAACAGTTATATCTACAAACAGCTATCTATACACACAGCTAGATCTACAAACAACTAGGTCTACAGCTATCTATACATACAGCTATCTATACAAACAGCTATCTATACACACAGCTAGATCTACAAACAACTAGGTCTACAAACAGCTATATTTACAAACAGCTAGATCTACAAACAGCTAGATCTACAAACAACTAGATCTACAAACAGCTATCTATACAAACAGCTATATTTACAAACAGCTATATATACAAACAGCTACAAACAATTAGATCTGCAAACAGCTAGATCTATAAACAGCTAGATCTATAAACAGCTAGATCTACAAACAGCTAGATCTACAAACAGCTAGATCTGCAAACAGCTAGATCTGCAAACACCTATCTATACAAACAGCTAGATCTACAAACAACTAGGTCTACAAACAGCTATCTATACAAACAGCTATCTTTACAAACAGCAATATTTACAAACAGCTAGATCTACAAACAGCTAGATCTACAAACAACTATATTTACAAACAGCTATATTTACAAACAGCTAGATCTGCAAATAGCTAGATCTACAAACAGCTAGATCTGCAAATAGCTATATATACAAACAGCTAGATCTGCAAATAGCTATATATACAAACAGCTAGATCTACAAACAACTATATTTACAAACAGCTAGATCTGCAAATAGCTAGATCTACAAACAGCTAGATCTGCAAATAGCTAGATCTGCATACAGCTATATATATAAACAGCTATATCTACAAACAAGTAGATATACAGATACCTAGATCTACAAACAGTTATATTTAGAAACAGCTAGATCTATAAACAGCTATATATATACAAAAAATAGATCTATAAACAGCTAGATCTACAAACAGCTAGATCTACAAACAGCTAGATCTGCATACAGCTATATTTAGAAACAGCTAGATCTACAAACAGCTAGATCACAAACAGCTAGATCTACAAATAGCTAGATCTACAAACAGCTAGATCTAAAAACAGCTAGATCTAAAAACAGCCAGATCTAAAAACAGCTAGATCTACAAACAGTTATATATACTAACAGCTAGATCTACAAACAGCTATATATACAAACAGCTAGATTTACAAACAGCTAGATCTACAAACAGCTAGATCTACAAACAACTAGATCTACAAACAGCTATATTTACAAACAACTAGATCTACAAACAGCTAGATCTACAAACAGCTATATATACAAACAGCTAGATTTACAAACAACTAGATCTACTAATAGCTTGATCTAAAACAGCTAGATCTACAAACAACTAGATCTACAAACAGCTAGATCTACAAACAACTAGGTCTACAAACAGCTATCTTTATAAACAGTTAGATCTAAAACAGCTAGATCTACAAACAACTAGATCTACAAACAACTAGATCTACTAATAGCTTGATCTAAAACAGCTAGATCTACAAACAACTAGATCTACAAACAGCTAGATCTACAAACAACTAGATCTACAAAGAGTTAAATCTGCAAAACTCTCCTCCTTCAAATCATTTTCATTGCCTTCAATTTATTTGTTATATTCTGAAGTATATTTTATGTAATTATAGGGTGTGGTCATTGTAAACAGATGAAACCAGGTTATACAGAGGCTGCTGCAACATTAAAATCAGATAATGTAAGTTATTATGTCTCACTCAAACTGACATTTAAATAGCTGGCATATAAGAGACAACAATTTTATGGATATAGACTTCTATTTATTATTCAAACATAATGTTTCATTACACATACAGGTAACGTTCAAATGTACGAAATAAACTTCTTATAATTTGTTGAGTTGTTATGTTTTTTCCAAGTCTTATATTAGGAGTATATTTTTTGTATGGTTAATTATCATTTATCCATAAAACTGTTGTCTCTTAATGTGCTGTGATACTTCTTAATGTCTTACAAGGATTAGCTGGCATGTAGTCATTGTTACATATTGTTATAGAAATGTTAACACAAATATTATATGAAATATTATATGAAACAAAACTTGGTATGAAATAAATAGTTATAAATAGTTATAATATTTCTACAGATACCTGGTATATTAGCTGCTGTAGATGCAACCAAACATAGAAAAGTAGCTGAAGAATTTAAAGTGAAGGGTTTTCCATCAGGTAAAATATCAATTTCATTAAAATGCAGATCTGAATAATTGCTTTCATGCTTTCTGCAGTCATCCAAGTGGAGTTGCCCACAGAAAAAAAATGCTATTAAACATTTGCCTGATCATGAACATATACATTGTTATTAGAAGTTTTCTCATCTCTTCTTACAATGTGATACAGATTTTATTAGACAGTGTCAGTCATCAACTTTGTATCAGCATTCTACTTCTTAGAGGCTCTTATAGAGTAACCTTGTATAACCTTCATACTGGCAATTTATAGAATTTACTATTTATTACTTTTTTTATCTTTCCTTTTCATATCTAAACAGTTAAATATTTTGTGTAAGTATTCTTTTTAAATTCATTAAATATTAAATTTGTATTTACCAATGTTGGTGCCGATGATATGGCTTAGGGAAGATAAAAACATCTTGGTTTGTCTTGTAACATTAATGTGTGTAAGAATTTTAAAAACACAGCAGTTTGATTAGTTACTATAGCAAGAGAGACGACTAGAACATTTAATTCATCTGTAATTTTTAATCTTACATTATAAATAATTTCTTCTCTCAATGATTCCATACAATCTCTTGACTTGTAGAAATGGTAAATATGAATATGATTTCAATGAACGTTCTAAAGAAAAAATTATGGAATTTATGAAAGAGTAAGTTTAATTTTTGTGATGATTTAATATTTTAATGATTCAGTTAATGACAAATGGCTTTCTTTGTATATTTGTGTATGTCTTTGGCTGTCCCATGAAAAGTTAGTACTGAACAATAATCATGATTTAATGTGTTTCCTAATCCTTATCAATGGCAGTGGAATGGCTCAGTCAGTAGCGAGGAAGGTGGTCATCTGCTAGGTGATAAGTCGATGGGTTGGTTGCTCCTCAAGGTAAAAAAAACTCTGATGCCACAACAAGTGCTTCTAGATTTGACCTTTGAACCCGATGACGTAAGACAATTCACTTTCCATGTCATGTTATTTCAGCCCAAAAGAACCACCACCCCCTCCCCCACCAGAGCCTAAATGGGAAGAAACAGAAAGTGATGTCATTCATCTAACCGAAGATAATTTTAAACCTACTTTAAAGAAGAAGAAACATGCTTTAGTTATGTTTTATGCTCCATGTAAGTCAAAAACTTTTTTATATGGATTCTAGGCTTACCCTCATAGCGAAGCTTTTTGTCTGAAAAATGGGAAACGCTGCCACTTCAATGGCCCACTCTCCATAATTAGGTGTTTTTAGATTACAGAAATTTACTTGACTCTAGCTCGGCTGGCTTAACACACAGTCTACAGCCAGACCCTAAGTCATTATCTAACCTGAAGAAAAATTTTCCAAAGTATACACTCATTGGAATATAATTATGTTTAATACTGTTAACACCTTTGGATTACTTTCTTTTGTGACAGTCTTGTTGTTTGCAAGGCAATTAGTTACCATGAATTTGAATCCTTTCATTAAAAATCCTGATGCCATGGCCTATCATTTATGTGTAGTCATCAGTAATTCCTTCTTTCAGGGTGTGGACATTGTAAGAAAGCGAAACCAGAATATATGGCAGCAGCTTCTAAATTAAAAAAAGATAATAAAGTAGCTTTAACTGCTGTTGATTGTACCACACAATCTGGTGTCTGTTCAGCACATGATGTATCTGGTTATCCAACCTTCAAATATTTTAATTATGGTAAAAATCCACAGGTTTATATGGGAGGAAGAGTGGTGAGTTATTTTTTCATTGAATTTTTGAAGACCATATTTTGAATTCTTTATCGTGTGGTTAAGGTACCCGACCTGGTTAATGTTTTTTCGGGGTTTGGACAATTTCTGGTGATTACAATGGAAATGTTCACAAGATGGTCATGCCAATAATAACACTACAGTTGAAGTTCTTATGTCTATGAATCATTATATGATTGTATTTGGTGGTATCAAAAGTTTGTTTCAATCTGATTGAGATATCTCACTTAGTCTTAAAACTTTTCAGCCGACCCTCACATATTGATTGATATTGGAATCATTCCAGGAAGCTGATTTTATTAGTTTTATGAAAGATCCATTGAATCCAAATCCAGGATCTCAACAAGCTGAGAAAGCAGCTGATCCCAAAGATGACTGGAAAGAAATAACAGGATATGAAAATGTTCACTACCTCAATTCAGCTAATTTTGATACATTCCTTAAAGAACATAAATCAGTATTAGTTATGTTTTACGCTCCATGTAAGTTTTGAAATATTTCAAAATTGATGTTATAAGTATAATGTGAACTCTCTGAAAGGGATGCAGTGTTGGCTAAGCCAGTCACAGAAAAGCAACAGAAGAAATTTCAATTGATAAGTCTTAAAGATGGGTTACATTAATTTCATTTATGAAAATGAAAATGCTTATATTTATATGAATAGAAAGTAGAGGTGTTCTAATGACTTGGAAAAATACCAGTTTGTCTCACATGTCTATAATTAATTCATAATTAGCTAAATTAGAAAAGAATTACCAGCAGAATTTCAATGAGTGACCGAGCAAGAAAGGTCAAAAAGTCTCTTTATGTTTATCCAGACTACTTACATGGACATTTATGATTGGTTAAAACTCTTAATTGTATGCAAAAAAGAACATAAAGATATGATTAAGAATACATGGTAATTCATTAGAAACATTTTAAAAATAAGGAAACCCATCTTTAAGGCTGAAATGATTAAAGAAATGAAATGATTATGAGCTTGATCATCATATCTCATAAATCTGATCGCTATGTTTATTCAGGCTTTCCAAGGCTTTCAGGCTCTCATAAGGGAGATAACTTTCAAACAGATATATCTTAAGTATATAAGTATAACAACTACTGACAGCATTATTGCAAAAAAAGTATTTTTATAAACTAATTGAGTATGATGATGTTATGAAATAAGGAAATTTGATCATTTTAGGGTGTGGACATTGTAAGAATATGAAACCAGCCTACGCAGAGGCAGCAACTATTTTAAAAGATGAAAATGTAAGTTTTAAATTTTAGATTTTTTGTCATGGTAATAAAGTAAAAACAAATTAGGAAATATTGCTCCATCTTGGATTTGGCAATCCCACTGATCTGACACAATTTGATTGGTTAGAAATAATGTAATTAGAACTGGACTGCAGTTGAAAACTTGTTAGATTACAATGGAAACGAAAAATATAAGAAAAATATATAGATTGTCTTATCACTAACAGCGTGTCCTATTTGGTACAAATAAGTAGCACGCAAAATTTCATTTTGTCAAAATTAATGTATTTGGTGGTGGTATCTTTCTAACATATGATAAATATGTTTTTATGTGTTTATTTTTAACAGGAAGAAGGTGTATTAGCAGCAGTAGATGCCACTATAGATAAAGATATAGCTGAAAAACATAAAGTTACTGGATTCCCTACCTGTAAGTACACCTGTTAATTACTGATCACTAATATCTGATCACTGATATCTGATCACTAACATCTAATCACTAACATCTGATCACTAACATCTGATCACTAATTACTGATCACTAATATCTGATCACTAACATCTGATCACTAATTACTGATCACTAACATCTGATCACTAATATCTGATCACTAATATCTGATCACTAATTACTGATCACTAACATCTGATCACTAATTACTGATCACTAATATCTGATCACTAACATCTGATCACTAATTACTGATCACTAACATCTGATCACTAATATCTGATCACTAATATCTGATCACTAATTACTGATCACTAACATCTGATCACTAACATCTGATCACTAATTACTGATCACTAATATCTGATCACTAACATCTGATCACTAATTACTGATCACTAACATCTGATCACTAATATCTGATCACTAATTACTGATCACTAATATCTGATCACTAATATCTGATCACTAATTAATGATCACTAATATCTGATCACTAACATCTGATCACTAATATCTGATCACTAATATCTGATCACTAATTACTGATCACTAGTTACTGATCACTAATTATTGAAATAATTCTAAGTACATTTTAGGTGTTTGGTTACCATAATTAACATACCAATCCAATTGAGAACGTCTTACTGAAAAAGATGTCAGATTATACAGATTGTCGGAATTCACAAAGTACACTGTATTCTAATTATATTTGGCTATTAGAATTAGATATACCATTACTTTAACATTGTCAGAAAGATCTGGGCCCGTTTCACAAAAAATCTTAAAATGAGAAGTAGAATGTGGAGGTGTAGAATTATATATTGAGAAATATCATATTTATGTCAAAATCGATTGTAAGATTTTGTGTGGAACAGAATTATATAGATTAAGACAATTTCCAGTGTTCAATCTCTTAATCCAGTTTTCTTTCTTTTTCATATTTGGATGTAAACAGTAAAATATTTTAAGTAAGTATGAGTTAATTGTAGTATACTACTTGAATAATAAACCACACCCTACATAATTTAAAGTGATTGTAAAGAAGATTTCTAAAAAATTTTTTGTGTAGTGGGGACACTAGCATATCAATTTGTACCATTCTTTTGAAGGTTTTGCCCAATCATTATGTATCTAAAACTCCTTTATCTAAATTACAGTTTTCTTGAAAAACCAAGAAAAAGAAGCGAGCCTACATGTAATTTAAATACCAATTCTATAGCATGTTCTTCATCGATTCTTATGGTTTTCTTTGATTATTTTCAGAAATGGTGAATATGCCTTTGAAGGCTCCTCTAGATCTAAAGAGGGTCTAATTAAGTTTATGAAAAAGTAAGAAAATGTAGACTTTTTTTTCTTTTTAGTTTTTGAATGTAATTGCAGTTGCAATTTGCATGCAGTTATTGCCCTTGACATTTATTATTAGCTTACATATTGATTAAGATAAATCAGAGATGAGCTTTTTATATGGCTTAGATCTGCAATTGACCAGGAAAAGCAAAATTGAAATGAAATATTTATCTTTTTTTTCAGTCCTCAAGCCCCACCACCACCTCCGCCCCCAGAACCAAAATGGGACACAGTGAAATCAGCCGTTACCCATCTAACTGATAAGAGTTTTAATGACTATATTAAAAATAATAAAAACGTATTAGTAATGTTTTATGCACCATGGTGTGGCCATTGTAAAAACGCGAAACCAGAATACCAGTCTGCTGCGGATTCTATTCTGCCAGCAAGTGAAAATAAAATGGCTGCTGTTGACTGTACAGAACATAAAGGTAGGCTTACCATTTTCTTTCTATTAAGATTGAAATGCTTAAAATTAGCATAGAAATAGTCTATAATGCACACTCAAAGTTAAAGGGATTGTAAAGAGAGTTTCTAAACTGTTATGTGTATCAGGGACACTGATATCTTAATTTGCACCGATCCAATTTTCAATCAGATGTCTTGCAATTCCACTTGAACTAACACGTTTTATGTTGTCAGTAGAGGGGAGCTACCGGAAACTACTATTGATATATATGCAGTTCCCCTTTTGTGACGTCATAAAACACGTTAGTTTTAGTGAAAACCTCTTTACAATCTCTTAAAAGTGAAATGAGCACCATGACAGACAAGAGCAGGAAAGTGTTACGTAAACTCTCATTGGAAAAGGGATGATAACAATAGTTGATTAGAAACCAAAATTATAAGCTTTCATGTTATTTTGTAGAAATGATTCAAATTCTGTTAATATTTTTTTAGAAATTTGTGGAAAAGAAGATGTAAAAGGTTATCCAACGATCAAATTTTATCAGAATGGTCAATTTTCTAAAAAATTCTCTGGTTCCAGAAATAAACAGGGATTTTTAGATTTCTTCAAACAGGAAGAAAAAGCAGCTGATTCTCAAACAGATAAAAAAGATTCTAAAAAGAAAGATTCTAAAAAGAAAGATTCTAAAAAGAAAGATTCTAAGAAAGATAAAGATTCTAAGAAAGATAAAGATTCTAAGAAAGATAAAGATTCTAAGAAAGATAAAAAGAAGGGTAAAAAAGATAAAGAAGAATTATAAGACTTATATAAGATGTATATTTATAATTCTAATATATTTTACTTTTTTTAAAACTGTTTTTTTCATTCCTTCATTTGAATCGTTCACATCCAAAGATTTGGTATCAATTCAAAACTTGATTCAATTCTGTCTACTTGATTGTGGGGAATGAAGAATGACTTTCCAAATACACTAGAGACTCTAATTTTCGAGCAATTGCATTGAAACTAAGTGTTGACGACGTCACAAATCCCAAATATTCTTTATCATATAAGGTCACTGAGTTGAAATTATAAAGTCCTTTTAAACCCATCTGACACCATCTTTGTTTTTAACAGAAAGAAGGGTAATTCTGTGTGACACCCCAATGGAAAGTGGTGAATTAAAGTTATTCAATAAGTGTAAATAAAAAGTGCTTAAGTTAAAAAAGGACAAAACACTTTATTAATGTTAAAAAAAGCATTGTTATAAGAAAAAACTTCACATGAATACAAAAAATATGGCAAAGAGTCCTGCAATACTACAAGCGAATATTTCAAAGGAAGGAAGCACTTGGGTCTCACACACATAATTCTATCTGTATCTGATAGATCACTTGCATTTAAAAGATCACTTGCATTTAAAAGATCACTTGCATTTAAAAGATCACTTGCATTTAAATGTGTTACAACAGAGTTTCAACCCCTTGCTTTGTTTGCAGGAAGCGTCATTAAAGATATTGCAGATGGAAAAAGTTCTCCATTAATTTAGGCACATAATACACATCATTGAAAATAATTCACAGATATTCACACATCAAGGGTTTTAAAAACCCAATTGTTCTTTTTGAAACGGTCTAACCTGAAAATTTCCATTGCACTCTGCAACTGATTCGGCTTCACAAAAATTACCGAGGATTGCCGAATGCTTAAAGCATTATTGTAACGCCAATGCTAAAAATAGTCCTATAAAGACGGCAGTAAACGACACCGTTATAATTGAACTTCCGGCTCGGAAACCTTGAATACTCTTCGCCATCATATCATCCATCTGAATTTGTCCACCTAAAACGAAAAAAGAGAAATATTTATTGACTTTATTTGGTCGTTTCTAAGATTGGTTGATGGTTATGACTTGGTTTGCTCACGACGGTGCAGATTCTGATTCTCTTTTTCAATCAACTTGTCATTGATAGTTTGCTTTCTCCAGCCTTGTAGCTTTTGAAATTCTTTTCATCACGATTAGGTGGGTTCTCGTCTTGTTAAACAGGGCAGGATGACTTAACACTAGCTTAATATCACACTTCATCTAAACAGCGGAAGCGAAAACTCCCGAAGACGTGATAAGGTGTCTTACCTAATGTAAAATATTGTGTTGGTGATTTCTTGCCTTCACCAGCTGCACTGATACCACCAACTCTTAAAGCATACACCACATCCTTCTCGAGATCTTCAAGTACTGCTTCCGTCACAGTGTGGTCTATTGTATCATAGAACTGGTGGGCCATGAACGTCTCTCTGGCTTCCCAGTAATATACCTGAAATATTTAAGGGTTTAAGGGTCCTGCAGGAACAATTCGGACTGACTTTAATCGTGAAAGTTCTACTGTAAGAAATCGAGGTCTGACTCTCTGATGCCACTCTTAGGCTAGGTTTGTCTACTCGGCATATCTATTGGAATGTTAACACAGCTCATGTTCTTGCTAAACCAAAACGAAGGGCTTTAAAACGCAGTTGCAATGATAACGTTTCGTGGAACCGAACAACGGAAGGCTGTTTAGCAGCTAGTACAAGCAACGGAAGCTAAGAATCATGCTTACCCTATAGCCAGTAATAAGAGCTTCATCATACGTGGTGGTAATACCTCTCCACCATACTCTAGCAGTGGTTTCTCCATGGGAAAATATTCTTACTTCTTCAGGGAAGGAATTGGTTGCTATAAAAAGATAATAGTGATAAATATGTCGAATTCAAGTCTTTCTTGCATGGATTTTACTGGCACTGTGCAATCATCAGAACACGGAATATTTGCACTGCTTTAAGTTTGAACTCTGACTACATTGAATTCGGCCACATGGTGCAGAAAAGTAGGAGGTAAAACTCCATTCATTTCATTTGCATTGAATTCGAGCTCATAAGTACTGTGGTGGGGGACAAACTCACTGTTCCTGAACACCTTGGCATCCCTTACGAGTCCACATGGCTCATACTGTTAATTTAATATATCTATACTCTTCCTACTGTTCCGGATGCTTGTTACCACTCTGCAACCGTTTTTTGGCAACTCGACATCGCTAGCATAAGTCAATATGTTTATTTACCAATTTCCGAATAAAGAATCGCTCGACTTATAGAGTATTGAGGAACTATTTTCATACTTACGTAATCTTGACGTCTCCATAACGAACGCTTCACTCCTAGGTCCCAAACCAGCTGAGTTGTACATCTGAACATCCACCCAATAATTCTGATCCGACTCTAAACCAATAACTAATCCAGTATCTCTTTGACCTTCATGTCGGACAAACATCAACCAATAATCACCTTCATCAGGCCAGTAGTTAATCTATGAAAGATTATTTAAGGTTAGGATAATATATTACAGCTGATATTCCAATTCTCATAAAATGATCGATAAAATTTTCCACGAGTGTGCAAAGACACTAGGATATCTCAAAAATGGAAGCTTCTTCTACCATGTACTATAAAAGCGTACTACTTGATCTCCATCACAATCTTACCACAGCCAACTAGTCATTGGACTGGTTTAATTTAGGTACGTATTGATCATGCTCTTTCGTAAAAGGAACGTTCGTAAGTAGCATATCTTTACGGGAATACTGACTGTGTCGTTTTATGAAAGTCATTAGAACTGATTGTTGGTAAGGTTGTGCAATCTTGGATGTTTACAATACATTGACCAACTGCAGCTCTTACAGTCTGCCCTATCTCCTTTTCACCAGGGTCATTTGTGAGTTAACAACTTACCTGATAACCAAGGATCTTTCCCTTGGCCGTTTCTCGTCTGTCATCTATAGGTTCCCACGAGACTTCAATAGATGTTCCATTGTAGGTGTCGCTCTCTACATTTGTTGGAGTCAACTTTGGCACTAGAAAAACATGTCAACATGAATTATCATGAATTATCACACAAAGAAATACTTATGAAAATCTTTGGACTCAACAAGATATCCTCTCAAAAGCCGTTGTAAGGCTAACAAATAAAATCAATAAAGTAAGCAGGGCAATGAAGTCAACATCAAAATGAGTCTTCTGGATACATTCCATCGATTCTTCAACACGGATGAAACTGTTACATGTTTACTGATGAGGGAGCTTGGTTTTTACAAAGATGAAGGCAACATAACAATAAAACCGAAACGGACCGACTGGTGCTGTTTACGGAAACTGACGAACATAGACGAAAGAAATAGAGCATGTTTAAGGTAACAGCAAATGAGGAAAAGTGTATCTACTCCCGAAATAAGCACTTACTGTCTGCAGCCGAGAAAATAACTTCTGTAGAAGAGTTCTCGCCCCTTCCTTCATCATTGTAAGCCTCAATTTTGACTTCATACTCTAAATAATAATTGGCTTCACCTACAGTCTCCACGTGTTTATCAACATTTCCTGCTCTGAACTATAAAATAATAATAGTAATAGGTATTGATGAGTTGTCTGCATAGCAACTAATTTCAGGTTCTGTATTATTATTTCTATAACGCCCTGGTATTCTTAATTATTATCTTCTGTAGCATCTTGTTTTGTACATATGATCGTCGATTTTTTTTAGTCTGTTTTCCATTTAGAAACTTATCACATGAGAGATACGTTCTTTGTCTGCAATACCCTTAAATGGTACATTAGGTTAAATATGTAAAAAAAAGACTCACCTTTCTCCAAGCACCATAGCGATTGTCAAGTTTTCTCCAATATACTGTATACCCTATACCACTTCCACCTTGTTCATCTCGAGTTAGTTTCTATAATCAAACCAAATCAAATCAATCAAGCTCAAATTAAATCAAGCTCGAACCAAATCAAATCAATCAAGCTCAAATTGATACAATGTATACAGATGATTGATATTATATTGAAACAGACAATCTCTTCTTACATTTTAAGTAATACAGTAATCTAATCGGATAACTAAACCAAATTTAAAATCATCTGGAAGTCGAGTTTTCGTGATTAAGACCCTTGACCATCTTAAATTGTAATTTGAGTATCTTGTCCAAACTTAATAATCTGCGAGAGCATCGGCGAATTCCATTACAATTGAGATTACTCCAAGCCTTCCAAATTAAGATATTACAAGGTTGATTCAGCATAGGTTGAACAGGTGATGTTTACTTACGTCCCATCTGATAGTAAGATCTCCCACACTTCCGCCTCCTCCTCTCACGTTGACTACAGCCGCGGTTGGTGGTGCATGCGGTGTGGACACACCAGCTGTAATGAAATTGCACACTCAATGAGTAATTTGTCCATCAAATCTCACGTTCATTTTTGAGCTAATTAAATCAAGAGTCAGTTTCCATTTCGATGTTTAAGTTAAATGAATATTTGACATGTTCCACAGTTGGAATACTATTTAGTTACTGTGAATCCCCTTTGCGATTCTGTGACCACCACTACTCGGTCACTACATAATGATTCTACGAAATGACATTGCCCCAAAGGACATATACGTACCAGAGGGAAGACTTGGTGGACCAACACCATAAGCATTAGCAGCTCTCACTCTGAAATAATAGGATACTCCTGGGTTGAGATCGGTTACTATAGCTAATCGTTTATTTTCACCATTCACTATAGTATCTGGTTCCAATATACCTAAAACATAAACGATAATGATTATACAATTGGAAATCGGTTGATGTAATTGTGATTTGACCACTGACTGGTTTCAATGTACCTTTATTGTAATATAATGATAATGTATATGAGAACTGGGTATCCTTTTCAGGATGGGGTTCGAAGTGCGTATATTTAGCAATGGGTTGTCCACTACTATACTATTATTGCTCTCGATTTTGTTTT